AGATGGTTCTCGCTAAATATCTTTTCACGCTTAAGGGTTCTCGTGAATTAAACCCGGGAAAATCGCGACGGCCTAATTTTCTTTATAAAGGTGAAAGTTTCTCGAACACCTTGGGAAGGAATTTCTTCCTAAGAAAATGGGAAAGGTAATCCGGTGTCTCTAAATGTGGCGAAGATAAAACATTTTTTTGTGTCTAAGTTTCCAATCCTTGGTTTAACCGTGTGAACCAAACCAATTGGAACCCTATTTGGAGATTCTACCTTTAGGTAAAACAGGCGCATTTTTTTTTCTTCAAGGTTCGTTGAAGAACCTTGAAATAATCAAGATTTTTAGCCCCATTTTTAATAAATAAAAAAATTATAATTACTATCCGATATAGTGTACGGTTTTCACATCACGCTTTCACCGTGAGACCGGGGTTCGATTCCCCTTATCGGAGTATTTTTTTTTTTCCAGTATAAATTGGGTATATTTTTTTTTATGTTTGGGGGATTGAACAGAGAATAATTTTTTTGTTTCCATTCGTTGATGATACATTAATGAAATGTCATAAATATAAAAATAATATTAAAATTCTGTATTAAAAAATCGTTGTGATGATTAATTTATGCTACAATTATATTGTTAAGATTACTCCATAAGAACCGAATACTTCAGAAAGTGATCTAATGTAAAGTAGTAATAGAGTAGTTACTAGCTAAAGGAAAATACGAAGCATGCATAACGTTGTATTGTTTGGTCCGGAATATTAAATATTAATGTATTAGGTATTTATCTAGGGAAACGAGCCGTAGAAGTCAATACTTAAGGTTACTAGTTATAAGCTCTATGAGGTTAATTAACTGTTATAATAACTATACAGTAGTATTAAATATATAAAGATCTCTATGGTCTTCTGTCTAATAACAAAAGTGTATATCTTTACTTCAGGAACTATGTCCTTTATATACGTTGTATTCGCGTTCTATTAGTGACATTCTTATCATGAAACATGACAAAGTCCTCTGTCCTTATTTTATCATTTTGTACTTAAGCGTAATCAATACAACGTATTGAGCGTAAATTGTCCAAGTACAACCGAAAAACCAAGTAATTGATCTTTGTCAATAGCGAAATATATTGTGACAGTTATAGATATTAAGATGAAACTTATATGATAATATTGTAACTTTAAATGGAGGAAATACACCTACAGGTTCCCAAAGTATTTCTATCACGTGATACACAATATTTATTGCCTTCCGAATATTAGATCTTAGATTACTGATATGACCTAAGAGATAGATAATATCGATAACTTTCTTGAATATTCTTATTATGCGATAATTGGTATTTATTTCTCTAAGTATATCGAAACCAAAGATTACTAATAACATCAGAAAATAGTCTGTCTATGGTATTGTCAGTAATTGTTATGATAAATAGCAAATGATCGATTACCAATGGTGTACTCGATCATCTATGTAATTGCTACACTAAATCATAAAAAGTGAAGTGCAAAGATATCATTAATTAGTACGATTAATTAACAATACTACGATTATGCAATTGGATCCAAATATATAAAAGGGAATGATATTTTCGAATATCTAAATACCATCTGTGTAAAATATTAATATATATTTATTTAGTTACAATTTATAAGACACAACGAAGAAATAAATATATACATTATATCAAAATAATCTTGTATAAAATCACCAACATGGATAAATCAGACATTATATATGAATTTGAACAAATAATACGAGTATTATACCTATATCACGTGATACGAATACGTTCCAAAAAACCGAGATGATTATTTTATTTTCCAAGATTGCAAAATTTATCCATTGATACAAACAAACTTAATTAGTAGTAATGATTTGAATATACATTATATGTTATAAAGAATTTTTTTATAGAATCAGATGACTATATACTGTAAACAACACTAACATAAAAATTTCGCACTTCAACAAATTACTTTGCCATCTTAGTATAGTGGTTAGTACACATCGTTGTGGCCGATGAAACCCTGGTTCGATTCTAGGAGATGGCATTTCTTTTTTTGCTTCAGTATTATCATAATTATTTTTCTTCCTTCCCACTACAAAACCCAAAAATCCTCTCTACTCGTTAAAAGCGACAAAATAACGTATATATTTTTAGTTTAGTTGACATCAAATCAACTGTCAAATTTTATCATATCATCATCACCTAACCTTCCAACTTATCAATTCTCCTCCTACCAATGAATACTCCATATGCTGTAACTTTAATATGGACATTCTAGCATGAGGTTACAGTAGAGTCTTAAATAAAACGATGATTATCAAAATTGATTGATCGTTTGAGTGATAATGTGTAGAGATGCATTTTAATCTATGCTCACAACCACAACACCAAGGATATGGACACTACCACCGCACGGATTGAGCTTGAATACATTTAATGTTCTTCTTAATCCGTGCTGTGATACTGTCCATCTCCTTGGTGTTGTAAGTAGAGATTAAAATGTATTTCTACACATTATCAATCATCACTAGCATATATTTGTCATCATTTTTAGGTGTTGGTTTGACTGGACCAAATGTATCCAGACTCCACGAAGATCCAGGTTCCTTAATGCTTGAATAATGATTCATCGTATCAGTATAATGGAAGTGTCGTGTCATTTTTCCAGCACTGCATGTCTGACACCAAAGATTTTTGGTTGACTTATGGTCTTTTATTTCATTAACATCATAGAAGAAGTTGTTCTTCACTGACTTTTGAATGACTTGGGATGGTAAATGATTCAAACGGAGGTGGGCTTCTAACAAGGAAATGTCCGGTTTATTAATTTTGATATTAAGCAGTCTTACAGCTCGAAGTTTATTTTCATGACTTGCATAAATAAGTTCTCTTGATGGTATCCATATGGTATCCTCAATTTTTAATGTATTCAAAGCACAATCTTTTCCAACTAACTTGTCATATCCAGTGTTTAAACTTAAACCAGTATCTCTCCAGAGTTTATTGGCTGATATTATGGTGGTATCCTCATTTGGACAATAGAAAGTTCCGGTACCGACTATAGTGTTTTTATTCAGTCTAACTGGTAATAGTCTAAATCCAACTATCTTTAATGGACTGTCACCATCGCCAACTTCGAGTAATTCTGGTGGATTATGGATAGAACCATACTCTAGGAGCCAATCTTTTCTGTTTGTTATATTATATCCAGATCCGGTATCAATGATGACATGATCTTTCAAATAACTATTGTCAGTTGAACTATCTGTATTTTTTAAGGTTTTCATTTTTGGAAGTGTATTTTATGTTGTTTTTATTGTTTTCATCATTATTACTTGACACTACCGTCTTTAAGTCCATTTCAGGTAGTTTTTCCTGACTCCTTTGATCTATTATCATATGATCTTGTTTCAGGTTGCCTAAGGTAGGATCCAAATTTGCAGTTTCTAACACTATGAAAAGCAGATTGACAGTTATTACATAGTTTAATTTCTATGTTGTATATGTCATTCCTATCTCGAATGCATCGAATAGTGTTACATATATATTCAATGTATTTAATTGGACTGATATCAATATTCTTTACAGTCAAACTGTCAGCATTAATAAGTAATTCTACTGGTCCATCTAGGGAATTGTGTAAACATTTTTTAATTTTTCTATTGATGAATTCATTGTCTACAGTGGGAGACTTACCATTATCTAGAGTGTAATTTTCAATTGCCACAAGTGAGTTCAGATCATTATCCAAACTGTTAATATCTGAGCAGAAAGCATCGATAAGAATGCTTTTCCACATATGATTTTTGACTGAAGGTGTGTAAGTATACTTGTACCTCGTTTTCAACATATCATATATGCCTATAGCAGTTTTTTCATTATCTACAAATTTCTTTAAATGATTGTCAATGCTTGTATAGATTGCCTCTTTAATGATATAGTCTTCTTCTATTGATAATTCTATATCTTGGATTGGTAACGTAATATCAGTAAACTTCCATCTTTTTAAGAATTGTTTAAAGTATTTAATCCAAATATGAAGATCTTCAATTTTATATAGATTAAAATCAATTTTGGCTGTATTCAAGTCACAATAGAACTTTGTAATGTCTTGGTTTTTTCGTTTTATTTCATAGTAATAATCAAACTCATCCTTTTTTGTTGTAACCTCAAGTATAGGGAATATACCTGTAGGTTTACAGGATATTGTCAGAATGGTAAAAGCTCTAAGCTTCAATGTAAGTGGATATACGTTAAATAGGCACGTTGACCTATTACTGAGGTCAGTGAGTGATAACTCGCTCCTCCTCTTGTAACAGAGTAGTCTATATAACATAAATAGTTTTATATATCGGAACTGAAAATTTGTTCCTTTTATATATTAGATAAATCGATACATTCACCTTGTACGAAAAACAGCAATAGTGACATAAACTCTATCCTCGAGTGTCTAGGTTAAAGTCACAACATAATTTAGTTCAAATATAATACTCCACGGAGAAATAAGTACATATTACTATTACTTCAAAATCATCTTAAATAAATCACTAAAATGAATAACTCAGATATTAAATTTACATCTGGTCAAATAAGGAAACTAACATAACGAAAGATTCAGTAAAGAAGTGTCAGAAATTATGAGATGACGTAAAGTCCTACTCATTAATTCAATATTAATAAGGGGTAAAGAAATGTTTCTAATACGAAAGTATTTTCCTCTGACGTGCCATGAATATCTAAACATTGTATATAAAGTCTGATAAGATCTTAATTGACACTTATCATATGTACTATATTCCCATGTGTATATTTTATACTTTAATACACCGGATCAATATCAACTTATTAAGAATGTCCTTGGAAATTGTTGAAATTGTTGATCATTTTTAATAGGTGACATATTTCTTAAATTATATTTCTCCGTGAGGATTTTATATATAATATAAAATAATAATATAAATATGTAAAGGTAATCTTGGAAATCAGATTATCCTAATCTTGAGATTAGTGTCCGTATTTATACGTTTAATCTTCGATCTCACAATCTTGTAATTACTAATCATTAATTCTAACAATTCCTTGCACTCTCACTCAAGTATTTTAGTTTATTGGTAATTTACCAATAATATTCTTTTTATTTTGTTTCTAGAATGTTCTACAATATTGCAAACAATCAATAACCTGATTGTTAGTAATTACCTGATTAGTTATTGTATACCATATTAATAGATTGATTTATGTTACATTATCATAGATATATCTATGACGTCATGAACATCGTATAAAGTAGTCACGTGTGAGTGGAAATATGTATTATTTGGCCTTTAATTATTATTTAATTGTATATTGAATTTGGTATACGTTAGAATGAAGGCTGGTAAGCGTTTATTCTATAGGATCTTAAGGGTGGAGATCTGTAAGTTAAAGTAAATATACTTGTTAATAATAATAAATTTCTATATTCTTTTATGTACAAAGTAAGATACTAAATAATATACAATAATATACAATGATCTCTTTAAATATCAATGTTAATAGCATGTAACAACATTCTTGTAGTGACACATATTTCTTCACCTTCAAGGTTCGTATGAAGTAACCTCGAAGTAGTCTCGAAATAATACAAATATCGGCGGCTTCGAAAGGTAGCTTTTCCTAGGTTCTTTTCGATATAAATTCATCTATATCTCCTAAGGTGTTTATAAATTACTTTCTTTCCTTGTCACCGTATACTCTTGTGTATTCAGCAGCAGTTCGGATGGGTGAACCATAATAGCTATAAGCAGGTTTCAGTTTCGATCCATCATATGTTGCTTCTCGTACACTACCGTCCCAATTCCGAAGTTTATAAGTGTTCTTCCCTAGGACTTCGTGGATATAATACGGTCCATCCCATGTGGGTTCAAACTTATTTCGTTTGGGTCGATATCGATAAACTACTTCTCCTCTAGTATAAGGGACGTACTTATCGGTGTCTTTCCTAGCATTTCGCAACAGTTCACGAACTTTAACACGTTCATCCATTGTTTTTGAACGAATTGTTCTAGTGTTCCTATGTCGCATCAAGGATAGGTGTACATTTTCAGTTGTTGCCATGTCTTCCGGAGGTTTGTCCTCAGCATTCAAGATACTTTCAACTGCTTGCAAATATTCAGTACCGATCTTACGTGCAGGCACGCCAAAGGCTATTTCTCTAGGAGCATAACCGTAGATCATTTTGGTATTATTGACAATATGAGCAGCAATAGAAAGATTGGAAGTCCATTTTTCGTATTTCGGATCCATTTTCTTGATCACTTCTTTGATCATCTTAACACTACGTTCTGCCTTAGAGTTTCCTCTAGGGTGGTACGCCGAACTCTGGTAATATTTAATTTTTAAATGCGCCGCAATAGTAGGAACTATATTATTGGCAAATGGAGAACCATTGTCCGTAACCAACATATGGGGACGCCCAAAGGTGGCATAAATGTCAAAGATTAAATCATAGACACTGGTAAAGGATTGTTCGGCCAGTGGTCGAACAAGAATTAAATTGGAAGTGTAATCAGCCGCAAGTAGAAAATATTTGTAACCGTTGTGTGCTGGTAAAGGTCCAGCAAAATCAAGGTGCCAACGGCTAAAAACAGGGGTTCTATGGATTTCCGGTAATTCTATAGGAAGGTCACTAAACTTTTCATAAGTTTCACAACGGGAACAGAGTCTTACGACATCTAGAAGAAGCAGATTAGAATTGGGATTCCATAATTTCTCATCAGCCATAGCAAGTTGTAGCACTCGGTGCGTACAGTGATATAGGGCATGTAGCTTAGTAGCAACATCCATATAATCTTTATCTATGACAACGCGAAACAGGATTGAATCCATATTGATGTAAAGGTTACCAGAGGTATAATAAAAACGATCAATGATCTTTGAAAATATCGGTGGTATAGAAGAAATCTTGTCAGCAAGTAGCTTTTGGATTTCAAGGAGTTGTGATAATGTCAACGAGTTGACATTGTCGATAACGTAATCAGGGTCGGTGGTATTGTCAGAATTCGGTGCCTCCGTTGAAGGCTCTGGATTGGTGGTAGAAGAGGTCTCCGCATCTGAGTCTGCACTCAATAATGTGAGATTGGATGTCGGAATGTCTACAGCGAACTGTTGTAACTGTTCGAGATCCAAATAAGGTTGGTCATCCAAACCGAAACGACTTAAGTAGTCTGCGAGGAGGTTCTTGGCTCCCGGGAGATATTTCCATTTGACACGATGTCCATTCACAAGATCCAAATATTTAGTGAATCGAGGGTGAGTATTACGATCGGAATTACCAATACTAATAATACCCTTATTGTCGGTATATACAGTCACATCCGGTGAAAGAAGTAACTCACCTTTATTCAAGGCATGTAGAACAGAGAAAAGCTCACGTTCAACAGTAGAATACCGTTGTTGTGTAGGATTGAAGCGAACAGACAAAAAGGAGATAGGAAACAAAAGAGTTGTGTTATTATGAACCTCAGGTTGTAAAATTATAGAAGCACCGCCTTTTAAACTAGCATCTGAAAAGATAATAGTAGGGGCTTGTGGATCAAATAACTTTAATGTGAGCGACCGAGTAATCAATTGTTTAAATAGATTAAAAGATGGAGTGAGATTCGGTATTAAAATGTGTGGAGGTGGTAAAGTAGGAGTCAACTTTTTATCGAGCACATCATAAAAAGGACGTAAACGTTCAGAAGTATCAGGTATGAAGTTTCGCAAGTAATTGATGAACCCAATAAACTTTAATATAGCTTCTTTTGTAGTTGGCAAAGGCCATTTACGAATAGTCTCTATTTTAGAGGATTCAAGAGAAACGCGATTTTGGGATATTTCGTAGCCGAGAAAAATGACGGTGTCGGAAGCGAGTTGAATTTTCTCTTCACTAATCGACAAACCATGGCGATGTAAAGCTTCGAAAAGCTTAAGAACCACTTGGTAATGCTCGTCATGATCTTGAGAAGCGACTAAAATATCATCATAATAATATCGAATAACAGTAGTAGTGGGAATAGAAATGTCATTAATAATCCTTTGGAGAAATTCACCCCACCAGTATGGAGCAGATGCTAAACCATACGGCATTCTAGTAAACTTGTAGGTTCCAAATTCAGTAATGATACCAAGTTTGTCACCAGTTAATGGTAATTGTTGATATGCCTTACGTATATCAAAGGCAGAGAAAACAGTGTGATGAGAAAGTTCACTAAGGATAGATTGGGTAGTAGGGATCGGACGAGGAGTATATTGTAAGCACTTATTCACTTTCCTCAAATCAGTGATAATACGGATTTTCTCAGAAGATTGTGGTAAAGCAAATACAGGACTAACGGCGACCAACTCATCTGGTGAGAGAGGTTCAATTAATCCATTCTCGAGCGATTGATTGACATACTTCTTAATGGCTTCACGACGTAAACCGCTAGTGAAATATGCTTTGGGAGTAGTATACGGAAAATTGATGAGATTAACGTGGGCTAAGAAATCATGGTGAAGGTCGAGAGAAAAGTTCGAGGAGAAAACGGTAGGGAACTTTGTCTTTAGACTTTTAAGAAATGGAGTTTTGGATATCTGAAGAAGAGTAGAAGTAGCAGATATACCCGGAAAACGAGTAACATCTATAGTAGTATCCGCAATGGTTAATGATTCACAAGAAGGGGATAACTGGTAGTGAAGTTTCTTCAACAGGGGTTTACCCAAAATAATATGGGAACGTTTCTGTGGAATAAGATAAAACCAGTCACAAATAGTAGCAGTACCGATCCGAATTCTAAGGAAAACCTGTTGGTTAATAACCAAAGATACGCCAAAGGCCGGAGTTACGGTAAGTGGAATACATGATCTAGATTTCTCTTTTGAAATGTGAAGATCTTGTAGAGTGATGGAATCATTTTTGGACCATAAGTTGGAATATGTGAAATTAGTGTCAGCGCCAGTATCTAAAACAATCAAAGTGTCGGATTCCTTAAGGCCTCGCCTGAATTTCCTGTAAAGTGGCTGTGGTTCCTTCTGGTTCTTCTGATTCTCCAATAGAATCATTAATGGATTCAAGAGAAGAGAACTCATACGACTCATCAGCAAGTACAGCTGCAAATTCGGTCCCAAACTCGTCGTCGTCAATATCCGAAGGAAAAACTTCAGTTTCGGCTTCTAACATATTAACCTTAATGTTGGTAATGTCTTGTTTACTGAAGCGTTTAACTCTAGGAGTACACTTAGCACAGTGGCAGTTAATACAGAAACCACTTTTCATATATGGCTTGAGATTACCACTACACTTGGAGCAACGACAATTAACACAGTAGTAATTGGCAGCAGAGACTTTCTGTTTAGGTTTAGACTTTGAAGGATAAGCGCGATTTATAGCAAAGAAAGGAGTTGAAGATGTTTTATTCGGAAATGTTACACCGTCACGAACGTAAAGTTGCACAAAAGCGATTAACTCATCAAATTTACGCATTTCCGCTATGTCAGGGATAGGTAAAGCAGGGAATTCCGAATCTAAGATATCGGCAACCTTGGTGATGGTCATAGTTAAGGTAGAAGCACCTCTAACCGCCTTGGCAAGCTCAATCAGATCCAAAAGGTAGGATCTAGCATTGGAGCCAGGAGTAGGTTGAAACTTCTGCAATTTAACAATATCCTTTCTTGTTTTGGACGAAAATTCATAATTCTTAAAGAAATGGTAAATGGCCGTAATCCAATCAACGGGTTCTTTACGGTCATTATAAAGATGATCGGTAACGCCTGTTCCACAGAAATTGTGTAAAGCAGGACCCCAGCTATCAAAAGAAACATGTTTGCCTTTAAGCAGACTTTGAATCTTTAACAGGTTTTCAGCTGGTTCACGATAATTTTCTGTTTTTAAATGAATTTCAGTTGGGGCAACTAAGCTGACTTCACCATAAGATTTTGTGCAACCTGCCAATAAAGGTGAATTTGGATTGGTGATGATTTCCGGAAAGTATCGGTTAACCTTCATCAAAATCTCTTCTTTAGAAGAAACTTTGCCATTTTTAAATTTAGCTAATTCGGTAGTAATCTTATCCTGGATAAAGTTATGCAAAGCATCCTGTTCAGAATTTAGATAACTCTCAATTTTACCAACTTCAGAGATTAATGATGCTTGCTTTCTTTCGTCTTCAAGAATTCTACCTTCAATAGCAGCTTCTTCCTTCTGGACTGCTGAAAATTGGGTAGAAGTATTTTCCAAACCTTTCTTTAAGATATTAGTTTGGGTTTCTTCCTTATTTGATCGAGCTTCCATATTCTGTAAAGAAGTCAGAATTGTTTGGAGTGAAGATTCCATTGAAGTCATACGTCCATCCATGGATTTCACATTATCCTCTAGGGAAATAAATCTATCTTCCGTAATATCAGATTGGTTAGACATTGTAAGTTGAATCGCAATTATTTAAATTGGAAATAAATGTTGAATAATTGTTGTTAAATAAAGGTTTAAATTGGAATTCGATTTACAAATCTGTTAACTAAATTTTTCGATTTACAAAAATATATTTTTGTATTATTTGGCCTTTAATTATTATTTAATTGTATATTGAATTTGGTATACGTTAGAATGAAGGCTGGTAAGCGTTTATTCTATAGGATCTTAAGGGTGGAGATCTGTAAGTTAAAGTAAATATACTTGTTAATAATAATAAATTTCTATATTCTTTTATGTACAAAGTAAGATACTAAATAATATACAATAATATACAATGATCTCTTTAAATATCAATGTTAATAGCATGTAACAACATTCTTGTAGTGACACATATTTCTTCACCTTCAAGGTTCGTATGAAGTAACCTCGAAGTAGTCTCGAAATAATACAAATAAGGAACATTCTGGAACCTTCTAGGTCAGAACAGAAATAAATAAAGAATCTATTACTATGAACGATTCTGTAAAGAACCAACAACCCTCTTATTCTCTACAGTTATCTAGTAGAAAAGTGACCACAATGAGCCAAAATAATACTACAAACCAGTAATTTTCTACAGCGACACATCACACTTGATCCTGTCTGACCTATTAACCCTCATCGTAAACAATGTCCTACAATTAGTAAACAAAGAGTGTCCCAACTAAATATGCTGGACTATTTAACAATTAATATGGTTTCGTGGTCTAGTTGGTTATGGCATCTGCTTAACACGCAGAACGTCCCCAGTTCGATCCTGGGCGAAATCAAATTAATTTATTTTTTTTGCAATTTTTAATCTTTCTTTTAACTGGCATAACTGCTACTTACTACATACAATAACAAATATATGATGACATTTAATCACAACTATGATGAAATTCGACAGGAAAACTCAGCTGGAACATCTAAACATATCAATTTTGAATAATTTTTAAGGCTCAATCTGTTGTGCTTTATAAAATTTGCTTGTATATTTTTGACTTTATTATGTATAAGTAATATCTCACATAAACTTTTTAACTTCTATATATATTAAATACTCTATATCTTCTGCTCTTTAATTTTGTTAATTACACAGCTACAAATTTTTGTCTCTCATCTATAAAATTAGGAAAACTTTTTGAAAGAGAAATTTTTGGAAGGTAATGTTTTAAATTCTTAATATCAAAAATATAATTGGTACTATTTGGATCCTTTTCTGGTAAGAACCTGATCTCTTCACATTCTGGTAAGTCATTCCATGATGAAAACTCTACTGGTACCATATCTTGAACTTCAAAATCAGGCGAACTTTCCTTGCCTACGTATGCTGAGGAATTTGATTCTGGTTTAACATCATTATAAAAAGTTAACAATTCTAAATTTGGAAGGTATAGTCCCTGAATAGTTAATTTTTTGCATGCTGAAATGAATATTGGTTTTAATTGTAGTTCTTTCAAAGATTTACAATTCAGAAACAGTAATGGACTTTTATTACGTGCTACTGACATTTTCGTGATCTCCAAGGGTGCCCAATTAATAATTCTTGTCTTCTCTACACCTTCTGGTATCAAATTAACTCTAAAATATGTAGTTGCATCTTTTGTCTGCTCTAATACTAGTTCATTAAGCAATTCGATATTTGTTTTAATAAGCTCTGTATTTTGTTGGTAGGCTGTTATACCATCATATTTAAAACGATGACCTGAATGGTCTTTAATGTTTGGCATCTTCCAATTCTTTAATGAATGTATTTGAAAAAGTAATCTTAGATTAACTTTATAATTTTTAAATTTTTCTAATATGCCACTAGAAACATCTATGAAATTACCAGTTTCGGTAGAACTTTGAGTTGAACTCTTCTTGAGAAATGTAACCTTTTCTAATTTTGGATAAAAGAATGTAATCTTATATACAAAGTCATATAACATTGTCTGTGGGGTGGGTATACTATATGTGATTGCATGAGCTTGTAATTTACCCAAAGTGAATGCCTGATAAATGAATGAATCTAATGCCATATAATGTAACTCTAATTTTTGTAAATTTGGAAATGAAATTTGTTGAACTTGAATGCAGTCTGAACCATTATAATACTTGGAAAAATCATCATCTAATGCTCCGAAGAGTGTTTTACCTGCATATACAGAATGATCCTTAAGATCAAATTCAATTATTATATGTTTTGTAAATTTTAGTTCAGTAATTATTGGAATACAGTGTAAATTTGTCATTATTTTCTGTAAAACAGAGATATTCCCGTTATCCTTTGTTTGAATTTCTGGGGGGCCACAATACATTATATCATAGCTCATTTCCTTTATTTTATCTTCTATAATTAAATTATTCCAATCGATATCTTCACAATTAGCTTCAGGACCCAATATAAAGATGATTCGTTTTATGGATTTCTTCACCACAATTTCACCATCATATATAGATTCTGACAATTCATCCAACACTGGTATACTACTAAAATCACTATTTTTATCAATATTAATAAAACATAATCTATCCTTGATCAAATGATTCAGAACCGAATCATTGCCATCACAAAGAAGATTGATATAGTCGATTACTGAACTCAACGAAAGATCATCTAAATGATCGAAAATAAGTTTGCACACTTCCGGAGGCAATGTAGTCTTGGTATTATCCAAACCATTCATTTCTTTACAAACTCTAAAAATCGTTCCTGATCCTGATCCTGATCCTTACTGAGGTCCTATAGGGGATGTATGTGTCTGTGCACCTGATAAGACTTCACAATAAAATAAAATAAAATATAATAATCAATAGATAAAGAACCCAGTAATAGTTTTTATTCTATCTTAATGCAATAAACCCAATATTACCGTGCTATTCTAACCCAACAACCTAGAAATACTCCAGATCACTAGCTATTTTTCCTTTCCCTTTAATATCGATTCTTTCTCCAAAAGTCCCTAATTCGACAAATATCCAACTATTTCGAAACCTTCAAAATGAAACCTACCACCAGAGGAACAAAATCTAATGTAATAACAATAATGCCAGCCAATTAACCCAACAATACCCTACTTGTCTAATAGATTCAGTCTAAACCTTCTAGTGACTTTGATTTTTTATAGTTATAAAATATCCAATTCTTTAATTTAAAGGCCTTTATATAAAAGGAACCTTGGATATAGTGAAATTTCAATAAAACTGATAGGCCAGATTTTGATTATAAAACGATGAAAGAAGGTATCGACTAGCTGTTAAGGAGGTTGATACTTGGTTGATAAGGTTCTAAAGGAGTTGTATCCTTATTTTTTGAGTTTTTTTGTTAGATAATACGTTCATTTTTATCAGAGAGGCATCAGAATTGTTACGAGATGAGCAGTCAAGATGATATGAAAGAATTGATTGAACTATTTAGGTTCGAGAAGATATTGAATTCTAATCCTCAGAATAAACTTATCACTGTTTTGGGTAAGATTAATGGCGAGAATGCCATTGTTCTTTTGGAGAAATTACATTTTCAATCAATTTCAGATGATGAAAACTCAATAAGTTCATTATCTTCATCAGTTAAGCAATTGTTCCATAACGACGTTTATTTTAATGGCGTTACTGGACAAGGTGATGGTTCAAATAATGGATTTAATGAATTGAAAGTGAATCTTATTTATCCGGCTACTGAAACTCATATTCAGAAACAATTAGAACAACAACATCATATGATTAAAGAAACACCAGAGATGTATAAAAATGTTGTAAAACCTTATATTGAAAGCATGTTTGCAGCTGGAAGGTTGAAATGGGTTGAAAACATTTTATATAATGGTGCTGAAAGCGATCGTGTAGTTTATCAAGATGATGATATGGTCATTTTACCAGATATGAAGTGGGATGGTGAAAATATGGATGCATTCTATCTAGTATCTATATTGAAAAGAAAAGATATTCTATCCTTACGTGATATTAATAAGAATCATTATGAATTTTTAAACGGAATCTCTGAAAGAATCAAGGATATTATTCCAAAGAAGTATAATAATGAAATAAAAAGTGATCAATTACGTATATTTATTCATTACCAGCCATCTTATTACCATTTCCACATCCATATTGTTAATATTAAACATTTGGGTCTAGGTAATGGTATAGTTGCAGGGAAAGCATGGTTATTAGACGACATTATAGATCAACTTTTCCATTCTAACGCTGAATTCAGTTTCGAACAAAGAACTTTGAGCTATGTCATTGGTGAAAACCATGAATTATGGAAAAGATTTAATGAAAGCAATCAATTGGCATGAAGTATTATTCTACTTTATTAATTAATTAATCAATTTATTTAGTTATTTATTTAATATATAATTATTAGTCGGTCAAAATTCAATGACACGTTAGAATTTGTTATAGGAATTAATACAATAAATCAATCGATACCAAGATCGATGATATTCTGACTAGATGAAGGGGAATATACATTAAATGAAATTTTTTTCCGGTTTATAAACTCTGGATCAATAGGCGAGGTAGATTCAGCAAATTGTTCAATAAAAGTGAAGAATGCTGCCACAAGGTTATCTTCTTCCAATTCCAAACCGTTTTGGAATTTCCACTCTGAATAATCATTAACAAATATATCCCATTCATCTAGAATTTCTGTCCATTCATAGATATATTTTTGAGGGATTCCAAAGTATATCTGGCTCTGAGAACCCAATTTCATTCCTAGTTCTATTTGAATCTTTGGCAAAGTTTTCAATTTATGACTATCTGAATTTAATTGTTTCCTGTTGGAAACAGCTACCGGATGATGATCCAAGCATTTATGCTTAAAACTGGTAGAAAGGGGCCCTTTGAACAATAAATAGGTAATAACAACACATATATGTCCAAAATACCCAACTTTACTCCAAACCTCCAGAGCTTTAGAGAAATCTAATAGTATAAATGGTTGCATTAAATATCCAAACAATAATTTCACCATATAGAATCCAATAAAATCATATATCCATTTATACTTTGAAGGTGTCACTCTGTCACCTAACAGGAATACCGGTCTTGTATACTTCCTGTAATACTGGCCACAGTTTTGGTATAAAGCACCAGTTAAGAAAGTTAAATAATAACAAGGATTTATGCCATGCCAAAACGCAGACACTGCAAAGGTGATGAGGGTTGCTGTAAAAGTTGGCTTCTCATTATCATTGCAAAGTCTTAGGTATACATAATTTTTTAGCCAATTATTTGTTTTAATATTCCATGATTTTATTGAGACATAGGAGCTTTGGGCAGCTTCGAATGTCCAAATGTCAATATTAGACATTCTGTCCCATACAATAGAATGTGAATCTTTATCATAATAATTATATGCGATTCCAGAAGATATACATGCCCCTTCTGCTGTGGTCCAAGCCGAATAATATTTCAACCTAAATGCAAAACCCAATAGATACAAGTAGTGAATTTTATAGATAAATGATCTATCTAGGAATGCTTTTTTAGAGTTCAGTTTATCTTCAGAGATGACAGTCTTGGAGATACCTGCAAGCAACAGAAAAACCAAACCTTTAATCAATTTCTTTAGGGATAGCTTCCAATTATGTGGCACGTATGCTAAATTTGAAGTTGGATAATCTTTAAAGATATTCCCAGTAAGCCAATCATCGAATTCTATATAATCTATACTTGGCCCAGTTAGCAAGGTAGGATAAAAAAAAGTGTAAGCCATGAACTGCAACAAGCTTGGATGCTTTTTAACAGCTTTGCTTCTTTTATACACGGATAAAGATTCAGGTTTTGCTGAAGTACCATCAAAATAAGACCAACCAAAAGAAGTCAACTTAATGACTAATATCATATGTATAGCAGTAGTATCGAATTTCATAGTTGGAGGATAAAAATAATTGTAAATGTTGTGAATTGCTAGGTTACCCATTATTAAAAAAAAATTTACAAAGGGCATATATTTCGAAGCCATCCATCTTGTTAATAAAAAAGTAACCAAAGTATTCTTCACCAATATTAAAAACGAATCCAAACTCCTCAACACTACTAACAAATAAAATGTCGCCACTGATATTATATAAAGACATCGAAGTCCAACATATTTCAATGGAATCTTAACCAATACAATATTGGAAAAATATGACATTACTAAACATATTAAATATTTAACCAACGACGGTTCAATATTAGAAACAACAGACAAATACAATATAACACCTTCAACAATTACAAACATCTCTCAACACACATTCATCCCAAATCTTGCACTCATATGCATATATTCTCATCTAACCAAAGAAGCTTGCTTATATCCTGTATATAAACTTAGATTTAATATAATTAATTAGTGACACTTCGAATATCGAAGATTCAGATGACATGGAGATTAAAAGAAAAGCAAAACAACCAATAAGAACAAAATATAACCAAGTTCCGACATATTACGACAGTTTACCAAAGACTAAACACAAAAGTTCCCTTCCATTATTGACCAATTCATTATGTTTAACATTAACAAGATCATACTAATTTTACTTGTGATTCCAAAGACAAACCAACCCTAAAAAGCTGAAATACACGTAATACATAAAAACAACACCAAATAACAGACCACATTCACTATCATTACATCTATGTATTGTATCTTAATATGTATATATGTCCCTTATGACTGGTTCTTTTGATACCAACCAATGGTACAATTCTTATATGTTCACCATAAATTTCCTGTCGTTTAGGTGCCATCTATAATTATTTTTTTGGCTGGGCCCTTTTTTGTAGCGTAAAGGTGAAATTTGCATTTATACACATTCTTACATGAAAAAGAAAATGGATGAGTACTCATCACTTATATAAGAAGAGGATGAGATGGGATAGATGGCTTATCTTTTGAGATCAGGGTTTAGTATTGATGATTTATTGTCCACACATGTATTAGAAGCATATCTGATTAGATAACGTTGTTTTAACATGGCTTTGTTCTGGGTCTCTAAGGGTTTAGGGCCAAACGTTGGAAATTTGGCTAGAAGTCAATATTCTTCAAATTTTGTTTTAACTAATGGTTCAAAATTATTATATTCTTCTTTAAGGAATGCCAAAGATGTTAGATCTTCGCCCACTGCCATTGTATTTATGAACATGGGAGGTCCTTCCACTTTAGATGAAACTCATGATTTTTTGTATGAATTATTTTCAGATAATGATTTAATACCAATAAGTCAAAAATATCAGAGGTACATTGCTAAACAAATAGCTAGGTTTAGAACACCAAAAATCCAACAACAGTATAGTGAGATCGGTGGTGGTTCACCTATTAGAAGGTGGTCCGAGCATCAGGCTGAGAAAGTTTGTAAAATTTTAGATAAATCTTGTCCAGAGACTGCTCCACATAAGCCTTATGTTGCATTCCGTTATGCAAGACCTTTGACTGATGAAACTTACAAACAACTAATGGACGATGGAATTAAAAGGGCTGTTGCGTTTTCCCAATATCCACAGTTTTCTTATTCGACGACTGGTTCATCATTGAATGAACTGTGGAGACAGATAAAGGCCCTAGATCCGGATAGAAGCATCAACTGGTCTGTAATAGATAGATGGCCGACTCATGAAGGTTTAGCTAATGCATTTGCTGAAAATATTAAGAAAAAATTACAAGAGTTCCCAGAAGATATTAGAAAAGATGTTGTATTATTGTTTTCTGCTCATTCTTTACCAATGGATGTAGTAAATACCGGTGATGCTTATCCAGCGGAAGTGGCTTCAACTGTCCATAGAGTAATGGAGGTTTTAAACTTTAGTAATCCATATAGATTGGTTTGGCAGTCGCAGGTGGGTCCAAAGCCCTGGTTAGGTGCCCAAACCGCAGAGATCACTAAATTTTTGGAGGCCAATGAAAAAGGTTTAATATTCATTCCTATTGCTTTCACTTCTGATCATATAGAAACATTGCATGAAGTAGATCTAGGAATTATTGGCGAGTCAGATCATAGCCATAAATTAAAAAGATGTGACTCCCTAAATGGAAGCGAGACATTTATCAATGCATTAGCAGACGTTGCTAAAAATCATTTAAAGAAGCAAGAACTATACTCAAGACAATTGCCATTAGATTTCAAATTAGGGAAGTCCAACGATCCAATTAAAGATTTATCTTTAGTATTTGGTGATCATAGCAAAGATCAAAAGTAAGCATTCTACGATAGATTTATAAATAATTATTTATTAGTGATATAGTAATATCAATACAATTTTAGAGAGGTTGAAGGGAAAATTAAATGTTGTAATAGACACTGAAAATAGTATTTAATACTAGTTAGTTTGATACTGGTAATAACAAATAAAAAATTGCAAAAAAATAAAATAATTTGATTTCGCCCAGGATCGAACTGGGGACGTTCTGCGTGTTAAGCAGATGCCATAACCAACTAGACCACGAAACCATATTAATTGTTTAAAATTGCGGAAAAGCAAGCCCACCTAACCGTATAGTAATAGCTTACAAAAAAGACACATATTTCATATGAAACACATCAGTGAATAAAGAAGAGTTGGCTAACTTGTGAAAACAGAAATATATAAAAAGGAAAACCAAGTTAATGTTTCCAGATGGTAGAATGTATAGGAATGTATGGTTTAGATATATAGATAATAAAAAAACCTAAGCTAGTTTATACATAAAGAAGTAAGGATCAAATAAGGGCTCATACCGTTACTAAATATTAGAACTCTGAGCTCTTTTACACAACTGAAAACGTCGATGCTAATTACATAACGCACAAGATTATACCGACCAAGTACTTGGAGGTTAATTATTATAGATCTAGAATATTTGTAGGGTAATGTAAAGGAACAAGTTATATTTGATAATAACGTCATTAGCTGCTTGATACCCTATTTGTGGAGGCCAAAGTTGGTTTACTAATTATTCAATCTCATATGGGTACATACACTTTCTAAGCTTCAACCATATTCAGAAGTTTTAATCATACTGAGTCGCCAATTGCTAATGATCTGAGTGGCATAAAAGTTTTTATCGAGATATTTGCCATACAGATAGAGGCCAAGTCTTAATATTTGTAATTTATAATAATCGAGAAATTTATTTAAGATATGTTATTTTCTAAAAATAACAAGGGAAAAATTTCCTACCTATCATTCGAAAGCAATAGTATAATAACAAATTATGACAACATTATAGAAGAGTAGGATTGGCTTCAAATTAGATCCTTTATTGAATAGCTACTTTAAGAGTATCGATTTAATAAATACATTAGAAATTATTAATTAATCATTTAAGAATATTTACATATTTTTCATTTCTTTAACCAAAAGTTCATTAAAGAATTTATAATTGTCAAAGTACAAATGATGCCCTGAATCTGGAACAACAGTTGTTGAACTTTTTTTTCCAAACCTAGTCACCAACTCATCTGTGACTCTCTTCCCACCTCCAATGTCCATCCAATCCTTCTCGCCATAAACCCACAACCATTCACAATCACTTTTAGGGATACCTTCAGTCTTTGGTGATTTAAATAAGTTATCTTCCAAAGGTATCCTTGGATCACCACCACATTTTAATGCGAAGCCTAAGATATACTCTCCAGATCCTTTCTGATTGAAAATAGAATACGCATATCTATGCAATTTCTCAAATTGCATCAAATGTCCACTTTGCTTCAATTGCTTAAATCTCCTATATGACCATCCACTTGTCAACTTAGACCCAAGATAATATGTATTTCTAACAAGCGTAAACGGCGATACGTTTTGATCCCATAATTTATTAAACCACCATGGAGTCTTAATATTCCCAATTTCTTCTGAGGTGCTCGATTGACAAATACCTGCAGGTGAGCACATAACGATTTTCTTGAAATCATTGGGAAATTTATCGATATATAACGCCATCAGATAAGCTCCCAAAGAATGAGCCATAATCATATTATTTTCTGGGGTTGTCAATAGGGATCTGGCTTTAAACCAAGTCCGAATACGTTTGTGAAACCAATCTTGTACATCACTAATATCATGCTCAGGATATTTAAAAGGGAACTCACATCTTTTAGAATAACCATACCCTGGCAGGTCAATAGCATGAATACACCACTTATTATCTAATAACGGTAAATGTTCAAAATTTTTAAGAAAGAAACCTAGCCCTGCACCATATCCATGTATGAAAATTAAATGTTTGAGGTCCCTTTGATCAGCTTCAGCACCGATAGGAGATATACAAAATTCATTAATGTAATTTCCTTCATCATCAACTTTAGTTGTAATCAATTCAGCTTTCTTTCCATCATTGGCCATCGGATAGTATGGTAAAGTCGATAATAATTCAGTTTGAAACTTATCAATATCCTTATGGAAGTCATGGTAATCATTAAGAGACTCCTTCAGAGTCCTTGGAAATAAATTTGGTAACTTTAGAATGATTTCATACAAAGGTATTGCTGCTGGTGCGGCTGGAACTGTTGGTAATTTTTCATCCCTACTGGGAACACCTGAAGTTGCAACACGTCTGAAATTAAAGTTATTACTTATAAAAGACTTGGATGTACGAATAAGATTTCTAATAGGCATTAAGTACACCAAATTTTCCTGTTCCCTCTTACCAGTAATCTCTTAAACCTTAACGGATATTGTCTAAACCCAGCTTTGAAGAACAAAAAACTGATCGTAATTTCTACCAATCCTGGACCGTTTCAAACTCTTGGAAAACAATATCAACTTGAATAGCACTCAAAATAACCTAATCAACAAACAAACAAAGCCTTCCAGCACCTTTTTAACACCTTTATTCAATCTAAACTTTCTTTAATCATCTCTTGTATCGTTGACTGCATAGTTAACCATCTCTCTTTTTTTTTTTTTCACCTTAAATATTGATCCCATTGTCTGTAAAAGCCCGGAGTAACCAATGAAAAGACGATGATTCTAAAACTATAAGAAAGATAAAACTAACTAATCATATGATTCCATGGAATAAACCATTAATTAGTTTAAATAGTTTGGTATATTCATGATTCAGTTTATTATAAAATTAGGATTATTGCAGAGATCTTAGAATTGAAGGATCGATTTCCTTAGAGACGTGGTCGACGAATTCGTTGAATGACAGACCAATGAGATGTGACGGATTACTTTTGGTGATTGTACCTTTATCTACTTCTAACGAGTATCGTCCATTTAAGATATCTATTGCGAATGACGGGGTATTATTGAATTTCCAATGATGACTTTTCAGTTTTTCCATAGTTTCTATAATTTCTTGATTGATTGAAGACGACTCATTGCAGTAAAAAATCGATGTCTCATTTTTTGTAAAATGAGATCGAAACCCATCTGCACATATATCAATAAAAGCATTAGTACCTGAAAGTGGGATATTTGCTACTTTTGAACGTACGCTATCAACACTATTACATTTCCATTGAATCCCAGGTGTTGATTTTGGTTTTAATAACCCTGTAAATTTCTCCAATTCCGAATTTATCAACATAGTTCCATGATGATATGATTTCCCCTTGGCAATTTTAAATGCACTGCCACTTACTTTATAACCATTATAAGTTATATCACCTCTTTCATTAAGAGATATCGATAAATTTGGATCTATTCCTAACAACCAGTGAACTATTTTTTCATTGAAAAATTCTCTCTTGAATTCATCTCTTGAAGTAAGATAAGAATAATTCACATTCCCTAAATCATGAATTACTGCCCCACCTCCTGAAAACCTTCTTATAATATCATAGCCATTATTGTTTAATTCTTTAACATACAATTCTTTCCAAATATTTTGGTTCTTACCAATCACTGCGCACTTATCATTGACATAAAACATCAATCGTTGACTATGGAAGGACTCATGATCCACTGCAATTGGTGTGTTACGAAACACATAATCCTCCAGTGCTAAGTTGTAATATGGGTCATTGGATAAACTTCTAATAATGAACCTTCCCTTACTTTTAACCATCTCTTCTAGATCTTTCGAATCGAGAACCTGAAACCCCACATGATATAACGAATTCAACTCAGAATTCAACTCATCCAATTCATCAACTGACCCTGACTCTGAAATACCATCTTTTGATGTTCCTGGAACTGTAAACATATCTGAATACATCGTATTTAAGCTCTCACATTCATCATCTAAGCTTTTCACCGATTGAGAAATAGGTTTTGAACTGAATCTTCGACATCTGACCAAACTTAACCTTCTAATCCCAACACACATACTCATATTCACGCCAATTACACGTCCAATTTCAATATATAACCATCTATCGATGAAAGTTCTTGTATTCATCTTCATCACCATCTTTGATCGAGCATGTTCGACCTTTTAAGCTTATTTAAAAAGTGAAAAATTATTCAAATCTATAAGATGAGATGAGGTGAAATGGAGACGCATGTTCTTGTGATAGAGGGATGGAAACAGGAGATTTTGAGTTCTTGAGGTGTTGAACTGATTAACGAGTTGATATTTAATTATGGATCGAGTTCAAAATTTTATTAAAGAATGCTTATTTGTGAAGAATTTTGATAATCCAAACAAACCAATTGATGAAAATAGGCTACAAGAAACTTTGCTTTTATTACCTACAGATGGTGGTCTTACCGGCAGATTAATGAGGTCACGAAGCCAGATGAAGATAAGTGCTAGTTCTATTGAGTCTGGTGGAAGTTCTGACAATGTGAAACATCCTAATTATAGAGAGATCAATAAAAATTCTAGAGAAGCTTTACATGATTATATTGTAAAATGTAAGAAAAGTGCTTTAAAAGTAAAGAAGATCGTCAATTCTAACAATTTTAATGATAGATATACATTGGAGGATTACCTACAAAGTAAAGAACCATTATTATGGCAAGAAATTCCCAAATATGATAAATTTTTGCCAATGTATGAAATTCTTTGGGTTGGATACGTTAAAGAACTATTAAACATACCTTTGAATATCAAAGATGCCAAAAGTTTAAGTATTAACGGTACTACAGCTCTAAGCAAGTTGTCTATGGCCGATTACAATGGTGCATTATTGAAGGTTGTTCATTCAAAGAATAAAAATATGATTGGAATTGAAGGCATAGTAGTTTGGGATAGCCAAAAGAACTTTATAATGGTAACAAAGGGCGAGTTATATGATCAATTGAAGATTATCCCTAAAAACGGAACGGTTTTTGGATTCCAAGTTCCTATCAATGATGATTTCGCATTACAGTATAGTATATTGGGTGATAGATTCAAATACAGGAGTAGCGATCGTGCTGGTAGAAAGTTCAAAAGTCGTAGGTGTGATGATATGTACCATTACATCAAAGATCAAAGATAATGGTAACACGTAATCCATCATAAAAAAACCTGCATTGATTGATAAAGTGATTGCATCATCCAGAAAATCGAATAAAGCATTCTGAGTCTTTTGATAGAACAAAAGAAACATCAAGCATCAAAACTGAACTAAATGGAGATAGAAACCTAAAAATATAAATACCTTCATCAAATGAATCAAGTTCATGTAGATTTGTAACAATATAGACCTATCTAATATTATCTTATCTATAATTAATGATTTAGACCATAATCTCTTTAAAATCTTCAGGTTTAATGATTTTTGGGCCGATTAAAAAACCTGGAAATTTGGAGTATACACTATAAATTATTACGAATTCAATTAAATCCACATTTGAAAACCCAAACTTGTCATTTAAACTTCATTCAATCCAATAGTTCTTGTTAACTCATCGCTGACAGTCATAGAAAACGGTTATTACACGGCTTTCTTCTAAGAACCGTAAATATTTGAAATCGAATTTAAGGCCATTTAAAGCAAACCATCCATCACATTTATAGAAGAAGGATGATCAACAAAGCTCAAACTAGCCAACTTTTATGGGATTACTAGATCAACATACTTGATGATTAAAGTGTAAGATGGATATTGATGTTGATGTGAGATATTGGAAGGCTGAATATTCACCAAAATCTTTCAATGGCTTATCTCATCACTTAGAAGAATGTGTTCAATTGATCAAAGAAACCTTTTCCCAGGCAATTGTGAATCTAGAAAGAGACTCGTATGGAGAGCACAAAGGAACTTTGGACTTGGTTGATAAGTCGGTGAAAATGTGTGAGATATTAACCTCAGCAAAGCTTTATTCAACTGTCGAGTCACAAGGGGAAACCGAATCAAAGAAGCATAAACGGTTAAGATTGTTAAGCCAATATCAAATTGTTGAAGAATTTCATCAATTTGTGAATTCTCTTTTTGTTGAGTTTCTTAATATATTGGCGGAAAAATTTTCTTTCAGAAGTAATCCTAATTGTGATGATTCAATTCCTTCAGTTTTAATAGATGAATACTTCAAATTAGAACTGATCTTTTATGATTCTCTAAAAGATATTAGACAAATTACTGATTACGTTTATCTCAATTATCCACAAATAGGGAAAGAAACTTTGGGTGAACTGATCATCGATGATTACTATTACAAATTATTTGTAATTAGCGTACAGAGATTCTGGGGCACCAAGTTCAATAAAGTTGTAGGATATTTCTTCGATGGCTACAATTTTGGACCTATATATGAATTAACAAAATGGGATGAATTGAAATCATTTAAAATTGGTAATTTTTTAAGATCAATTATCAAAAATAACTTAATGATCGATGGCATGTCTCCAATTGAATTTTATGAAAAGAATTTATTTGATAATGCCTATATAAATCATGAAAATAAATCATTAAATGAATTTTACTTAGAATTGAATCATCGTTTAATATTACAAGCAAGACTTGCTTGGCATATTGACTCAGCTTTGATTCATTTATCTACACAAATCATACTTAGACGAAACTTTTATGACAAGTCGAACTTAACCTTGGTATTAAAAAAATTAATCGAATCAACAGAATTCTTACTTAGCATGGAGGTTGGAAATCCAAGGAGTAAGGGCAGCACAGAACTTTTTAGTATCATCTATAAATTCTATGAAAATTTGAATGAACTGGATTTGTTAAAAGAAATAATAAAATCCACTTTATTTAATTCGATTTATCTATCACTTAAATCAGAAGGAAAGAATTTTCAAGCAAACACAAAATTTCTATACGTGATAACAAGGTTTTTATATTTCAGTCGAACAATTCCCAAACAAAAATTGAAAATCAAACAGGAAGGTTATTCATTGGATTTTGAACCAAACTCAATGACGAGGTTTATAAAGGATGAGTATTCTAAAATTATCGGTGGTGACTTCAAAATCATAGAATTATATCAGAAGTTATGTCAAAATCGACTTAAGAACTCTCAGGAGAGTTTTGAGATACCCTTGGATGATTATGACAATATGCTGTTTATATCAATGTATTGTCTTGAAATTGATACCGTTTATATAGAAAATCACTTAAAATATTTGTTCAGAAAATTCATAATGAGCGGTTCTACTTTTTGGCACTCAGAGTCAACCTCTGACTTTGAAAAGAAACTATTATATACATATGAACAAATTTCTTTGAAAAGGAGCAACGAAGACATTATTAGTAGTTTTATCGATGAGTTAGAAACAAGTTGTGACATAGGGAAAAAATATTTTTCATATGCTTTTAAAAAGAATCCCAAAGCTACTTTGCAATTAGAATTAGTTCCTATTGTTCTCAAGAAGGATAAAATCCCAATAACTTTCCCAGCCGAACCAAACCAAAAACCAAGACTCCCCCCTACCTTGGAGTCTAGATGGTTGGAATTTGAGAATTATTATAAATCAAACTATAACGATAAGCATAATTTACATTTTGAATATTCCTTGCATCATTGCGAAGTATCATCTCCATATATATTACCCAATGGAGAGTACTTGACATTCCAACTTACTTTATATCAAAGTTTGTTACTAGACTTATTCAACGAAAAAAATGAGATATCAATAGAGATGGCTAGTAAGGAATTGATAATTGACATAAATACTGTCAGGATATCAATGCAATCATTTTTAGATTGTAGATTGGTAAAGGAAACCATCAATGGGAATTTTGAAATTAATGATAGTTATGAACCAGACTTGAGAAGAGTCAAAGAAAATAAGCTAAGAATTGGTCTACCTAAAGCTACAACAATTGCATCAAATTCCAGGCCAAAAAGACCTCTAAAAAACAATTTACATAAGGAAGGTAGCAGCTCCCAATGGAAATTAGAACTTTTATCGTTATGTATTGTAAGATCCTTAAAGGGCCAAAGCGATGGAGTTGATTATGATACTTTATTTAGAAAAGTCGAGAAGCAATACCACGGTGTCAGTATTGGTGAGTTTAAGGAAGCGTTAAATAGGGTTCTAACTGAAAGATCTATAAACCAGAAAGATGAAAGATTTTTTTACTAGGATTAAAGCGGATAGAATCTTGAAATAACGAAGACTAAACGCACTCGGCATTTATATACAGACATATATATCAATTTTTTCGCCTTACATTCTCTCATGTTAGACTCAAATGTGATTGAAATTTCCAGCATATAATAAACAAAGACTATAATTACATTCATCTATACAATATCTATTATTTAAATTTTAAAAATAGTAATGATAAAAAATGAACCAACATGAAATGATAATGGCTAACTCTTAACTCTATGACTTTTCTAATTTCTTGTCCTTAAAAAATTTCATGAACATCGTAAAATAAACTATGTTATAATTTATACTTTTGTTAAATCTATAATAAACTTATTATCATTCAGGTTCAAATGCTTGTTCTAGAACATCAAATAATACACCCAAAAGCTGAATATGGTAATCAACATCATTAAAGTCTGTTTCATTACTTGGCAATATAATTGGACCCCAGATAATTGAAACTGCCCTTCTATTCATTTTATTCTTTTCTTCATTATCTATCACCCTTTTCAGATGAAATAAGAGAGATCTTAAAGTCCAATATTGGGCATCTGGAAATTTATATATTAAACCATGCATATAGTTCTTCCTTGTAGTCATATCTTCAATCGATAAACATGTATTTAATTCATTTGAAATTGAAGCTGGAATCAGAGTGTCTGGTAATGAACTGAAGAACAATTTTAATAGTGATGCTACTAAATAAATGTCACTCTCATCATGATTTGGAGGTGGTATATATTTTGTGACATTTGTTGGGTTATTTTCAACTTGATTCTTTAAAGACTCTAGGAATTCTAATCCAACGGGATGACGGTATATTTCCTCTAACTCTAAACCATATTTATCAATGACATGAATCGATTGTCTGACTATACTAGGTACCATATCCTGTTCATATTCAAATAGATTCTCTAGAGGAGCACCAAATAATTTCAAATCTTTTTTGTCTGTTTTGTCTTCAACAGGATTTGTGATTACAGCGTCTATATTTGAAGGAGATGGAGAAAGAGCTGGTAACGATAAATTATCTGAGGCCTGCGATTGTGAAATCTGGTTTTCTGTATTAGAAATAACCATTGAAATAGCATTCTGAATTGATTCATTTTTATTGGCATGTGGATCAAGTGACCTAAAACTAGTATCCGACTTTATAATAGAGTCTAAATCCTGACTATTTTCATTTTCATCGTCATTCAGATTTGAATCAATGTTATTTGCAGAAGTTACAACATCAATCATAGGCTTAACTACCTGTGAAGACGAGGTTACAGGTTCTACGGTATCCGAGATATCACCTAAGGTTGTTGATTTAGTTATATTACTTTTCTTTGAGGATAAGTTTGATGCAATGGCAGGAGATGTAACTGATGATGGTAATGATTTAAAACCATCGAAAGGTGATTCGTTATGAGTCGATATCATTCTCTTTGGGATTGAATTTCTGGAAGGATCCACTACAAAAGAAGGTTGGTGTTTTAAAGATACATTCGATGAGGATCTTGACTTGTTTTTAATCATGGAAGGATGCTTTGTATAAGTCACAGGAATTAGATTTTTATTAATATATTTTGGAGAATTATCAGTAAATTTCTTCAAATAATTGTACAAATCTTTTTCATTTGTAATTGAATCAGCCAATGATTTCATTGATACTGTTTTATTTGGAGAGTCATCTAACGGAGAGACTATCGAACCAGAATCCAATAATAACTTTTCCGTCCAGATAGAATATTTTTGTAGTTGTATAGTCATCGCAGTATCTAATTCCATAATCAAATCAGATAATTCAGATACAATACGAGGACGTTCAATGTTTAGTAAATTATTTCTTAAATTTGTTGCAATTTCAACCTTTTGTTTATAATCCAAATCTGCAATGTCAATTTTTCTTATTAAATCTTCTTCTTGTTCTCGTGTAGTTCTTGAACCTCTTAAAGTTAATTTGGTCTTTGTTGGGTCAACCAATCTTAGTTTTTCCCAATCCTGGCATAAAGAATAGTATCTATTTTTATTCTTTTCAGCTAAATGAATGGCATCAGCTACATTTTTCTCTAAATGTCTGCTTGTTTCCTTTAACGATTTCCTCATTCTTGTCATTGTTAATAGTAATGAAGACAACTCATCGTACATTTTACTCAGGTATTGGGCATATATATATCTAACCTGAGCTAAAGAGCCGTCGAAGGCAAATATTTTAACAATATTCTTATGTAAAGTTGAAGAAGAAGGAGTAATTGAAGTTGAATCATTATTGAAAAAATGTTTATACTGTTTCGACAATTCTTCCAAATAATTTTCTTCAATAATGAATTTTTTTCTAGTAAATTTAGTAAACTCTTCACAGATTAGTATAGATTGTTTTAATCTTGTTAGCAATGCATTCGTGGCTACGTCCAATTGTAATACTTTTACAATTTCATCAGATTCGAGTAATCCTGTCATTAGAGTAGTATAGACATAAAGGAAAATATAAATTTAAACACTGGTAGATTCAGGAAAAAAGCTAAAGTTTGCCTTGATATCATCGGTAGAGACAGAAATACTAATCGATATAAATATAGATAATTTATATTTGTTTATACCTTTATAAAATCTCAACTGAACTCGAAATCGAAATCGAAATTGAATTTCGATTTCGATTTGGAAGAGACGGTTTTAGTAAATAAAAAAGAAACGAGACATGTACTAAAAAGGAGAAATCATGAGATTCACCAGATGGTTTTATTATTAGCAAGAGATCAAGAAACTTAGGTTAGAGTGAAAGTGTTTGATAAAGAGAGTATAGTTCGGTATTATATGAGAAGATTTGTATATGACTGACTTATATTCCAATGTTATTGCAGGGCTTTATCCATTTATTTAAAGATAGGATATAATGAACTGAAAATTACAGACTACTAAAAATAAATTAGAAAAGATGGACATGCAAATGGGGTATTGTGATCAGTACGGTACACTGGTGTTCCTGAAGGTAACATGATACTTACAGTAGTATAATAATTTAGACCTGTTTTTATTACCCAGTTAGTTAAATGAGGATGCTTATTACGTTATTGATCTTATACGGCTTGACAAACATTATCCGGGTAACTAGTGTATATTCAACTGAAATGTGTCAACAATGAACCAGTTTCACTCACTGTTCAAGCACGAAACCCTAGGATTGGTAACTTAATAGGATCAAATTTCATAGCATGACAATATTTTATACATATATATATATATACCTTCTCGATCATCACATTCCCTCTTCCAGTTAGATTTGACCCAACGTCATCTTTTGTTAATGTAATTGAATTATTAATAATAAAAACGGTAATGGCTTGAGTAGTCAAACAATTAATTGATTCTCAAGTACAGGGCAATATTGTCTATGATCAACATGAATAAAAGATAACAGCCACCATCAGATCGTCGAACTCGTCAACTATCAATAGTATCTTGCCAGAGATCCAAGCTGTTTTAGCCCTGATCACGTTTTTACTATTTTTTTCTTTTTTTATAATGTGCAAACACTGTTTAGGTCTCTCTTAAGTACTGGTCAGATCAAGTGACGCTACCAAATATAAATACACGAAAAATGGATGTGAAAAAAAAAACAGAAAAAATCTGACAGTATATAAGGCGACGATGGATCGATGATCTCTTAAAAACTTTTTCTTTCATCAATGAGATCTTTATATAGAATTGTATATATGTCTATTATATTTCTCCTATTGATATTACTTTGAGTGCTTGCAATAGTACCAAGCCACCTATGCGATTACCGTATTTTTCAATGAACCACTATGGTTAGTTACAATAGGTATTGTACATTGAATTGTATGCAATTAATCACATAATTTTTAAATTGCAATTCTTATGTTCTATTATTATTAGATAATTAATTATTTAACATGATGATAAAATTAAGTTGCATAGTTCAACTGATTTTCTTTTAAACGTGAAGATAAAAATTTCCATCGAATTTAGTCTTTCGCTCCTATCTGATTATTATTTATTCTAATTATTATCTATTTTATTCACTTGTCTGTTCTTGAAGAGGCTTTAATGCATACATCCTCACCGGATACAATTCTTGTGGCAATCCCTTTTGTCTATCTGTAGCAATCAATTTCAATCCACTCTGTTCAAATAATTCTTTAAATTTATTGTCGGATCTTGTAACTGAACTATCGTCCGGGTCGAAGTCATGATCGTTTGTGGTGTTGTTCTCTTTAACAACAATTGTACCGTTTGGTTGCAATCCTTTGATACATCTTTTAAAAAATTTGATCAACTCTTCATCAGGTAGATGTCCAACACACCATTGACACCAAATCAACCAATATTTTCCTTCCTCTGGCACCCAATCCTGCATACCAACGTCATATATCGTACCGATCTTGCCCTCTTGACTCAATTCTTGTAAATCAACCTTCATCTGTTCCACAAACGGCTTAACAGGTTCAACCAGATCAATTTCATCACAATGCTTGTATAACATAGTCTTGGTAACCCTACCGATACCAGCACCAATGTCAGCCCCAATTTTCTTATGACCTGGGCTAACAACCATTCTAGACTTTAACTTACGCAAGAAATGATTGGACCCTAGCACATCCATCGTTGGCACAATAGTTTCTTCACCATACCCACCTAACACTCCATCGACTGTAGCAGGAGTTTGACTCCAATACTCAATGGCATCATCATAATTAATTTGACTGTCACCCATAATATATCTATTATCCCACGACACGCACACACACACAGACTCTCCTTAGCATAACACAGATCACCCAACTAATCGACGAACTCAAAAGTCACCTCTCTTAAGTCTCACCTCACCTCATCTCATCTCATCTCATCTCATCTTACTATCAAATTTTTCATCTCATCACCAAATTTTCGATTCGGCTTAAATTCACAATTTTTCATATCTTCAAACTGTCTAAAATTACCTTTAAAGAGTGAGCCTACAAAAAATTAAAATAAAGAGTACTGATGATATCAACTATTTTCAACACAATCATCTCATAACTACTGAAACAATATACCCATTGAATCTCTAGAAATTATACATAATCTGTAAATTAATATCAAATTGAACTGTTTCTTGTTTAAACTGGGATCATCCTATCAATTTTTTTCCTAAATTTACGTCATTTCTCTTCTCGTTAACGTAAATTTTTCACTTTCTTCTTGCTTTCGAAACCTCATCACATCAGAAAATTTATGACTACAGAGAGGTTTCAAATTGGTTCTAGAAGGAGTCAACTGTTTACTACAATCAAGAAATATGATTTTATTAAAGTATATATAAGTATGGGTTTAAAATTTGGTCTCTAGTTTGGTTCCTGGTGGTGTCATTTAATTCTTTTCAATCTCTCAATAGGGGAGAAAGAAAGGCTAAGTTGTACTACTAGTTTAAAAAAAGGATGTTAAATAGGGTAGTTAGAATCAATAGAAATGTTCGTGGGTTTGCTACCAAGATCAATGCTCAACAATTGTTATTGTCCAAACATGTCAATGAGATTGATCCTGAAATGAGTAATATCTTAGATAGTGAACGTAACAGACAGAAACATTCAGTCACTTTAATCCCATCTGAAAATTTCACTTCTAAAGCTGTTATGGACTTATTAGGTTCAGAAATGCAAAATAAATATTCCGAAGGGTACCCAGGTGAACGTTATTATGGTGGTAATCAATTCATTGACAAAGCTGAAAGTTTATGTCAAAATCGTGCTTTAGAATTGTACGGCTTGGATCCAAGTAAATGGGGGGTCAATGTCCAACCTTTAAGTGGTGCCCCTGCAAATTTATACGCTTACTCTGCTATTATGAATGTCGGTGATCGTTTAATGGGTTTAGATTTACCTCATGGTGGCCATCTTTCCCATGGATATCAATTACCTTCAGGTACTAAAATTTCTTATGTTTCAAAGTATTTCCAGACAATGCCTTACCAAGTCGATACCAATACCGGTCTAATCGATTACGATGCTCTAAGTTTAACTTCAAAATTATTTAGACCAAAGGTTATCGTTGCTGGTACTTCTGCTTATTCAAGAAAGTTAGATTATAAGAAATTCCGTGAAATTTCTGATGCTTGTGGTGCCTATTTATTAAGTGATATGGCTCACATTTCAGGGTTAGTCGCTGCTGGTGTAATTGAATCTCCTTTTGAATATTCTGATATCGTTACTACCACTACTCACAAGTCCCTAAGAGGTCCTCGTGGTGCTATGATCTTCTATAGAAAAGGTTTAAGAAAAACTACTAAATCTGGTAAAGAAATAATGTATGATTTGGATAAAAAAATCAATTTCTCTGTATTCCCAGGTCATCAAGGTGGTCCACATAATCATACCATTTCTGCTTTAGCAGTTGCTTTGAAACAAGCATCCACTCCAGAGTTTAAAGAATATCAACAAAGAATTGTTGAAAATGCTCGCGTTTTCGCTGATGAATTGATCAAACGTGGTTTCAGCTTAGTTTCTGGAGGTACTGATAACCATTTGATTTTGATTAACTTGTCCAACTTGGGCATCGATGGTGCTCGTTTGGAACTATGTTAGAAAAAATCAATATTGCTGCCAACAAAAACACAATCCCAGGTGACAAATCTGCTCTATTCCCATCAGGTTTAAGAGTAGGAACTCCAGCAATGACTACAAGAAACTTTGGTCCAGAGGAATTCGCTAAAGTTGCCGAGTACATCAGTACCGCTGTCAAACTATCCATTGGTTTGAAATCTCAAGAATCACCAGATGCTAAAGATGTCAGATCTAAATTAGCAAATTTCAAACAGTTGTGTGAAGAATCTGTTGCTGTTCAAGATCTAGCAAAAGAAGTTTCAGATTGGGTTGGTCAATACCCAGTACCAGGTGAATTATAATTACCTTTTGCTATACAGAGAAGGAGCAACTATCTCTGAATCTATATAATAATAAATATGCGTATCTTTTGTATTATAATTTACACATTTTAAGGTGTTTAATTTTAAATTATAATCAACCAATCAATTAATTTAATAACAATATATTCTTTCTCAATTACCTATCTCTGCTATCAGAAATTCTTTTATCACATAATAATTTTAGATCTTTACTTCCTAACAAAAAAAAAACATATGACAAATGATATATAACTTAAATGGAACACAAGAGGCTTTAACCGATTATGAAATATCAATCGAATAGAAAGTTCGTCCATATTCCTTTCAGTTTTAGACCTTCTGTACCGCGACACATTAATAAACAGAAGCAAATTAAAAGAGTTGTATATCATTGCTTCAGTAAGAAAATATATTAATTCTGGATTGTCTAAAAGTATATATGAACTATTAGTTTATTTGAACAAAGTATACATCAATGGTAAAGGCTAAGTGTCAGTACTCTTGTTAATTCTTTAATTAGTGTCATCTAACCTAGATATTTACCCGGACTTTACGAATTTTGTATGTTTTGATAAATTTATTACGCGTTCAGATGAGCATCTTCATGATGTTAAACACTAGAGGTAATGCTTAAAAGTGTTCGATTTAAAGGCAAACTATGAAATTATTTTTAGATATAATTGTGACATGAACGAACGATTGGTAACTAACTTCTAGATTGCTGTTAATAAACTGAGTTAAAAGCGAAAACTGGTGTCTGTTGAGCCCTTTAAGTGCTTTTGTAAAATTTTCGTGTCAGCATCAGAAACCCAACTTATATTGATAAAGTTGATTCAAATCTATCCACAGGGTAATTTCAACGATAGTATTATCAGATCTATCTATTATTTTAGAGATTAGTAATAAAATTATTTGAAAATGTCTTCAAATTCTACTCCTGGAGGGAGAAAGGTGCGAGCGTTAGATATGTTAGACAGACATATGAATTCGAGAATTAATTCAAAAAAAATGATATCCTTATCACAACCTACATATTCAGAAGTACGGGATCAACTCAATTCAAATTCACCAAAAACTATGTCTGATCATGGTAATTTTAATGTTTCACCGACACCAAAACGTAGGAAATTAAATAATGAAATGTCTGAAATTGAAACTCCATTAGTTACTATTTTAAATGCACCTGAAATTCCACCACCTGACTTAATGGAGAAAAAAAAAGATAGATACAATGCTAATAATTCATCATCACCTCGTGGAGGTACTCCTAAATCCGTTGCATTTTCTGATAAAATAGAATCATCACCAACAAATAAAGACCCTTTGCATACACCTTCTCGACCTTCGTCTATTACGAAACCAAAGAGATCAATTTTAAGGAACTCATTGGCAGTAGGTCCAGTATTAAGTGATATTAGTGGTAACAAGCTTCAATACCAAAATACCCAAACTGGAACTGTCAATTATGCTGCCAACAATTTTAGTACTAATTCTGCATCATATTGGGTTGCTGGTGAAGTTCATAGCATGCTGGATCCCAATGACATTTCAGAATTTAGAGATATTATTGAAGGTGGTATTAATATGTTAGAGGTTGGCAAATCAAGGGAAATTGATCGTAGATTCGAAGTATTTGCAACATTCAACAATATTATCCCAATTGTTACATCAAAAACTAGTAACGAAGTTGTTGAAAAAAAAATTGAAGTAATTATTTCATTTTTGGCTCGACTATATTTCATTGCTTCAAAGGAGTTGGAAGTGGAGCAAACCGAATTACTTAATGACCCAAATAAGAAAAATCCTTTTTCCTCAAGACTTTACGTGCAAATTGTTAGATTGTTGACACTAATATATTCAAGTTTTAAAATTATGAAATGGGTGAACAGAAACATAAAGTATCAACAAGTATTTAAAGAGATATTCAAGCTTTCCATCGAAGCACTAGCAAGTCCTAATGCAAATAAAGTCATCATAGCTGCTCAGACAACATTTTTAAGAGAAGAGAAATTCAGTTCCTATTTTTTAAATAAGCAAGATATTGAAAAAATAGTGGAATGTATTCCTATGATGAACGAAATTAATAGCACTAATTTAATATGCGAAAAGCTATTGTTGATCAAAAGTTTTCTTATTAAACATCCAGCTATAATGATCAAAAAAGTCAAGTTATGGCTACCTTCTGAAGTCTTATCTCGTATCCTAGTTACCGAAGAAGTATATACAATGAAAATTGGAGCGACTGCTATATCTGTATTATTGGAATTATTAAAAAAATCAATCGATAATGTGGAATGTAAAAAGGAAATTTATCAATGTTTAAATACAGATCATGTATATAAGAATGTACCAAACAAATTTTCAAGGGAATTTAAAAGTCTCGAATCCCAGCTCGATTGTGATCATGAGAACATAACATTTGGCCACTTATTAAAAAGACATATCAAACTGCTAATTTATAAAAAAGAAGAGTATAAATTAGCAATGGATCTGTGGCTAGCATTAATGGCTCTAATGTATAACAATGAAGAGCACGTCGTTGATCTTGCATATAACGAAGAAGACAAAGAGTGGATCAGTATAAACCAAGAATGTTTTGAACAGAAAAACATACAAGCAAAGATTTATTCAATTAAAGTATGGCGTATTATCCAATATTGTGTATTCCATAACATTTCTAATGTAGCTAAAGAAAAACAGGAAAAATTACTCAGATTGTTATTGAAACCTTTTGATTACTGTACCGAATTTGAAACTGACCAGGCTATTAAAGATGGGTTAATATACTATTTTTCGGGATTAATGTATGCAATTTCGACCGGAAGTGAAACATACAGTGAACGTTTGAACAATATAATATGGAGTTCAGTTATAGAACATATATATCTAACAAAATTGCCAAGGTCATTAGGGATTCAGTTCTATGATAAGAGCAAAATGTTATTACAACAGCTATTAAGTAACGATGTTAATGATCGGAAGAAAAAAAGTTTCAAAAATATAAATATGATAAAAGTAATCGCTTCTGCTGGCATAGAAGAATCAGAGATCCCTGAAATAGATCCAAGAATAATATGCTCAAATCTATCATCCATTTTGGCCATTTTATTACATTTGATTAGGACTGATATAGAAATATCTGGAGAAAGTAACAATAAATTTTATAATATATTATTATCAAATTTTCAAATATTGGACATTAAATCGACAAAGAAAGATTTCATAACTATGAGGGACTTTATCTTGGAAGTTATCAAAATAATTTCCTCAGAAGAAACTTACGATTATAATTTTATGATTCTTTCATTAGACCTTATAAAATCGTTCAAAACTTGGTTATTTGACGAAGAAATTTCATGTTTTTCCATAGAATACTTACTACATTGTAAGAAGATTGGTATGTTAAGTGAAGAACTAGCAGTAGAATTTTACAAGTATATTTTAAAGGAATGTGAAGGTTTTTTATCTGATTTAGCAATAGCCCGAGTATTCTTAGATTTAGGATATGGGAGTTGTGCTTCACTTATTGCTAAAAAGATTGGTTCCTACTCGTTAACTAAAGACCTTTCTTTAAAAGAGTTGGGATGGCTTTGTGAAATTATGAATATCATTCCAGAAATCGAGATAACTGAAAATAAGGTTGATAAAGAGCCCAAGTTTGAGTCAGTCATTTATGTATTAGATCATTTAAATTTTGGTACCTGGAAGAACAAACAAGTACAACAATTTTTAAGAAACAACTTATTTAATGATTCAGCAAATATTGCGAATAATATCTTTAATATTGTGGAGAAATTTTCAGAAAAACCAATCCTGTGTCGTAACATTTTGGCGTGCCTATTACAAGATAAAGAGTTTGAAATAATAAAACGATTAGTTGGATCGAAACCAACGTTTTTAGAATTTATGTCAGACGTTAATATGGACACTCTATCAAATATTATTCCTATTAACCAGTTAGATGAACTAATAGAAATCCACTCATCTCAAAATAAAACCATCAAAAAGATTCTTATTAGATTCTTATTGTTCAAGTCTGATAAGATAGAAAACTACCCTGATTTGCTTAAATCTTTATTTTATTATAGAATTGAAGAAAAGACGTTTACCATTGAAGAGAAGGAGCATTTTATCATAACCCTGTTAGGTGATCTCCTTGAGGACAAATTATGGAATCCCTTAAATTTACTGTGTAAAGAATGTTTTATCAATGATAGTGAGATATACATGAAAGGAATATTTCAAAATTCAACTGTAGAGCAAATTTTAGAATTAGACGGATTCATAATAGCAAAAATGGCATGTAAGCCAAAAATATTCGACCAGTCACTAATAACAAAAACGATTAAGAAATGCTTCGAATGCAAAGATTCTAATTTTAATAACGATATACTTGAAATATTATTCCACGAGGAAAACTTTGGTATACTGAGACTGTTAAAAAAAGAGGTTATAATATACCTTACTGAAATCCACAATTCTGATATAGCATTGAAAGAATCAAGCAGAAAAATAGCATTGATCCAAGAATACTTGAATATGTTATTTAAAAATGAAAACATTGTCAATATTATCGAATTCGTAAAAATTTTCACAGAAGTAGCTGGTGAAAATCGATCCCAACATATTATAAATATTACGCAACTGATTCAAAATGATTTCGAATTAATGTTACAAACTAAGAAGAATACAGATATTTTTAGAAGTTATTATTTAAAACTGAATGCAATAACAGGAAAAAATGTCCTATACAAGCCTTCTGGTAAACCGCCTTTACTTGTCAATGAAACTTCTAAGGATGAATGTGATGCTAGAAGGATAAATCCTTCAAAAACCAAATCATCAGATGAAGCTGAACAAACCAATGAAGCTGGACAAAAAGTTGAAATTGAACACTCAAATGAAGTTCAAAAGGAAGAGAAAGTACAACAAACAGAGAAAATTCAACCATTAGAAAAAGCTGAACAAGAAAATGAAGTCCACCATATTAATGAAATCCAAAAGTCAGATAAAGACAGACCAGTAGAAAAAGCTCAACAAGTTCAAAAATCTAAACAAACTAAAAGATCTAAAAAGAAAATAAAACAGATTGAAAGTGTGAATGATCCACCAACGAGTCAAGACAAATATAGAAAAGAAGAAATGGATGAAACCAAAAAAGTATTAAAGAGTCAACAACCTGTAGAAGTAAATGAATCAGAAGGAATAAAAAAGGCACAACGAAATCAGGAATTAAATGAGACCAGAAATGCAGCTCCTTCAAAAAAGTCTGACAATTCTGAAAAGACAGAAAGGTATATTACAAATACTAATTCTAGGATAGAAGTAGATCCTAGTAAACCTGCCAGTGTTATTGAAGATGGTACTAAGGACTTAGCTTCTTATATTCCGGGAACCAAGAAAGATAAATCTAAACCATATAGTGAAGAGAAAGGAACACCAAATGACTTAGGATTATACAAAGAACCAAATAAGAATAGCGTAAATGTATCAACTGGAAAGAATTCAGCTAAAAACTCCATTGAAGTCAATCCATTTGAAAAAAAATCTAGAAGTCCAGTCAAAGTCACAAATTCAACTAAAGGTGAGAATCAAACTTCGTTAAGAGCAAATAATAATGAGGATGGTGTTATAATAAGTAATTCAGAAAAAAAAACTAATGGAAATGATGAAAATATCAATGTTCTAGAAGGTGATTCGTCAACAATTTTAGGGAAAATTAAAATACCAATCTTTAATTCATTGAGAATGGCCAATTCTCAAAAATCCGCCACCAATAACATAATTGCAATGCAAAGCATAAAACGTCTAAGACAGAGGCATAATATCAGACCAATTGAAAATAATAGTTTTGAACTTGGGAGTAAACTAATAAGAAATACTAGCGAATCGCCAAAAAAATCTCAAACAAAAACCTTGAACTTAGATGATAATTTTGACACCAAGCTTTTGACTAGATCTAGAAATAACAAAACCGTTGAAAACTTAAAGAAAGATCTTGACCGCATTACAAAAATTGACATCACATCTCTGGATAATACTGAAAGGAAGGAGTTAAGAATGAAATTACTAAGGTGTACTCTGCTACTGGAAGATGAAGCATAAGGAAATGAAATGAAATTTGTTTCAAGTCAATATAGAAAAATTTTTATAATTTGAATGTAATGCTATGTAATAATACAAATGTAATGTTATGATATCAAGTTTCATTTGCTCCAGGAACTAAAATAATTCCCCTACAGCACAATGCTATACGTTTGAACAGTCTTCTCCATTCTAATGGATCTCCAGAACGTCTCTCGAAGTCAACACTTTTCAAAGGGTCCTCTAGTTTTGCTATAATGATAGAACCAGTAAGAACATAACCATTTCTATCCTCTGTTTTAACACCAATTGTAACGGGGAACATATATTCATCTCCCATTGTGTTGAAGAGGGTTGAAAATTGACCATATAAATCTGGCTTTACCTTGACGTGCACAATTTGTAAAGCTGTCTCTAGTAGAGGTAATATAATGTCCATTTCTTCCAGAGTATAGAATTTTGTTATATTTGTCTTATTCAAAACAAGACTTGAAGAAAAGTTCGGGTCCCTTTCATCACAAAACTGTAATACTGCCACATCGGTTAATAGTTTTTTAGTCAAGTCCAAGTCCTGTTTCAAATATGAACGTTGACCTGTAGGTCCTCCAGAATCAGGAACTACTGAATGCTGCTGTGTAAATGAATAATTTTTAACATTTAAGGAATCATGCTGGATTTGGGCTAAGTCATTGTTAATCGGTTGAGTTGATCCCAGCCTGTAAGGTATTTTTTCATTCATATTAACATCTTGCGTAAATTTGAAATAGTCGTTATCACTCAATGATACTTTTAAATTAGATAAAAGTTTCCTTGCAAGCAATGAAGGATTATTACATAAGCCATTTTCATCAGCGAATCTCACTTGGGAAGTAAACCAAGGATGCAATTTTAATGTCTCTAAAGATACCCTTTTTTCAGGATTTGGCTGTAATATTTTCCTTAATAGATTCATATGATTGAAATCAAGTCTTGTCCATGGTCCAGTGTAGATGTTACCTTCGTTTTTGATAAAATTTTCAAAATTTTCATCATCAAAGACTGGTAATTCCCAAAGTATTTCTCCAGTGAGCAATACAAATAACAATATACCAATAGACCAGATATCAGTAATATTTGCTAAATAGGCATTTGAATGTAATATTTCTGGAGCCATATAAGGAGGTGAGCCTCTTTGATCTGTGGAAATACGAATGGATCCATCCTTACGGCGATATTGATAAGCTAAACCAAAATCTGCTAACTTTAAATTACCATTCCCATCTAATAATATATTTTCAGGTTTTATATCACGATGAGCAATACCACACTCATCATGTAAATAAGAAACTGCCCTAATCAACTGTTGGAAATAAAATTGTGCGACTTCACTGTCCACACCAACATCAGGCTCAATTTTATCGAACAGATCTCCACCATCAGCCATCTCCAGCACAATCCACATAAAATCATCAGAGATATTACAATCAATCACTTTTAAAACATTATCATTCTTCGAACATCTTGATTGTAAGACAACTTCTTTAGTAATATCCTTCTCCGATAACCCTGTATTCTTACAAGTAGGAATATGCACAAACTTAACAGCAAACACAACACTAGGATCAGACTTCAAACATGCTGATTTAACACATGCAAATGCTCCATTACCAATAGTTGATCCAAGTTCAACATCTTTTATCTCAGGTATAGGTGATATTTGAGAGAAACTCATAGATCCATCCAATTTTAATCGTACAAAAACAACAAAGTATCTTTAAACCAAAATAATCACCTAAATATCTACTTCAGACAACCATCCAACTACCGTTGTTGCCCCAGAAACATCAATTTCTATCGTTTCATCTGAAATATTTTTGTTCAGTTTTAAAACCTTTTTAATCTTATACTTTTTTTTGATATCAAGGCTTTAAATATCATTTGTCATACAAAAGAACCTTTTGGATATCTACTTCAATTGATGAAGTTTAGAGCTGAAATTGTAAGTTTATGGGTCTAATAGAAGGCTAAACAAGGTATTGAATTATTAAAAAGTGAAGTGAGAAGACATTCTAGTTTGAGTTTCCCTTTTTTCTGGTTAAATTATCATTAGTTTTGGTCATTTTACGATAATTTTTGCTATAAAATATTAAAACACTAAGAGTATATTAATAATTAAAAGAGATATAGACGGATCCTGCGTTGAACAATGGTGTTAGAAGGTCTGTTTCTGGAGTCAGTCGAGGCTGCTGTAGGTAAATCTGTTTCTGAGGGCAAGGTTTTGGTGGTATATTGTTCTTTTGGGGATGACGCTTGGTTGAACAGTTGGTTTCGTTTGAAGGAAAGCATCGAAGAGTTGAATAAAGTTGCTGTTTGGTTGAAATTAATAGATGGAACTCAAGATTTCATGTATTTCAAGCAGATATCACCTAATGTCAGCATTCCCGGGGTCACTGTTATCAAGAATGGTCAAATTTCATTGGAATTGTCAGAATCTGATAGTTTGGATGATAATTGGGGGAAGCTTTGTGGTACCCTTGAAATACCAATTAATAAAGACACTGAGCCAGTTGTAAAGAAGGCGAAAATAGTTATGGATGAGCAGCCTGTAGATCAGGAAAGTTCTTCTAGAATATTGTACTATAATGAAACTATCAAAAGACAGCATGATGAAAAATTGGAACGAGATAGAATTTTAGAGTTGATCAAGGCTGATAAAGCACAACGTAACAACCTAACGCATACCGAAAATAGTAGTCAAAAGACAACAGAGGTTTTGGATAATATTAGAGATCAATCAAGACTTCATTCAAAAAAATGTATGTTATTAATTAGATTAACAGATGGGAAAACATTGAAAAATGAATTCGAGTCGTCTCAAAATTTAAATGATGTAAGAAAATGGGTAGATGCATCTAGAACAGATGGTGATGCACCTTATCTTTTCCATAGGACAATACCCAGAATGACGTTCACCGATGGTGATGAGATCAAGACTTTAGATTCATTAGAGCTAGCACCAAGATCAGCATTGATTTTAAAATCTTTAGAGAATTCCAGTAATAAATTAAATATAACAAACACACAATCACCAGGCCTATTCAGTAGAGTAATAAGTGGATTTTCAAGCTGGCTGAATACTGAAGTAGAAGATGAGCTCGATAATTTTGATGGCAGGATTGATTACAAAAGCCCAGATGTACTAAAAAATTTGCATACACCAATACTTCCTTCCAATAGGGCCACTCCAAACGAGAATGGTCCAAACGATACAAGTAAAAACAAAGAGACCTCGGGATCAGAATCTCCAGCAACTGGCAGTGCCATCCAAGAAGTACCATGTTCCAGAAGTGTGTCACCAAATGTATATCAATTTGTCAATTCTGCTGATAAAGACGACCAAAGAGAAAACTCGACTTTCAATGGTAACAACATTAGTCTGGAAAGCCATAAAGATGATTGAAAAAAAATCATGATTCAACATAACAATATTAAACACATCACATCGATGGTGATGATAGTCAATTCATATATTTCAATATAAATAATATTTTTCAATTTTAGAGTATTCTAATTCAATGGAAAAAGGGAAAGAACTAATCCAGTTATAAACTGTAACAACTGTCCTTCTAGCGACTAACAACCTTAACACTCTCTTGTATATATTGATGTGTTTCCATATCTCTTAAGAATTCATCTTTAACCTTATAATCACATGATAAGTCACTTGATGTCATCTTACTCATTTAAAGGCCTTCCCTCTCTAGTTGAAACTTATTTTAAAACTACTTGAGATGAGATGAGCTTAACTTTAACTCAAACTTAAAAGTGACAGATAAGGGCTGGAATATTGGGATTACGATGACAGAAACGGTTGGGAATGATTATTTAGATGCTGTTGTCGATGAAATTGTGAATTCTTTACAGGCTAGACCTCTTCCTGACGATATAAACTCAATAATTGAAAAATGTTCATTAAACTTTGGAATCTCTACTACTACATTAAAAGGTTCAAAAAGGATATTAGAAGGTATTAAATCTGTGATTTTGGATGATACTGTTGTATCGAGTGTTGATTTTGAATTGTTATTGAATTTACTTCAAACAGTGGTTAATTTGTGCCCTTACGATGATGTTTTAAGTGTATTCACAATTGAAGATTTAAAGAATTCTCTGTTGTCAGACTTTGAACCCTTAATGATAGTCTCTACAGATGTTATTTCTCATTCGTATCCCAAGGGTATACTGTCAAGTACTGAACTGTTTGATATTTTATTAAATTTATTGTTTGATAAAGAAACTTCAATTCCAGTGGTTAATTCTATCGAAAGGGCCTTTGGTAATTTAAGTTGTGATGAATTAGTGAGGAAAAGAATTTTAGAAAACAATTTACCTTTGTTGGTAAATATTAAGAATAATTTTGAAATGATAACAAGATCAAGATTATTAGATTTATTGACATCTTTATTTAGATATATCGAAAAACATGAATTTGATGAACAACTATTCATTACTAATGACAATGAAATAAAGAAAATATTAGATATTGATATCTTCATGTTTCTGCATATCACCATGTATTATAATAAACTATTGGATGAACTTCAAATAAGGGAATTCTCGAAGGATACTAAATATTGGGTGCTTCAATATCTCATTCCTATATTTGATAGTTTCGGATCCATCTATGCTGACTTAGAAGAAAACATTGAAGTAAAACTATATGGATTATCATATTTATTTAAGTTATTCAGGAATATTTCGTTTCTTGAGGATGAAACAATATTTAGGAAGTTGGACGTTTCATTTCTAAAGATTTCCAATTCAAATGAACATATTATCGATTTCATGTCATTTGTTAAACCCAACTATTTACTGAAGTACCATAAAGAATTGGTTCTAGATTTATCAGTTGTATCGCCTTCAAAATTAGGAATCCTAAGAAACTTGATAGGGGATGAACAATGTTTCAATGAAATAGAAGAACATTTAACATCAAATTCAATAATAGCTTTACCTTATTTAGAGCAAATGGTGCTATTAGAAAAACTTTCACAGTATGAATATTCAACTGTATTTTTAATCAATACTTTGCCCAAAGTGATGAACAACTTGATTCATTCCCAAGATTCTGATGTGACAGAACCAGAAACTGTCAGACTAAGGGAAAATACAATTGAAAATTTATTGAGATTTGGAGCTACTGTTTTAGATATATGGGGTCTCCCTCTGCGGGAAGAGCTAAATCAAATTAGATTTGGCAGAACTAACAAAGAAGCTGAAGCACATGTTGCTAGTTCATACATTTAATCCAGGCAAATGATTTTTTCACTACCTAATGTTTTGCATATCAGACTTGTTCATTTTGATCCCATGAGAAACACTAGACAGAATATTTACAAAATAATATAGCAGCAAGAACTGTTCTAAGTTATCATATCGAATTACTCTATATAATTATTTAACCTTCTATAAATACAATGAACCAGCAGAAACAATATCTCTGTGGATTAATTTTAGGATGGCTTCCATTTTTTCCTTTAATGCAGTGTTACCAATGGTATTTGATACATCGACCAATTCCTTTACTAATTCTTCAAGTCTCTTAAACATTCTAATTAAGGAACCCTCATAAACGTCTGTCATTTTACAAATTTGAGTGAAAGTGGCACCTTTACACCATTCATATACGACTTCCATTAATTCATGTCTGAAGCTTTCCACGTAATCTTTTTCAACAACCTCAATTTTGGAATCCTTCATAACCTTTGCGATTTTTGCTGCTACTTCTCTCATAGCTTTCAAAGGTTCTCCCAATTCAGGTTTCAATCTTGGAGCTTCTTTACATCTTTCTTGGAAAGCAAAACAAGATAGCAATGCTGCTGCTTGTTCAGGAGTCAATTCATTAAAGTTACCATTGAATATCAGCTCGGTTAACAAAAGTTCGTCACCACTAGATATTTCACAGGCAACTCTACCCTTTAATTCGATGATATCACTTGGAGTACAGAAGCCTAATCTTCTTAATACTCTCTTTCTCTTACGCAGGTCGTCAAGTTGGATAACCGCCTGTGATTCATTAATTTTTGTCTTTAGCTTTTTAATATCATCGTTAATAGTATGTTTCTTACTATATTTTTCATATAATTCCGGAAGTCTAATTGAATCAGTTAAAGGATTAGAGTTTAATTTAGACTCTAAAACGTTGATTTTTCTTAGAAGCTTATGGAAGTCTTCATCGTCAATCTTCATATTTTTAACTGGATCAATTTCAGGAATACCATTAGGGAATCTTCTTTGTACTTCTTGAAGAGACTTTCCTACAGTTTCCTTTTGGCCACTAGCCTTTATATCCTTTGGCATGAAAAGTCTCAAATTACCTACACTAGTAACGGACTCTAAAGTAACTGGAAGAATACAACATATCGACTTTTCACCTTCTGCAGCAGGACGAATACCCTCTGGCAATGCTGGATTAAATTGTTTAATTAAATTAATTGGAGCATCAACGTACATTGTATTGACAACAACATTAACAAGATACGATTCATGATCTGTATAAATAGCAGATGGGTCACGTTTGTTTACACGTTTAGCAAAGTCGATGACAGTAGCCCAACCATAATCTTGTTTTTCTCCAACCTCGACCTTAACTAATCTACCAGGTTGCAAAAAACTTAAAATATTAGCAGGGTGGGTAATGATATGACGTAAATCCTGCTTATAGGTTTCAAGAGTTTTTTTGACATCATAATATTCTTTAATACTATCCTCTTCTTCAACATAAATTTCATCAACTTCATTTTGTAATTCTACCAATTGCTTTTCCATAACTGGGACAGAAATGACATTCTGGAATTGGTAAAAGGAATTTTCTAGCATAAATTCAGGAGAAATACCTTCAACTCTCATCAAGTTCAATATCATATTATAACCTAGATGGAATGCCGAATCCAATCTATCGGCTTGGCCCTTGACCATACCTTTTGCTACTTGTGGCTCCATTTTTTCATCAATCATCATGATGACAATACCACGGTCATCTAAACCACGACGACCAGCACGACCTGACATTTGAATATATTCACCACCGGAAACCCAACGGAATTGCTTACCATCCCACTTTCTGACAGAAGTGAATACAACAGTTTTAGCAGGCATATTCAAACCAATAGAGAAAGTTTCAGTAGCAAACAATACCTTTAAGAAACCTTCTTGGAATAAAATTTCAATAACTTCTTTTAAAATTGGTAACAAACCAGAGTGATGGATACCAATACCTCTTCTTAACAAAGGTAAAATATGCTTGATTTGAGGAAGTTCTCTATCTGTTTCTGGAAGTAAAGCAATTGCGTTGTTAAAGATTTTTGTTAAAGCATCCTTTTCATCATCAGAGTTGAAATCCAATTTTGACATTTTCAAAGCCAATTCTTCACAATCACGTTTACTAAATGAAAAGACAATAACTGGGTTATATTTTTTCTTCCAAATCATTTTAACGATTTTGTAAATATCCCCTTTAGCGTCACCTTTAGAAGAACCACCTTTGAAGCTTTTCCCATTTTTTCCCCTGCTATCAGCTGAATTTGGATCATCACCTGTGCTGTTGGTAATGGAAGCCATTGCCTTTTGGAAATTTTCTTCTCTAAAAGTACTCTTTTCATCAACTACCAAATAAATACCATCACCATGTGCTGGGAATAAGTAATGTTGTAATGGAGTTGGACGGAAATCAGTGTAAACAATATGACATGGTTGAGAATGAATTTTACAAATCCATTCAGCGAATTCCATCGAATTTGGAATCGTGGCAGATAAGAAAACATAACGAACCTTATCTGGTAACAGAATAATAGTTTCTTCCCAAACAACACCACGCTCTTTATCTCTCATATAATGGACCTCATCAAAGATAACCCAAGCGACTTCTCTCATAACTTCACTACCTCTGTATAACATACTTCTTAAAATTTCAGTAGTCATAACTAAACAACCAGCATCTGGGTTTATAGTGATATCACCTGTCATTAAACCAACATCACCAAATTCAGCCAATAATTCTCTATATTTTTGGTTAGATAATGCTTTAATTGGTGATGTATAAATAACTCTTTGTTTCTCTCTTAAAGATTGAGCAATTGCATATTCTGCAACGACAGTCTTACCTGCCGAAGTATGAGCAGAAACCAACACGGATTCACCTCTATCAATACAAGAAATAGCAGTATCTTGGAAAGGATCCAAAGTAAAAGGATAGGTACGAGCTTCGTTTTGTCTCTTGTGTTCACCGATAGGTTGATAGTCGTAATTTGGTGGAAGTGCAACTTGGTGACGAACTTGATGCTTCAATTTGACTTTACCATCTTCTTCAACTGGAGCTGTAGCACCATTGGTTAGACCTGTAGAGGCCTCGACTTCTCTTGATTCTTCTTGTTCAAAAGAATCTGCCACTACTGGTACAACCAAAGACTTTTTCTTCTCATCAATCAACTTGGCACCATGTTTCAACTTCTTCTTATCAACTTGAGCACCAAAAGACTCATTTGATTCATCATCTGAAACAGGTCTTTGTCTTTTTTCATTTGCTTCACTTACTTCAGTTGGTGTAGTCTCATTGGTTTGATATTCTGCCTCTAGTTCTTCAATTGGAACATCTATAGCTTGATCAGGATTTTCTCCAAAGACATCAAACAAGTCACTCATAATAAAAAGTGAACTTTAAATATCTGCGGTAATATGAATCCTCAGGATCTCTATTATTCTTACTCTTGAATTGTTAATAACTTCTCTTTAATATTGACCTCATCGCAATTTTTATCATGTTTAAATTATTGATAGTTTGAAATTTTTCATTTTCCTGTACTGAAACCAATACATCACGTGGTTCTTATGTATCACGTGATGTATCGGTCTTTTAAAAATCCGGGTAAATTATATTCCCTTTTTACTCCCGCTACCATCACCAATGCTTAAGATGACTAGTCAGTTCTAACAAAGCCTATAAAAGAACTAACAATAACTTCATTGAATAATGGTTATTAATAATCTATACATGTATTTTAGGGCCAAATTAGTTAGTGTAATTGAGCTAACAATAAGTTCATATTTCCAGTGTCATATTTGCTTTCAAAACAGTAGCAATTGAAAATTGTATTTTGTTAGGAAATGGTTCTATTTACTGGCCTAGAACTGATGATATGATTGAATCAAGAACCATTATTTACGAGTGTCTTCTGGTTATGAAAGTTTAATGTTCTAATGCGGGGTATCGTTATTAAATTGATTATATATTTATATATGCAGTAAATTATTAATTTTGAAGTGTCTTGGTTAGTGTCAGCAAACGCTGACACTAATAAATATTATTACAAGTTATATCAACAGAATGATCCTATATTAATAGAAGTCATTTTGCCAATAACAAAAAATTTAGATTAACTTGTTCTTTATTGTCTATTTTAGTATGGGTATTATTGATTTGTCGCCATCTGTAATGATAACAGAGTATTCCATCTTTCGTGATCGTATTCACTCACAATTGCCTCTGGATATTCTGTCTCAGACCCTAGCGACAGCAGACTGGAACCACTAGAGCTTGCTCTTGGTGATACTGGTGCAGTTGATGTTTGTTCCATTATTGTGGAGGTAAAGGTAAAGTCCCTTGTCGAGTTCGGTTGTAATGTAAACAATGAGTTGGTTCCCTTTAATGCTTTATCCATTACAAAACTTTTACTGCGTTTCTGTTGTTTTGGTGACCCATTTAATGAGCTGGTACGGATAATGTTAGATTTTGGCGGAGAGCTCTTGTTTTGCAGATTGTGAACATAACTGAAGTCAATACTTTTACCTCTTCTCTTAGAATGATTTAAGCTGAAAAATGAATCCGAATATTGGTTGCTATGCAGTTCTGTATTGAATGTAGGTATAAATGTATCGGATATATTAGATGTTGATAATCTCTTTCCTAGATTTTTCAATTTAATTGATCTTGTTGGAGAGGAAGGTGGTGAGTTTACACAGCTCGAGTTATCAAAAGATGTATTGAAATTTGATAGATGGGAATTAGCTCTCATATGGGTCGCATTTGCCAATATGTTGGTAAAATTATGAGGTGATTTATGACGGTTATGACTATTTGTTGCACTAATGATAGAAACTATTGATTTGGTTGGTGAATGTCTGCTGTCGATTCTCGATAGTTCCTTAGATGCCCTGTCATGTATAATCATTGAATTTGAATGACTTTGGTTGAATCCATTTTCAAACAATTGATCTTCAATGTTATCTTCCCTTAAACTAACATCATTAAAATACTCTTCCAAAAGACTAATATCATCAGAAGGTTCCCTGATCAATCGTGGTTTACTTTCTAGATGGAGCTTCTTCTCATTGAACGGGAAACTGAAATCAGAACTAGATTCCAACGGTGAAGCCAAAGTATTCCCCAAGTATTCTAGATTACTCTGTTCTAGAGAATTCTGCTTTTCAGTAATTGCTGATTGTATTTTTTCACCTCTTTTAAGTATATCCTCTTTGGTATTGTTCCAGACATCCAATGTCACAGTTTGAGGAAGGTTATCGTTATTTAAATATTCTTCGGGTGTATTTTCCTCAACTGTTGGTATTTGCGGAATGCTTTCTAAATCATGAGCTTCCATTAAATCAGTGTTTATCCTAGTGAGTGGTTCCATTTGATCATGTCTTATTGGTGAAATATCAGCTAAAGGGATATTATCACCTTCACTCAACTGAAATGCAGGCTGCAAAATTTTTGGAGTTTCGGAAGGACTTAAGATTGGAGGTAGTAGCGCACTGTTAATACGTTCAATTGCATTTTTTTCGATTTCTAATCTTGATGAAGATGGCTTGACGTGTTTTTGATCAGTTACCTCATTATTATCCTTTATTTGGTGAAGAGATTCCAATGCCATTGATAATGATCTTTCGTTTTGAAGGTGATCGAAGATCTCATCCTGAAGTTGACCCGTTGATTCTTCATTATTATTGGTAATGCTTTTCTGGAAATCTGATATGATCGATAGTCTAGTAATGTATTTACTATTAAACTTCTTCAAATTTTCATTATTTGTTTTATGAATTTGTGATCTTTTACTCTTTTCAAAAGAGAATTTTTTGGCTTTAAAGCTTGATATCACAGGTGTCAATTTATCTGATTTGCTATTGAATATTTTAAATTTAATTTTCTTCTTTGTTTTTTCTTCCATATGTTGTTGATGATGTGCATTATTAGAAGCTTGGAATGAATCAATTCTATGACGTATTACTGATGGGAATGTGACTGCACCAGATACCGTAACATCATTTGGTTCTTGATTAACCCAGTCCTCATGAATTTCATTAGAATAATTTTGGAAATGACCATTGTATATATCCATATCTGGTGTTAAAGTTTGGGAAGAATGTTTAACAGGAACTGTTTTCTTTTCCGAACTTTTGTAAGTTTCATTCGAATCAATTGGAATTTTCACATCGATCGAAGTGTCTATTGAAGCCTCTTCTTTATAATCATTAGAGACATTGATACCCATACTCCAGCCGTTAACAAACAGTGATAGCAACAATGTCGAGTTAAATGCAACGATAATATGTTTATGAATATTTGTAATGTTACTGTCAACCAAACTGCCCTTGTAGTATTGCACTGCAGAACCAAAAGTCAGAGCTTGAAGTAACAAACAAACCACTTTATAATAATGATGGAAACCATTCATATTACCATTTCTAAATATCATATGAGATAGATTTAAAAACCCATACAGCAGTGTTGAGCAAGCAACGATGATTAAAACAGCTCTATTCTCAGAGAATTTCACAGATAACGTTATACTCAATGAACCACATGTCCATGAGACAATTGATCCAAACAATTGATACGGAAGTCTTGAGATAGTATCTCGATACCCAGACATCTCACTCTGAACCAAATCGCTATGCAAGCAAAATCTATACTTCTAAAGACTCGAATGTCCTAGTTCTATCGATCCAGTCAGTGTTCTGGTATTTGAAAGTAAGATTGATGTCTGTAATCTCTTTAAAGATATCAAATAAAAAAAATTAAGTGAGCAAAAAGTATATGTCTGTCTTCTTTACCTTGTGTTTTTTTGGGATATCCAGCTTTACAAAGAAATAATTCCATCGTTAAACTACACAAGTATATATCAGATCAATATATACTCTTGATCTGATCTGATCTGATCTTAAATCAATCAAAGATCAAACTAAACCACTCTGTATTGTCTTGGCCCAGTTTTCTCATTACTGTTGATATTTACCTATTTCCTAATTAGGAAAAATCTCAAATTTTGATCCAAACTGCTACAATGAGGTAAAACCAAAATAATTCGAACTGAACTTAAAAAGTTTCCAAGAAAGGTCAAGGATACACATCTACAGGGTGCCTATACCATGCGTCTAACAGGGATCGACGATTATTTGTGTGTGTGTAATGTCTTGACTTTTTATTTTTCAGATAATTCATTCATACAGCTATTCTACAAATGCCAAATCAGCATTAAATTCACAACTAGTCAAATTGACACTTGTTGCTAAAAATAATACCAACAAGGTTCTGGTTTATGTCTATGTTTATGTCTATGTTTATGTCTATGTTTATGTTCAGGGGAACATACAAGAGTGTACTGCAAGTTTAGTACCGATGCAAACTAAACTAAACCAAACTAAACCAAAGTCGTCTCTCTTTCTTATTCTATAGGTTCTCTCCTGTTGCTATCCGAGTACTACGAGCAAGAGTTGGAATTTCAACATCATCTCTCTTTCACTTCCACTTCCACTTCCACTTTCACTTCCACCTTCTCTTTCTCTTCTGTTCTCCAGATGCAAAATTGGAACGATACTTGCATGGACGTGGCTATATGATTCAGAACAGAACAGAACAGAACAGAACAAATTCAAAATTCAAAATCATTTAAATAAAAACATGCCAACTATAATATTATTCTGATTAAGTAAACTGTTTGACCACCTCTTGGATCCATCACAACTTGATTAATCAATCGATCGATCTGTCCAAATTCAAGTGTCTGTATCGATTTGATCCCCATTCAAATCTAGAAATTTGGATTTTACCCGGATTTCCCAGTTTTTCGAAATATCTACTGGATAACCTTAAAGGTTGCAATGTCGAAACTATCATCAAGTTATTGAAATATTTAAACGTAATAATTGTTTGAATCTATTGATAAAGATTGTTAAACAAGGTACCGAGGGACTTGTGGCATACTTGCGAGGTCTATTTGCTGGTATAATTCCCTGTGTTTGGTTTTAGTTATTCCTCTGGGTGAGGGAAAGGTACAATTTTGTTTTAAATCGTGGTGCGGTTTGCAGGAATATCAAGAAAGTGAGATATTACCATTGGGATACATTGGTTTGAAAATTCTTTAGGAATTGTAGTAATTATGCCAGAGGAGCAGTTAGGATATACGAGGACTGACGAAATTGTTTCGAAACATCCAATGGCTGGTGATGGGTTGGTTCATGGTCACATACATAAATATAATAATCTAACTTATATTCATGGCCATATCCATCATACGGCTGTTGGTGAGAATAATGATTCTTCGTCATCATTATCGAATAATGGACCTGTTTTGCAACAGGTTGAGGGAATACCTATTGCTTCTGCCAAGAGGCGAATGTCAAATATGACTTTACTCGATTGCAAACATTTCGAATTCGTGGATTACCATGGATTGAATGATGTAAACAGTGCATACAATGGAATGATGAGTTGGGGAGATACTAATTATAATATGAATTCGAAATTTGGTCATGCTCTATACCCTGGTGGTAATAGTAATTATGTAATCGATGATGAATTGTTAGTGACTAAAAAACGGAAAGTGTGCAAGAAAAACGAAGATCGTGACTGCAACTGTAATCCTAAAGTTTTAGAGGTTTGTTGTGATATTAAGCATGATCCAAAGTCAGTTGATCCAGAGCCTCAGACTGATATCAGAGAATATAACGACTTGAACATGAATATATATACTAATAGCCAAGGTTTCTTTTCAAATACTGGTTATTTTAAGCAGGTGATACCAACAGTGTTAAATCAAGTTGCTTCTACATCTACTGCCACTACTGCTACTTCTACATCTATTTCTACCACCGCTACTGCCTGTACTACCGCTACCACTTCCAGTATCAGTGCTAACAAAAGTTCTATTGCCAATGGCAAAGTTAGCGACAGCAAAATGGTCAATCAACTACCCATCAAATGTGATCTAACTTGCGAACAGAATTGCAAGATGGATCCAGACCTTCATTGTTCATTGAATGAAAAAGGGAGTTCGACTGAAAATACTTATGCTCAGGAAGTAGCTGAAGATTTTGAAAATTTCTGTAGAGAATGTTTGACCTCCACAGAACAAGTACCAAATCATCAGCATCAGCATCAGCACACTCGCATACAACAAAATAATGAAGTTCAAATATTGCCAGGGAAAGAGAATTGCCATGACCATGTCGTAAATTCAGAAATGGACATGAAAGTTTTAGATGACCTATGGAACATAACATCACTTTATGAACTTCCATTTACGAAACATAAAAATCATCATGATATAGAATCGCATGCAATGTCCAAGTCAAAGAATATTTCAGAAGACTATCACTCATATCATAAGGAGCATCACCACCACCTCATTCAATTTCATCCGCATTCCTCAATAGAAAATACTAATCCAGATCTTGGTTACCTTCATGTAGAACATAACCAAAACTATCCTGTGGTGGGTAGTGATTACAGCTATGAACGTAAAAGAAGAACTCCAGAAATTAAAAAGGAACAAGATAGCCCATCTGTTCTTCATCATCATGTTAAATCTGATAAAGGAAACTGCAAGGCCAATATTGCCAATGAAACTGAGCTAAATACAATAAATTTTAATTGGATATTTAAGCAAGAGGAAGACATAGCTAATAAGGACATAGATTGTAAGTGGAACAAATGTCCTGAAAAATATAAAAGCCTCATCGATTTACAAAAACATGTTTTAAGAGATCATGTTTCCAAACAAACAGTCGACTCCACTGATACTATATGTAATTGGCAAGATTGTTTGTTTGAAGGGGAGGATATATGTTCTTTAATAAACCATATTAATACAAAACATGGTATCAACTTTGACATTAAATATGTCAACCTTAATGCCAATGTAGCTAATGAAGAAGATGGATCGAAGAAAGCCGCTTCAGATATTAAAATAGAAAATGAAAGTGCAATCTCAGACGGTTTACCGTGTAAATGGGATGGATGCAATGAAGTATTTTTAAGTTGTAAAGAACTAAATGCCCATATAGAGGAAAAACATCTTGAAAGTGGTCAATCTGAATATCGATGTCTATGGAAAGATTGTGGTCATAAGTTTACGCAAAGACAGAAAATATTACGGCATATTAGAGTGCATTCTGGATTTAAACCATTTAAGTGTGAAAGTTGTAACAAAACTTTCGCTAGTGAAGAAAACCTTATCCAGCACAAAAGAACTCACTCGGGAGAGAAGCCTTTTGTGTGCCAAATATGTGGCAGTAAGTTTTCAAGTCCAAGCTATTTAAAAGTCCATATCAGAATTCATACCGGCGAGAAACCGTTAAGTTGTAAAGTATGTGGTAAAAAGTTTAGTTCCTCTTCTAACTTGAACAAACATTACAAGACTCATTACAAAAAGTATAAATGCCAAGGTTGTCTTTCCAGTTTCACTGACAAGGATAAATTTGAAACTCATCTAAAAAAATGCAATAGACAGGATACTATTGTTAAAGATGAGAATAAAGTGGTGAGATGGTAGCCATTTTTTATTCTGTTTTATGGTCTTTAATTATGGTCTATTGACCTGCTTCGATATTCTTCTATTCGCTATTCGAAGGTAAAAAACAGCACAAATAAAAGTCAAAAAATCATCAAAGTCAATATTGACATTAATTACATTCATGGAAAATTTTACAAAACAGTAATATTTTTAAAAATATTCCCATGAACTCTTGATAGAACAGAATTAAGACATTTAAGGACATTCATTACGGTTCAATATTAAATACTTACAATCTCATAGGTTTCATTTCTTATTATATCTTATTATCCTAATAGAATGGGGGATATTGTTGAAACGGTGCTGATGCAATGAATATTTAATATTATGAATAATATAATTATTAGGTTTTTAATTTTATTTAAAGTAGTTACATATATATTTATCTAAATGCTATGCGACAGCTTTAGTACTAATTACCTTACTAACCAAGAATATTTACAATATATAAAATCGATTATGCAATTTTATGCACACAGTGAAGATGTTGTATAATTCATAAATCAAATGTATTCTTTTAGTAATCTTAATCTTTCGACAGCTTTTTCCAAATATTCATCGTCTTTACACACAGCGAATCTTAATAAGTTTTCTGCTGCATGTTCATGTTCTGGAATATAAAATTCAGTTGGCGGAATAGCAACTACACCTAGTTCATTAATCAACCAATTTGAAATACGGAAATCCTTACCTTTACTCATAATTTCTTCAGGGAATTGGTAGCTATCAGGGATTTTAACCTTTGAGAAATCTGCTAAGACAAAATAGGAACCTTCTGGAATAGTATAAGGCAAACCTAATTCATCAAAAACACTAGTAAAGATCTTAAACTTTTTGACATACTCTTGTCTCATATTTTCGAAGTAATCTATCTTTAGAGCATGGTCAATAGAGTATGAACAAGCTTCTTGGATTGGAGATGGGGAAGCAAAACATATTCTGGTGTGTGCCTTAGAGGCATATTGCAATAGATCTGGATTTTGAGAGACAACCCAGCCAATTCTCCAACCTGTGGCAGCAAATGACTTACCAGCAGAACCAACAGACAATGTCAATTGACCAATTTCTTCAGATAAAGTTGCAATTCTTGGGAATTCATCAACAAAATACAAATGCTCATAGACCTCATCAGCAATAATGATTACATTGTTTTCAACACAGATATTACCTAGTTTTGTCAATTCCTCACGAGTGAATACTTTACCAATTGGATTATGTGGTGTGTTAATAATGACTGCCTTTGTCTTTGGAGTGATAGCTCTAGTAAATTCATCAAAATCAACAGTCCATTCAGTACCTTTAGTGACACGGTTATCTAATTCCTTTGGTGGATTTATTGGTACATAAACCACTTTACCACCACACAATTCAATATTTGGGATATATTGATCAAAGAAAGGTTCAAAGACAATAACTTCATCGCCTGGATTTATAATACCCATTAAACAAGATAAAATACCTTCATTGGCACCAGTTGTGACCAATACATTCTCAGGTGTCAACTGTTTTTTGTAAAATGGTGAATACAAGTCAATTAAAGAATTGATTAATCTTGGTCTACCTCTAGTTGGCGAATATTGATTAACCAAAGGAATTTCAACTGCTTTCTGAATTTCCTTGATAGCAAATGCTGGTGGTGAGTAAGAAAAGAAACCTTGACCTAAGTTGATTAATTCACGATCTTTATTTTGTGCATTAGTAGCAGCTTTAGCAGCAGTTTCATTAGTCAAAGACCAGACGTCCTTAGAATTGTTTAATGTGAAATATTTATTTGGAGTGAAAGACGGCTTAGCAGAATTGGACATTGTTCTAATATTTCTTAAAAACTTGTTTGACATAAACTTGTAGAATTTGAATTTGTTAAAAAGGGGCACCTTAGTTCAAATTTTAACCAAAAAAAAGCTCAAATCAGCCAGTAAAACCAACAATTGAACTCCAAGGTCTTGAAAAACTTAAACTTAACCTATTTGAAACCTAAATTACCAATAAATATACTACAACATCCAAATTTATAAACTTTACCTTCACCTAGTAGGCTTTTTTTTTTATAATGTTTAAGTTCCATCTTATATTTCATTGGTGAAAAGTGCGATATCGATGGAATGGTTAAGATTAATTAAGATGACTAATATTACATAAGGAATTAGTACCAATGTAACAAAAAAAAAGGAATATAAAGAGGTGAAACAATGTCATATGACAACGTCTTCAAGGAAGATTACTCTTATGATACAATTTTTGATATTATTTTACTATATAGAATTAAGTTATATCAGGTTAGCTGTTAGTGACAGTGTTTTTTGTATCTAATTCTTTTGAAATTTGTGTTAATTGTTCATTGCATTCTTTTATGATTTTTGCATCATCAGCTAGTATTTGTCGTAGTTCTTCCCATTCATTGAGCATACCTTTTGATGATTCAGATCTTGATATATCTATAATTTTTTGTAATTCTTTCTTTAAGAACTGGATATTTTGCTTTTGATCTTTTTGCTTATGAACAAAATTATTAAATAGTAATATTTGACTTCTCAATTCCTTAAATAGTTGAATTTCCTTCTCACTTAGTGGCAATGATTTTAGTTTTTGGGATTCTTGTATTGTATTTAGATTGCTTTCCATTTTTAATAATATTTTTTCCAAGTGTTCCTGTTTCTTTAACTTTTCATCTAATTTAGAAAGTTGAGCTGGATAATCACCTTGGACTTTTTTGGCACGAATTAGAATTTTATTAGTAATTATCAGTTGTTCAGATAATTTATCTTGTTGTTCAAGTAGTCTATCATATAGCATTAACCCTAAACTTTGCCCCTGAACGATTTTTGATCCAACATCTCTAGAGATATCATTTAAAATCTTTAACTGCTCTTCCATAGCGTTGCTTCCAAATGGCACCTGTTTTATATTAGCTGGAATAACTTTACTATATGGTACACTCACAGCTTCCTGAAATTTATAATTGGCTGCCTTTAATTCATTTTCTGGAACAGTAAATTTATCCAATGTAAAGTTTTCCAGTTCAGTGGAAATTTCTTCAGCACTTTCAGGTTTGAATTCAACTTCTTTCTTAAACAATTGATAGCCAACCACAACATTCGTATCAACTAAGAGGAGAGATTTAGCCTCACCGGAGTTCCATATACCACATGAATTTATTTGCATATCTGAATTAATATGCGTTATTGTACTCTTCATTTCCAAACCTACTAATGGTCTTAAATCGTTATCTCTTATACATTTGGAAATTACTGAGGACCACTTGGTAGTATCTACTAGTATCGTTGATTTTTCACCGCTAACTACAAACTTACCAAGCTCCCCTTGCAAAACAACCATATTTGATAATTCTTCTGGTTTAAATTTGATAATTTCAACTAGAGTAAAAGAATTATTGAAGGAGTAGTCATTTACATCCCATGACATCGTAGATTCTTTATCTTTAAAAACAACTAAAACTGTACCATTGTCGAATGAAACTAAGAAAAGTTCGTTGCCTTCGCCAATTGGTAAAACAGAAATTTGTTTACCTGTGCATGTATACAAACTTTCAGGGTATGGTGATATGGAAAAGTAACCTTGTGCTTTTGTCTGTCTAAACTCCAAATCGATCTCTACATTAACTTCAACCTCACCATTAGCATTTTCAAATTCTTCTATTTTCTTACGTAAACTAGATGCTAATTGCAATTGTTTGATAACGTTTTTTCTCACAATGTCATCTGCATCAATTCCTAAATTTTCATATAATACGATTGATTTGTTAATCAATTCATCAACTCTATTCTTGCTTAGAGAAGCCACAGGAGGCAGACAAGGATAAAAGCAATACACATCTGTATCTGTTAAACTGTATAGGGACAAACAATCATCAGCGAAGACCACATACTGGATATTCTCGACACGATTATCAATACCCATAACATTAGAATCAGTTAAATTCAAAAAGCAATCAATTGGTATGTCGGAAGATTTGAATACATTCTTTAAATCAACGAACGCAATTTGACTACCAGAGAATAATACCACTAAGAAAGGAGATGACTTAGACAATGGATGGAACAAAACCTGCTTAACACTCAATTTATCTTCATTGAAATTATATACACGTTCTTGCAAAGAGCTTGCCATTGAATTTGATATTTCATCAACATTTGTTAACCCCCATGGAATTTCAATAACCCTAATTTGATGAGAATTATAAAGACATAAATAATCCCCAGGATCACTAATAATTGCACCGGTGACGTCCATATCAGAATCACGTAATGCCATAGACTGATAATGATCATTATCAGAGGAGAAACTCCATCTTATAGTACTATCTTGAAACAAAATTATTCTGGTACCATTGTTGGCACTAAAGAAAAACCTTTTAGTTAATTCCCTTGACACTGATGGTCTCTTAAAAATTGGATTCAGCTCAAATGACATTATAGATAACCGTATTCCAAATTGATCCGATCCTTTGCCTCTGGATACCTCAATTATCTATATAATGAACGGACTTTCTTTATAAGAAGTTCTTGTTCATCACTGTTTTATTGATGAAGGCAAGCTTTTATTCAAATTTGATATGATTTAAAGATGTTCGTTCATAATGATATTGCGTTGTAGTATATAAAGAAGAACTTATAGAGGAACTGGTTTATAGGTTGTATATCAACGAATTTACCTGTTAATCTCTTACTACAACGTGTTTCAGAGGTAGATTACTGATCTTTAGTTCCAATTCCCATATCTATAAGCTTTTATTGCAATCTCTTATCATCAAAATCGGAGTAGACGTCATATTGTTGCGTCTCTAACCATAAGCCCTTTTGAAACTAATTTACCATTGATGTTTAATTAATTGAATAAAATAAATACTATCTTATATTTGAATTTATTAAAACTATATTATTTACATGCAGAGTTTTTTTTAAATACACACACTATCTACTTGCATTATTCATAGTGTTGAAATGGTAAAGGAAGCAATAGGACCAATATAAATATATTTATATATATTCGACTAAATTTGTTTCAAGAAATTGTTTTGTTTTATATTCTTTCTATTAGCTTGTCTCAATTTCTTCTTTCTCAAAGCCAATGGGTCTTTAGATAGAGCTTCAGCTTGTGCTTCTTTATCCAAAACTGTCCATAACCATGTTGGATACTCTGCGTCTTCTAAAGCCACTGGATCTTTCCCTGCCTTCTTAATATTCAGAGTTAAAACAGATCCAGCTGGACATGAGGACTGTATCTTTAAAGATTGACCACTGGTCTTTACTGTTTCTTGCCATAGCAAACGTGAACTGCTCAATAATCTCTTCTGAAAAATCTGTTTCAACATTTCTACTTTTCGATGTCCAGAGATTGATATAAATACAGGCTGAGATTCAAACAGAAAACCAGAAACACTATATATGGCACTGAGAATACTCCAGATTCGTATAACAATGGAATGTTCTTAGATGTCTGGTTCTTGTATCAAATTATCTAATGCGTTAACGCCATTATATGTAACAGTTCTTTTATATAAATTACATTATTGCAGATTCGTAACTATAAAACATGATTCGTATGAAACGATGATAATACAGATTCATTCTAATGCCAGTGACAGTAAATGGGATCCTAGATGAGTATATTGTTGATACATTACTTATCGACCATGGATAATACAGCTATCTCAAGAACCCATCCGACTATCAGGTTCATGAAAATGTTCCATGTGGCATAATAGCACAACTTTGGGCTAAACACACTCCAGATGAACAAATGGTATCTTAGGATAAAACAAGATAGGAGCAGGAAACATCCAGCAATGCAGTTGAAGTATACGATTGGTAATTTATTTTCAGCAAAAACATTCCATTTGTTGTTAGGTTTGATTTGGTTGTAGATTACCTTCCATGGGAACATTGCCCAGTAAATTGCTGGTGCAAAATTGGAAACACACATTAAAAATCCAACAAAATAGATGTTATAATCTTCAGAAACACCATTATAAGCGTTTGTCAAATCAGCTGTAGCTATCGAGTTGGTACCTCCAAATTGGAAAAATGTAAAATATTGTAATACTAATGATATTGTCGATGTAATCATTACATTGCTGCTATATTGGTTTACCAGCAAGCTTGATAAGGAAGATTGTAAGATATCATATACCATAAAGAGACCAATGTATGACGATGGTGACTGGAAAATTAATAAGAATGTTAACGTTTTTTGGATATCCTTTATCGGGTTTTTTATTAATTTTAATTTAGCAGAACCATAAATGGCAATTACGATTGCTAGAACAGAATAAAAGAAAAACCTAGCTATCGGAATCAAGTTTTCTTCAACAACAGAAATATCTTGTAACGAATAGTCTCTCGATAATCTACGACAAATATAAATTGCAGCTTTGTAAATTGGTTCAGGTACATGGTCTTGATTGATAATTGTCCAACATACTTTGTAAAGTATACACACAGAACCAAGATTATAGGAGAACATAAAAGAGATTAAATTGTCAGTAGAATCCTTCAACATAATATATAATATAGTAGCAATATTCAAATACCATTGAAAATCTTCATACTCAGTATTTAATAAGATAGAGATGGTTCTATCATATGAATATTTCTGACCACTATTATTCCATCCACGAATTATCCGTACACATACAAACATCACTAAGTGTGCTATCTTCTGATCAGGCAAATTAATTGCTGATACTGTGATTAATCCAGTAATTATCCACCACCATATTTGATGTTCTTCCTCTACAAAACTACTAGCAAATGAAGACAAACCTATTAGCAATGATATAATCACAATTAAAACATTTTTGAAATCAACTTCAAGGACACTGAAGTAAAACCAGAATGATATTGTTAAAGTTAGGATAAATATGAGACCTAACCCCAAATATAATAATGGCACATTGTAATTTGTAGCTGAGCTTGTTAGTTCTCCTTGAATATCCTTCATTTCAGAAATAATATCTTTTATTTCAGTATTTTCAAAATCATAGCTCTCGTAGAGCTGCCTGATATCCTTATTATTAGATACTATCATTAGTTGTCTAAAATTCTCTTGAAGCTTAATTCTAAACAATTTTGGATCTAATAATTCTAGTATAGAAGGCATCATGACACCAACATTGTTCTTAGGGAAAGGAATATTAAACAAGGCAGACAATGTCGGTACAATATCAACTTGTTGTATCTGTGTTAAAAATTTGTACTGTTTATCTTCCTCTGGGGCAACATTAACTGATTTGATTGGAAGTTTCACACCTTTTTGATCTGAAGGAACCTCAAAGTTTTTTAACTTCTTTGAAATTAATACTAAACCAGCTGAAGTTTCACCAGGCGATGAACCTCCATGATTACCTACCTCATTCATACCATGGTCACCCATAACACAAATAAGTGTATTTTCATCTTGGCCAACAGTTTCAAACAGGTTTTTAATTATAGAATCCATCTCCCTATGCTTTGGACCCATAAATTTTGATGTTGGCCCACCTTTATGGCCAATATGATCTAAACCTAAATAATGTAAAATAAGAGCATCCCAGTCGTTTTTTTCTTTGATTTGTTTCTCTAGATGTCTAGTGACATTATGATCAACTTGTTCAAAATCACTTACAAAAAATGAATTTGTTCCCTCGTATTCAGTAAAGATCTCATGAGGGAACAACTTCAGCCAGGTATCATCACCAAAGAACCTAATCTTCTTACCATGTTTAGCAAATTGCATTGGCCAAGAATCTTGATTCTTCAAATTAGATGAAGAATCATCTTCAGCAACATTTAAAATTGCATCCAAGAAATTTGGAGTGGAACCTGTAGTGATACCTTTCAATCTAGGAAGAGTTACTGTAGGAGGATTAGAAAAGGCAGTAAACCCCCATGCATACCCATTATTGGATAGCTCATGGATATAGTTGAATTGTGATATATCTTGATCAAACAAAAAATCACTACGTAAAGCATCAATCACCACCAAGACCAGCTTATTGAAAGCAGGTTTAGCATTTAATTGGGCATCTGAAGATATTTCAAATACTGCATCACCTTCCAATACATTCTTTGAAGGAAAGAACCCAATACAAAAGATCAATACAGATATAAGTTGTATAATTAATATAGCAGTCAATTGTAATACCTTCATTACTTTATCCTAATAAATTGCTAGAAAAAGAACAATACGTATACTTATTAAACCCAACCAACGGACAATTACCCAATCCTATAATTGCAATAGCTATCAATTCAATCTCCCAACCTTGCCCTGGGTACTTTATATATCAATTCGACCTTTTTCTTGATCTTAAACCTTCTTGATATAGTTTTAGATATCGAGATTATTAACTTTTACCTATATTGATATATATTGCGATGAGATCATTAACAACAGAAGAACCGATTTGGTTAATACTGGAGCTGGTAGTGAGTTATTGGATCAAATAAACTGTGATTTATTGATATATATATATATATATATTATTATAGTTTAAATGTGTAGTTTATATATAATGTACATTTAGAAAATAGTTGTAGAGATATGAGACTGGTGTGATAGAAGAACGGAAGAGAAGGGAAGCTTGAAAGGATAATGAATGCCAAAGGAAAATATAATTGATGAATGCGGTAACTATTGTAACAGTTGGTCTCTGTAATGAGGTTGGTTGTTGATAAATTTTGCTGCTCTTTTTGAATGGGTTTTCTTATCTTTGACTTCTGTTTGCCAGGCTCTTTGTTGAGCTTGAACGGTAGTTCTATCAGGTAAACCGTTGGTGATGAAATCTTGTCTTGTTTCAGCAGCAATAATTGTACCTTGGCCTTCAGTTAATATCTTTTCTGGCCTCAAATCTTGTTTATAATAACGTTGCATGGAACGGTGTCCTACTTTGATACCAGAAGGTAAGTGTAATTCGATACCATCTTGGTATAAGTATTCGGTAGTCTCATCGATTTCTTCGTCATCACTGTTGACATCTTCTTCGTCAATGTCTTCCCATTCACCATTATCACCCTCAGTGGTGGCATAAGACTTTTCGAAATCATAGAATTCTGATATTTCTAGTTTCTCATCGTTCGATTCATAAGGAATCTTACAATGTCTCTTGGACAACATGTGAGATCTAACTGCATTCAAAGAATTACCTTGGTAATTACATACAATACAGACGTTACCCAAACCTACCTTTTCAGACATATACTTAACCAAGCCTTCTTTATTGATTAAATATTTTTGTTCTGGCATGTAGAAACCATGACTTTGGTACATATGTGTCAAATTCATTTCGAAAGATTTAAAAGTTTTATTGTTGGTACAGAATAGACATTGTTCCAGAGGTATATCAACTCTATTTTTTAGCTTCTCTTGCATCAAAAGTTCAGCTTGTTTTTCTTCATCTACCTCTTCTTCTTGTTCAACATCAGGTTTAGTAGCATCATCAGTGTTAGAGTTACTACTAGCCTTAGATTCAGCAGCCACTTCAGCAATTGCTGATGCAGTAGCCTCTTCTTCAGCAATAATCAATTTATCTAGAGTTGGAACCTCACCAGCAAGTTGTTGTTGAATCATACGTTCTCTAGCAATTTCAAGAAGTTTCCTCTTCTTTTCTAATAGAGCTTCTTTCTCTTTCATCCTTTGTTCCTTTTTGGACAACTGTTTGCTCTTACCTTTGGCATCTTCACTGCTGCTGGCCACATCAGATTGCTTTGATTTAAATGTTTGTTCAGTAATAGCTGGAAGATTGGCTACACGTCTCTTCAAATTGTATCTATGCCAATCAGTCTTCATATGTTCCCTCTGGTCACCACCAGAAGGAAACTGCAAACCACACGAATTACAAGTATAAACACCAGACATAGCTATTGAACTGAGCAACTTACTTGGGATACTGCAAAAACTACACAATATAAAAACGTATACAATGGGTTACAATACAACTTATCCATAAACCTTTCTTATATATCAAAGCTTGTTTAAATCATCTCATCTCATCTCATCTCATCTCATCTCATCTCATCTCAAATTTTCATTGCGATATCAAATTTTCCATACTAAGGTAAGGTAGATAAACAAGACAGAATAAGAATGAGGAAGGTTCAAAAGATATATATTTTCGATAGATATGGAATTATATACAATTTGAGGTTGATATAAGGTTGTTTAATGACATTAACAGATGAACCTTAATCTACATATGTAAATATGAAATAATAGTAATAACTTGAAATAATAGTAATAACTTAAAAAAATGGCAATGAAATAAAGTCTTGTTTTAATTTTAATTTTGGCATATATACTAATAATGATAACAATCAGATAAAGAGAGTGAAAAAAAATTGATGCAGGGAATAGTTGGGATCAACTTTAGGAACGTTGAATATGAGCTTGTAAAATTAATGGTGAGAGCTGGTTTGGTCATTATCTTCTTTAATCAGAACTTGCTCTTCGATCTTCATTTTTCTTAAACCATGATCTGATTTGGAAAGAACATATCAGCATATGAACAGGTACAGCTGTTAAGTTTGTAATGGCGCCTAATAATAATTGTAAGAACCATAAAGGAGACTTGTTATTATGTTTATTCAGACCCATATCTAGACTCATTAGGAACCAACCTATGAAATCTGTAGTGATATCGTCGTAACCATATTTCAACCACCAAATAATTTTATCGCAACATTCTTCACATGTAATTGGTTGTGAAGCACCTTCCATAGTCTTTGTAATTTCAGGTTTTGTCATATTTTCTAATTCATATCCTTCACTCTGGAAATTACCAGGGTAGACGACGGAAATTCTCATGTAGGGTAGTTCTTGTCTTAAAATCGAGGCCAAAGCTTTGACTGAACCTTTTAGAGGGGCGTATTGACTATAACCAATAAAAGGGTAGAAAGCAGTAACACTTGAGAATAGGATCAAATGGCATGACGGTATGAATTGGGCAGCAAAATGGGATACATACAGGGTAGTTTTATAGTTTACGTCTATACCTGCCTCCAATTCTTCTCTTGTTAGTTCTACGAATAACTTTGGTACTGAGCCACCAGCACATGAGATAATCTGAGTGGGTAATAAAGATTTTTCAGCTAATATTGAGAATAAATTAGCGACACCTTTATAAGAACCCAAGTCAGAAGGGAAGTAGTAAAGTTCGTTGCCTGATTCGTTGATCTCTCTGGTTGAAATTGAATCCTTTGGTACAGATAGCAGAAATTGATTATTATCGATGTCAGGTAATGGATAGTAGGTGATGTCTGAGATAGCCTTTAGTAATTTTTGTTCTGATCTGCTGACTATGATAATTTTACAATTGCGACCTTCTTCATAGTATTTTTTGGCGAATTGTTTGCCTAAACCTTGGGAGCCACCGGTAATCAATACGACTTGATCAACGAGAGAATAGGACATGGATGGGAATGTGCAGTAATGGAAGCTTTAATGTAGTTGTTGTTTTTAAAGAAATCTTTTTTGTAAATGTAATTTTTAGTTTAATATCTATCTAGATGGATAGGAATACGAGTATGGTCTTTTGGTAGTGTTATAGTATGGGGAATTGGGAAAGAGGATGGATTGAAATTTTGATATATGAGTTTCTTATATAGGATGTGATGGGGTGGGAATTGGTTAAATCTAGCAACAAAACAAAAGCAAAGAGAGTTGGATTCTGTCAATGAGGAAGTGAAATAGGAGCGATACCGATTGTAGCAGTTGGTGTTGAATCCAGTCCAGTGGTGTAACGAGAGAGAGAGAGAGAGAGAGAGAGAGAGATGGGTTAGGGACCTATTTGCGAAAGTAGGTATATGATATGATATGATATGATCTGATATGATTGCTTACAGTACCAGCAAGGTTGGATAGGTATTAGTGTTTGTTTTTCAAGTACGAGTTGGAAAAGACAAGGGGGATGAGAGAGATGGATGAGAGCTGGATAGTTAATGTGGGTGCCATCTAGGGGTATGGTCGAGGGGGACAGAAGGGATGGGATGGGATGGGATGGAAGAGTATAGAATAGAATCAAAGTTGGAATCAAAGTTAGAATGAGAATGAGAATGAGAATCAGAATGGTGATGAGAAAGGACGAGGCTGTACTGTAAAGTAAACTATTGGAAGGTAAGGTAATGAAGAAAATGGGTTCAGTTCAGTTCAGCTCAGTTTGGTGATAGTTCGCCAAGGAAGTTTTAGTTTGTTGTTCTTGCTTCTGGGTTCTCGGTGCTCGGTTCTTGTCTTTTCTTTGAAGTTGCACGGTGGGAAAAGGAAAGAGGAAAGAGGAAAAAAAATTTTTGTGTTGTTTTTGTGTTTTTTGTGTTCGCTCGGAGGTTTGTTTCTTTTTTTTGGTGTTTGGTTGCGGTTGCGGTTGCGGTTGCGATGGGGCGGATGATGCCAGCCGGGTCCACGGAACAGCACCCGCAATTCGTGGCTGACGATGATGGGGCACGTGAGGGTCGCGTGTGTGCGTGTCGCTAGCAGATGGGTTTCAGGTCGGTGGTTTCGAACAGTTGTCGTTTCTTTTTGTTTCTCTACTGCCAGCAAAAAGAAACGACACACGTTTCGAAAACTGAAAAAAAAAATTTATCACAACCTGCCAGGAGCTGGGATGAGATGAGCTGAGCTGAGATATGGTTTAACATCTCTTGTCAACCACTCACACACATTCACATAGTCATACACACATGTATATATGTATATATGTATATATATATATATACATGTGTGTATGACTATGTGCTCTCCTAACTGTGACTAAGGACACTCACTTTTCATATCATATACATTTACTATACATCAAGCGTCTCATCTATCCACAAGCAATGGTCCCTCTAGAATTTTTAAAAGAACTGCCAAAGTGTGAACACCATCTACATATCGAAGGTACTTTGGAACCTGAATTGCTGTTCAAGTTCGCAAACAGAAATAAAATCACCCTACCAAATGACTTCCCAACTACCGTCAAGGACTTGAAAGATAAGTACAACTTCAACAACTTACAAGAGTTCTTGGACTTGTACTACGTGGGTGCTAACGTATTGATCACAGAACAGGATTTCTACGAACTAACAATGGCTTACTTTAAAAGAGTCTCAAAACAAGGTCTAGTCCACGCTGAAATCTTCTACGACCCACAAACTCATACTTCAAGAGATATCTCCTTGGATATCGTCACTCGTGGTATCGAAAGAGCTTGTAAAGATGCTCAAAAGCAATTCGGCGTCACCTACAAAATTATCATGTGTCTATTAAGACACACCGACCCAAAGGATTGCTCCTCTTTAATCGACGATGCTGCCAAGTACATCAAAGATGGTACTATCTCAGGTATTGGTTTGGATTCTTCTGAGAAAAACTTCCCTCCTGCTTTGTTTGTTGAATGTTATGAAAAGGCAATTAAACTAAACCCTGACATCAAACTAACTGCCCATGCTGGTGAAGAAGGCCCTGCCTCTTACGTCTCAGACGCCTTGGATCTATTGAAGGTTCATAGAATCGATCATGGTGTCAGAAGTGCTGATGACGACGCTTTGTTGGAAAGATTAGCTGAAGAAAAAATTATGTTGTCTATTTGTCCTTTATCAAATGTTAAATTACAAGTCGTAGAAAAAGTCTCCCAATTGCCATTACAAAAATTCTTAGACTATGGTGTCCCTTTCTCTATCAATTCTGATGACCCTGCTTACTTTGGTGGTTACCTTTTAGATAATTACATTCAATTGTCAAAGGAATACCCACAATGGGGGTTCTTCACTTGGGGCCAAATCGTTAAGAATGGTATCACCCACTCTTGGATAGATGAAAAGAGAAAAGAAGAATTGATTAATGAAGTCGATGGTATCATTACAAAATATGTCAACAGATCCGGATGAACTAAATCAATTTAAACTAATCCTAATTGCATCATTTCAAACCCAATCTACAAGGAACATAACCAATGAGGAACCACTAACTTTGTGAAATTTTATTATATAAAACAATATATACCAATCAAAACTTTTTATAAACTATACACAGTTACCTTATAAACATTTCATTAATTCCACACTATTCTTCATTTTAAGCTGTTTGTTCGTAAAGAATGTAATTACGTTAGCGATGCCCAGATGAAATATTTCAACAGGGTTTAAATATTGCCCACTTAGTAAGCAAGAGATATCTCATTAAAAGTTAAATAGAAAGGCAAGCAAGCAAGGTATTTTGGCACCTATAGATAATTTACACATTGCTTACATTGTTTGTGTTTCAAGAGTTTGGTATCTTACGTTTATTACACTTGAAAAGGTTTTAAAAGGTTTAACAACAATGTCGATTAAGTTAGACTATTCTACGTTGGAGGAACGTTATTCAAAGTTTCTATCAAAAAGATGCAAGGATAGAACATTTGCTCAGTTTTGGGATAATGATGGCGATGTTCCTGATGATTTGATTGAATTGACAGCCGGTATGCCAAATCCAAAATTATTCCCAATCAATTCTATCGATCTCCATATCTCAGACAAACCTCAATTAGGTGATGAAACCTTAAAGAAGGTTTCGATGTCTTTGAACTCACCAGCTGAATTACCAATGGCTCGTACTTTCCAATATTCTGAGACTGTTGGTTTACCTCCTCTGATTAATTTCTCAAGAAATATAATCAAGAAGGCTAACAACCCTGCTTATGATAATTGGGATGTTATTCTTGGTAACGGTTCAAGTGACTCGATGTTTAAGTTATTTGAAACTATTTGTGATGAAAATACTACCGTCATGATGGAAGAATTTACCTTCTCTCCAGTTATTTATAATATTAAGGCCACTGGTGCGGCTCATATTCCAATTAAGATGGAATTAAGTGAAAATCCAGAGAAGCAAGGTATTGATGTAGACTATATGCAAACTTTATTGGAAAACTGGGATTCTAGCGAACATAAACATTTGCCAAAACCAACAGTTCTTTACACGATTGCCACTGGTCAAAATCCAACAGGTATGACTTTATCTATGGAGAAGAGAAGAAAAATTTATAAGATATGTCAAAAACATGATATTATTATTGTTGAAGATGATCCATATGGATATTTATACCTACCAAAATATGATAAGTCTAAACCAGATAAGAATCCGTATCTTGATGATGAAAATTTAACCGTTGACAAATACATCAATGACTATTTGGTTAAATCATTTATGACAATAGACACCGATGCTCGTGTTGTTAGATTAGAAACTTTCTCTAAAGTTTATGCCCCAGGTTTAAGGTTGAGTTTTATGGCAGCTAATAAATTTATCATCGATAAAGTTTTGACTTATACTGAAATCACAACTAGAGCTCCAAGTGGTACTTCACAAGCAATCTTATACACAACCATTAAGGAATTAGCTAAGCCATATGAAGATAAATTCGAAAATGTGGATTATGCTCAGTTAGAAGGTTGGTTCCATTGGATCATGAAAGTTGCTGCTGAGTACACACATAGAAGAAACGTTATGTTTAAAGCCTTGTATGGAACTGAAGCATTTAAAAAGGGTTATCTAGAAGTTTTAGAGCCATCTGCTGGTATGTTCATTAACGTCAAGGTTAACCTAGATGGTATTAAGAAAACAGAAGGTAAGGATGTCATTACAGTGATGAATGAATTGAACAGAAGCTTCTTATCATCGGGAGTCAAGGTTATTCTTGGTTATAAAATGGCTGTTGATAAAGAATTCTCTAAGGACAATGCTAATTTCATTAGAATTACTGTTGCATTTGCGGAGAATGATGAAATATTGGACAAAGCATCGAAGAGAATTGGTGATGGTATTATGAAATATATCGAAAATTAAACCTTCTAATCTTTTATTGTTACTGTATTGCTTGTTATTTTTTTATTTCCCCTACTTTGTTTCATATGTCTACTTCTCCCAACAATAAATTTGCAAGTTCAAGCAATTATATACCAGCAAACTTATCATTGACATATTAAGTAATAAAACCAGCAAGACCAGCATAAAAAATGCCGGCATTATTAACAAACCAACGACTGAAATGGGGAAATCCAGAAGTATATAAATGGGTATAATATATAACAAATTTATTATAATTATTATTATAAAGAAAGTACAAATTTTTTGAATTAAATTAAAGTTAAAAGGTTTATTACATACTGGTGTAAAGTATAAGACGAACCGTAAATTAAATCTTCACATTAAAGGGTATTAGAATAGATAAAAAATCATTGAATGTTAAAGATGTATAGTGTTTATGGGAAGATGGTGATCAATTCTTCAGCAGAAGAGATACCATTGGCTAAAGCAACAGTCAATAATAATTGAGCCTTCAAAGGAGATAGGTAACCAGCACCACAAGTACCTTCTGGCAAGTACATAGAGCTCAAGTATGGAACTTGATCACCCTTAGCGAAAACGACTGGGATAGATAGAGAAGACAAGTCCAAAGATCTGGCATCACCTTCAGTAGAGATGATGACAACACCGTCAGCAGCAGCTTCCAAAGTAGATAATAATTCCAAAGAGCAGTCAGATTGAGAAACAATTGGGACTCTTGGAGTGAAGTTGAATTCGGTAGTGACGTTAGCATTAGTTAATTCTGGGAATTGGTTTCTGATGACAGAGAATGGGTCAGTGAACATTGGAGTAGAGTCGTCGAAGAACCAGTTAACAGATAAGTCATCACCACAAGCAGCAATTGGAACACCAGAAGCAGCGTCAGTAGCGTATCTTGAAACAGCTGGAGAGAAAGCACCAGAGTAGACTAAGTAATCGTTAGAGACAACCAAGGAACCGTAAGCACCAGTGTTGTTAGCGACCAATAAACCGTAATCAGCATCTTGAGCAACAACGACAGGCTTGATAGAATCGAATAAGATAGTAGAGAAGAAACCTAAGGATTCGACAGAGTTACCGTTGGCAACAACGACGACACCGTAGTAGTTATCGTTGTCTAAAGTCTTGTTAACAATTTCAGCAACTTCATATAATTGAGTGAAGTTCAAAGCATTGGAAGAGTTGCCGTAAAAGTTATATTCAACGTCAGAAGAGTTCTTCAAAGTGTAAGTACCACCAGTGACAATGACCTTTAATTTTGGTTCAACAAAGTCGGTAGCGTTAGTACCGTTGTGGAAGGTAGAGTTTGAGTGGTTTGAACCGTTAGAGATGTTAGAGATGTTACCAGTTTCGAAGATAACTGGGGAAGCTTGTACTAAAGTAGAAGCAGCTAACAAAGCAGATGCAGCGATTTGGAATTTCATTTTCTATATTATATCTGACGATTGACGATTATAGTCGTTGATGTTCTGTATATAGAGTAGAATTAGAAAATAAGAGAAGGATTAGAAAAGAGATGAGTTATGCATCTGGAATAAATTGATAAAAGAGGTTGTCATTTATATATGCAAGATAAATTGAAAGTCGATGCCAATTAATTGAAAAAAAAATTTAAGAAATATCCAGGATGTAGATGGTGGCAATGGGGATGGAACAAAATAAACAAATTACTAAGAAGTAGCACACCACTGAACTAGTTAGTCTTCCTTAGAGTATGCATTAAACCATTTGTATTTACCCCTTCTAAGTGATATGACACAGAGTAATAATTAGATAAATAAACAAATTGGAATAAATAGGAGATATGTAAGGAATCCTTAGGGTAAGGGAGAGTTGTAATAATTAAAGAAAACCCACAGTGAGGTACTTCAAAACAAATTAGATTGAATTAAATTGAACTAGATCGAATTAATTAATTAAAATTAAAATTGCAATTGCAATTTAATTAATTGGGTTTCAACGTTATTTGTTATCTTGTTCCACTTCAAATAACCCAGTGGGCAGTGGACTCTCTGTCATTAGTTGTGTTTATAGCTAAGTTGACTGCGATAATTATAGAACATATAGAGAAATATGCAACTTAATGCAATAGTTTATACCAAAGGATCTTAGAAATCACGGTTGCACTTGCATCTGCACTTGCAAGTGCAATTGTAGTTGTTGTTCAATCCTAATGCAATCGGTGAATACAGATGGATAAGATAGAATTGGGATATCGAAATATGTATGTAGAACAAAAGAAACGATAAGGGTACCACACTGAGTAAATACCGTAGGGATGGCTTTAGTGAACTTTATATTCTCTAAGAATTATGAACATCATGGGATAAGATGGGATATCCAATTGGAAATAACAACAAGTTGAAGAAAAGACTATACCTTGAGTGAATGAATGCATAGGATTAAAATAGATAATAGTAACCGTTGAGGCAATTTCCAAAAAGATTGAATGAATGATTGATGGGATTTCGAAACAGGATTGCCTAATAGAGTAATTCAAAATGACGGTATCTCAAAAAGAGGTTGATAGCTATTAGTACTTAATGCAATGGTAGTAAATTGCAAACTTTGATGAGAAGTATCAGTACAGGCAATACCAATTTGGAATGGTCAAGTAGGTTAGTTGTATATAGGTTAATGTTTGTGTGTGTGGGGGGGGGAAAGGAAGGGAAGGGAGCCAGGGAGGTATTAAGAAGGGAGGAGATAGGGAGAAGACAGGGAGGTGGGAATAAACAAAATTAATTACAGGGAGATTGGGTTGGGAAAATAGAACATAATAGAACTCAATTTGTCAAAATCTTTATTAAAAAATGAAAAATAAAAAAAAACAACAAAAGCTAATACAAATTAGCACTACTGTGTTGTCCCTCATCTATTAGTTACAATTACCGTGGAACATGAGTGTAACGCAATACATATCTAGCAGTTCTAGCATTTCTATCAGTTCTATCAGTTCTATCTACCGTGATCGAAATAGCATTAACAACAAAAGTAACACTGCTGTATAAACAAGAAATAAAGAAGAAAGAAGGAAATTTTTTTTTCTTTTCACTTTTTTCAGTTGTTGTTGTTGTTTGATGAAAAAGTGTAGCAGCAAGAGACTTTTTATTCATTCATTCTCCCTTCCTCATAATAAAAAAAAATAAAACACAATTCAACATAACAAAACAAAACAAAATACAACAAAACACAATTCAACGTAATTGAACTGAATTGACTTGACTTGAACTTTAACAGTGGCTTACAGAGAAATATACATTAAGAACACTACAAAGCAACCAACCTAAGAAACTCCTACCCATCTAAGGGAATTGGACCAATTGGCCCTAGGGGGACTAGGGCAAAATCCGTTATCATACCCACTAGACCATATCATACAAACAAAACCTCTATACCAAAATGAGAGTTTCTCTAATTTAGATCGATTTCACTCAGTTTTAGAAATCTAACAGATAGTAAAGTGCAACAGTGACGTGGTGGTAACAAGAAACACCTATTTCACACCAATCTCCCTTCCCTCACCCCGTGAAACATCTATAAAACTATTCAGAAGTTGCAATTGTATAAATATTTTCTTTCTGTTCACCTCTCAGCCTCTCAAACTAGTAATTGTATCCCAATCCTAGTTGAATCAAAGCCCGGTGGATATAGCAAGAAGAGGAAGCCATCTCTTGCTCTTGTTCTCTCTCTCTATTCAAGATAAAAAGATATATTCACAATAACGTAAAGCAAAGAAGAGCAAATGTAACGTAACGTAACGTAACGTAACATAAAGTAGCGTAACCTGACATCGGTTTATACTAAACTAAATTATACTAAACTAAACTATTCGGGAGATACTACACTGTTTGCATTTTACTTCATTAAGAGCGTGGTTTTATTTAGGTTTTAGAGTATTACTCTGTTAGATATCTTGACACTCTTGGCTAGACTGACTGGTTTTGGGTTTTGTTGTTGTGTGTGTCTCTCTTTCTCTCTTTGTTTCTGGTTCTGGTTCTTGTTCTTGTTTCTGTTTTCTAAAGAGATGAGATGAGATGAGATGAGATGAGATACTGAAAAATTTTTTCAGTCATTGCTTTGAAAAGAAGCTGCCTGTTACAATCTTGCCAGTTCTGGTGCTTTCCTTTTCTTATGTTGTCAATGTATAGTTGATGTTTGAGTATGCTATTGTTGGTGGCTATTGTTTGTTTGAAGTAGCTGGTGACGTAGATGCTCACGTGAGCTGTTTTGAATGGTGAGAATTCTTGAAAGTAATGTAAATGCTCTTCAACTACTTATTGACTGATTGGTTACTTCATACTCTGTTTGAAAGTGGGATTCCTCTAATTAATCACCGTGATATAGGGAGGGATATCAGACATTGAGTCTTTATTGTACATATAAAGTTTAATTTAATTCATTTAATTTTAATTTAGTCTGATGCAATGTAATTTAATTTAATTTGATTTCACTCTTAATCTTGGTTTGTTCTGCTTTCATACATGATAGGGGGTCTATTGAAATTAAAATAGGGAAGTTATTCATCCTTTAATTAATTGGGCATTAGGCATTGTAATTTTAATTAATTTGCAAATTCAGGAAATCTGATTGATTTATTGATTGATTGATTGATTGCATTCCAAGTAAAATAGATATTCTAACTGCTATTCTATTAACGCATTTTGTAATTATGAGTAAGGAAGATTTAGCTGTTTACGTTTCGAATTTAAGCTATACTTTCCCTGAAAGTGAAGTTCCTAGTCTGGTAGATATCAATCTTGAAGTGCCTTGGAACACAAGAACTTTAGTAGTGGGTTGTAACGGTGCCGGTAAGTCTACGTTGTTGAGACTACTAAGTGGGAAACATTTATGTAGAAATGGTGAACTTTTAGTAAATGGTTTAGATCCTTTTGCTCCCATATCGTTAACCAAAAAGCGTCAAGAAGACGTAGACGTTCAAACAACTACATATTTAGGCACTGAATGGTGTCATATGACTATCATAAATAGGGATATTGGTGTTACTGAACTGTTAAATAGTATCGGTATGAAGGTTTATCAAGAAAGATGTGATACCTTGGTTGATATTTTAGATATCGATTTGAATTGGCGAATGCATAGGCTAAGTGATGGCCAAAAAAGAAGAGTCCAATTGGCAATGGGTCTGTTAAAACCATGGAGAATCTTACTTTTGGATGAAGTCACTGTCGATCTTGATGTCATTTGTCGCAGTAGACTACTAAATTTTTTAAAATTTGAAACTGAATCTCGTAAATGTAGTGTTATATATGCGACACATATTTTTGATGGTTTGGCTAACTGGCCAAACCGTATATTGCATATGGATTATGGTAAGATAGTTTCAGATGTAGATTATAAGAAAGATATCAAATTTACAGAAAATATAGGAGACATGGAAAATGGTAAAGTGATCAAAGATGAAAATAATAAGATCATTATCAGTAAAGTCAACAGTTTACATCCACTTGCCCTTCATTGGTTGAACAATGACCTTGGATTGCCCGAATTATGAAATATTGTGTATATAGACAGATAGATTGTTTCATATGACTAGGAATCGAGTTTTTATATAGAGAAGATTATATTTTTGCAAAAAACTATGTGTATTCCACGCATCGCTACCAAAACCTCTGGTTCTAATGGTTATTGTTATTTATATATATATTCTTTTTTGAACCCATCACAGTACCTTTAGAAGTATTACAAGAAGACAAAAAACTGAACTGACGTCTCTACGGTCATGAAATTAATTTTGAATAGTGTCAGAAACCCAATTAAAGACATTTCCGAACCACAAGAAACAGGTTTGAGCTCTAGAGAGAGAACTTGACATTACCCGGATACTTATTTTCTCTATCAAACCAATAGTTCCCATATGGCAACCAGCAAGTGCTAGTGATAATAGCATATAATATGACTTCGTATAGATGTACACTCTCTCATAACTACTGAAATAAAACCAAACATCTTCACATCACATCCACTAGTTAAAACAGACATACATCAACCGTAGAAAGCATTACACTCTAATCGAAATACCTCGTCGTTCCAATCCAAAACGTAGTACTACCTTCATCTTCACCTTCATCTTCCCATGTCTCTTATACGAAATCAGCTTTGATATAAAACAGCAATGCTTCACTATGCTATCCTGGTCATCGCTCTTAACAGACCGTACAAACCCGTCCCGATTTCGAAACAAACTAAAAATATCGCGATCTCTCTCAAGATCTCTCTCTCTCTCTCTATAAGAAACCGACTGCTCGAACCTACTTCAGTACGCTTCATTGCTCCAGTCTGGACATTACCACACAATTCAATGTTCCTAGTGTTTCGTATACTTCTCCCCCCCCAGACCCAGACTAGTATCGAAGTTACAACTCTCTCTCTCTCGATTGCTGCCAAAATGTTCGTTTCTTGTCTTGCTCAGCTTTTAATTGCTCTAAGATGAAAAGTACAAACAACCAGTTGCTTAAACATTACGATCCAATACCACATATCATAATGTACTTCGAGTTGTATTCATGTCTTCTATACGATTGATGCTTTTATTTGCATTCATTCACTGAAGCTGTCTGGTTCTCGTTAGTTGGCACTACCAGAAGATGGTGAAGAACCATTGGAATGCTCGATTGCTAGATTGTTTCAATGTGTTTTTGCAAGTATATTAGTTCTAGGAACTAAACTCAGATCAAGAAGTGTGAATACGATGATGTTGGTGGTGATGAGGAAAAAAAAATTTGTACTGTTCTTATTGATTGATTTGAATAGCCTAAGTAAAGTAAATGTAAAGTACAGTGAAGCAAAGCAAAAAAAAATGTGCCATACGATCGCATTTATCTATAACTCGTTCCTCGATTACCATATTCTTCTCATCATTGAATGATTTAATATTTATATATATATAGTACTATAAATCAATGCTCATCTCTAAATCTTTAGAACTAATTCTTTAAATTCAAATCTGGCTCCTCTGTCTCTCTCTCTCTCTTTTTTCATTCTTTGATCTATAGTATGACCATCATCGCCATCTGATTCAACCATGGATTTAGTATTAGAAGTTGCTGATTCTTTAGTATTGGATAAAGTTTATTCCAAATTATTGCCTACTTCTTTGGCAGCTGATGTCCCAGCAAAATGGCACCAAATGTTGAACATTAACAGCGGTGTCCAAAACGTCACTATGCTATTACAATCTTTAAATGCTAACCCAGACTCAAGAGTTTGTCAAGATATCTATGGTTACACCCCATACTTGATGGATATGTCTGAGTTGACTTTTAACTCTCTACTTCCACGTTCAAACTTGGTCAGAGAGGTCATCTCTTCATGGATTTTAACCACTGTCTTTGGTTGGTTATTATATCTATTTTTTGGTACCTTATCGTACTTTACATTATTCGATAAATCTGTCTTCAACCATCCTCGTTATTTGAAGAACCAAATGTATTTGGAAATTAAATTGGCTATGACCTCCATCCCAATCATGTCTATCTTGACGTGTTTCTGGTTTGTCATCGAATTCAAAGGTTACTCAAAATTATACACTGTTTTAGATTTATCAAACGGTGGTTGGAAACAATTGGTCTTTGAATTAGTCTCATTTATCATGTTCACCGATTGTGCCATTTATTTGGCTCACAGATGGTTACATTGGCCAAGAGTCTACAAAGCTTTGCACAAGCCACATCACAAATGGTTGGTCTGTACTCCATTTGCTTCTCACGCTTTCCACCCAATAGATGGTTACTTTCAATCTTTACCATACCATTTGTATCCAATGTTAATGCCATTGAACAAATATTTCTACCTATTATTGTTCACTTTTGTTAACTTCTGGTCTATTATGATTCATGATGCAAACCATATGTCCAATAACCCATACGTTAACGGTACTGCCTGCCACACCGTTCACCATCTATATTTCAACTATAACTATGGTCAATTCACCACTCTATGGGACAGATTGGGTGGTTCTTATAGAAGACCAGAAGATGATTTATTCGATCCAAACTTAACCAAGAACAAGAAGGCCTTGGAAGAACAAATCAAAAGAATGGAAGTCATCAAGCAAGAAGTCGAAGGTAATGATGACGATAGAGTTTATGAAGAAAAGAAATTCAAATGATGCTAAAAATGACCACAACATATATAGGGCATCTCATCATTAGAATATCATAAAAGAATACATATATGTATATGTATATGTATATATTATGACTTTAACAAACAGCAAAAAACATCAACATATAATTTCAATTCCCCATCATCAATTTGTACACTTATATTTAAAATTTATTATATAGAATAGAATAGAATAGAATCTTTGTAATGAGCTAATGCATTGTTGTTCGATTAAGTTATTGATAGTTTTGATTTATGGTGAATTTAATATAAAAAAGGAACTTCTGGGCATCTTGATATCGATCCATTTGATGCAATGGAAGTAGATAGACAAAGCTGTTGGATTTGAGAAAATAAAGAGGCTACTGGATAACTATGGATACAGCTAAGTTGTTGAAGAGCACACGGTTTGCTAGGATTTTAAAGTTGGATGATGATACAGTGGTTAAGTCTATTCAAAAGGATTATTCGATAGCACCTCATGATCCGTATCAAGAACTCTCGATACTACAAAAATTGAATAGGCAAGAACCTAATAATGATAATATAATAAGATTGATCTCATCAGAGATTACTGATGAGGATATTAATTTGGTTTTCCCATTTTATAAGATGAGTCTACAGGACTTTTTGCAGCAAAGTTGTCAAAAGACCAGTAACAATCCATACTATTCAATTGGTGAGGACACAATTGTTAAATATCGTTATAGATTTGATACAAATAAATACTGTTATGATTTTTTTAATCAGTTAGTGGTTGGATTGGATTTCATTCATTCTCAGAAGATCATTCACAGGGATATGAAGCCTCAGAATGTCATGTTAGATTTTATTGATGAGGATAAAATTATACTAAAGATTATAGATTTTGGCATTGCTTATGATTTCAAAGATAATCAAAAGGAGGATAAGGATAATTTAATTACTGATGTGTCTACTTCAATATATAAAGCGCCTGAATTACTCTTTGGAGTTAAAAATTACTCCTACAGCGTTGATATCTGGTCATTATTTATTATGCTTACACAATGGTTACAGAAGGACAGATTATCTTTTACAAATATTGAATACATACCAGCTATAGTTGATAATGGAGCTAGCAATGATGAAGTACATTTAGATGCTGGAAGCGATATTAAATTAATCTTTTCGATTTTTGAAAAATTTGGAGTTCCATCAAAGGAACAATGGTCACAAGTGATTGAATTTGGATCGTCAGATGCTTTCATAGGTATGTTTAGCGGGTACGATACTTCGACGTACTTTTATAATAAAACTAAAGAAGAACAGAAATCGTTGCTATTAGAATGGCTACCAGGATTATTGACTATTGAAAATCCGCAACATACGGAGAAACTGATAGAATGTTGTTTAGGTATGGTCCATTATCAATCTACTTTGAGAATTTCAACGGAACAATTATTAAAAATCTTGAACTAGCTAATTCTCTCTACTTCCCCTTGCCCAAACACAATCACAATCACAATCACAAACATATACATATATATATGTATGTATGTACGTATAACAAATGCATATAATGGTCTAGAACATACATGCAAAATATAATACACATCACTTCCCCAATTGCTTCTCTAATTCAAGAAACTTCTTCAATGCATTAACCCTATTCAATTCATTCTTCTGAATCAAATACATCTTGTGCCAGTCAACAGCAACTTCCTGACTCTCTTCACCTCCGTCCCCATCCCCATCATATTCATTGAATCCAACTGAACCATTAGAACCCCCACGAACAGGAGATCCAACGACCCTCTTCTTGATAGTGCTACTTGTCATCGATCTATCCTCAACTCGAGACCCTGAGATTGCAACATTTCCAAATCCTCGAGCATTCCCTTTGGAAACAGGCGTCAAAGTCAACGCCCTCTTCCTAGAAACTTCACCGTCACCACTCATATCCAACTTAAACCACTAAAAAATACCTAGATACCTCACTGACCTACCTTGACCTCATCATCAACTCGTAACCATCATTTGATTCTTGTTCAAATTATATTCATCATCATCATCTTAAACCAATTTCGAATTTCGAGATTTTGATATTGAAAAATTCTTGTGGTTTCTACGGTGTTTTCTTCGCAAATATGGCAATGGACTTTTGAATTTGATATAAGAAGTATCAAAAATTGATTTAGAAGTTTTGGAATCAAATGATGACAAGAAGTAAGAATTAAAAGATAGGAAAAGGGTTATAAGGTTCTGGTGAATGTTGTTTGAAGTGGTTGTTTTTGGGTAGTGCATGTTTTGTTTGTTATTTGTACAATTTAAAAGTTTTGAATTGGGTTTTGAATTGGGTTTTGAACAAAGGAGTTAGGTACTGGATAACAAAAAGAGTACCGATATGATAGTTTATAGTAAATTGATTGTGTCTCTTATAAGGAGGCTTCGATCTGTGCTACCACTTTGTGTTACTATTTGTTTATTGTTTTATTATACTTTCCAGAATGAGATCGATATGTTGAATTCATATGCTGAGAATGAATATATGCCCTCTATTAATAATGAGCTTGTGGGTTCTACGAATACGAATTCTAATTCGAATTCAAATCTGAAGGATAAGGTTGATGAAGGGTTGGCATCGTATGGTAATTCCAAGGTATTGGAAAATGCAAGTGGTGATGGGACTAGCACTGGGGATAAAGTGTCTCATGCGTTGGATTTGTCAGATCCTGAGGTGTTGAAAGAGAAAAATCGATACTTTCCTCTACTGATTTCAGATTCATCGAAGGAAAGTCTTATCAGATACAATGACCTTCCGTCTTCACAGTTACAATCTTTACTACTGCATCACAAGGAAAAATATCCTATACTTTATGAAATGTCACTGCCAAAAAGTGACACCACAGTTTCACAGAAAAATACAATCATTGTTCAAAATTCAAGAGATGATATACAAGGCAGTACTGATCAGGATATGTTAGGTGAAATTAGAAAAATACTGTTAAAGTCTTTGGATTTTGATCAAGTCATGTCAAGAGCCACAGAAAACATAGAGATAGAATGGCCGTTGAAATTAATCGACATTTTGGATACTTTATATCTAACAAATGAATTTAATATATTCGACGAAGCTGTCGCTTTGATCTCAGAGGTTGACTTCACTATTCCTCCTATCACCGTTGGGACTATTGATATTCCAGATTTAGCATCAAGAGCTCTGGGTGGGTTGATTTCAGCTTATGAATTGTCATCAGAGGAAGTTTTGCTCTCCAGTGCAAAATCGATTGCTGATTTCATCTTGAGATCTTTTGATACTCCAAATGGTTTGCCAATTTTACACTATCCTTGGAAAACTCAATATCAAAATAGGTTTCCCTATCAAAATAGTGAAATTGGTGCTTTGAGTAATATGGCTTTGGAATTAACTAGATTATCACAATTAACAAAATCGAACAAATATTTCACTTTTGTATACAAGATTTATGATACGATCTCAAAATCAAATGATGAATTCGATTTGGACTATATGTTCCCCGATCATGTGGACTTCTCTGGCTGTGAATTGTTGACATCTTCAGAAGTCTCGAAAGGTAAGCATGTTAAAGGTTCTCAAGTAATGAAAAGTATTAATGAAAATTTCCAATTTGTTTACTGTCAACAAGGTGGTACTGTAAAAGTTTCACCAGAGGACATCAAGAGTAAGTCGCAGCTCTTCGTTATGAATGAAAACACTCAACCCGTTTATGCAAATATTGTTAAGATGTTTCAAATGTTGAATTATTATGATATAATGAAAATTCCAGAAAGTTACTTAACCTCAACAAGTACAAATAATGATATGGAATTAGAAAATGAAGAGTCTGGATCGCATAATTTAGACTCTACAAATAAGATCGATAACAAGAAAAATGGAAATTCAAAAGAAACACCAAGTGCAGATGAGGAAAATTTAAATAGCAATAATTCACCAAGTTCTAAAAAATTCTTTATTAACGGAATGAATCACATTAAAAACCTAATGGCTTTCAATCCAGTTACAGCATTTGAGAAGAAACTTACAGTAATTTCCTCATTGGATACTCATTCCTCATACGTACCTTCTAAAAATGAATTGAGAGTGGAAATGAAAAAGCATCTGGATATGCATCATCAATCGTGCTCCTTGGCCTCGACCTTAATTCTAGGATCAAAGTTATTTAATATTACAAATTATGCTGATTTTGCATCAGAAATTACAGAGAGCTGTTTCATATTAACAAATTACTTTAAAGCGGCGATGCCAGCTCATCTTTATTTAGATGACTGTGAACTAGGTAGCTGTCAATTTGATGAAGCAACTAAATTAAGTATGATAGCAGAAGGAAAATATATGCATCTAAATAATGATGAAGAAAATGAAGCAATAGGTGATGTTGTTACAAATGAGAAGGTGTTGGATGATGATGCAATATCTCAGAAAATTAATCGATTGCTAATGTTTTCAAAAGAAAATGGTAAAAGTTTCATCAGCGTGAATCCCTCTGATATTGATTTTTCAACAGGGAAATGGGCTAAACAACCAGAAAGACCACTTTGGGTGAACAAAATGGGACATCAAACTATCCTCTCACCATACACAATTGAACCTATATTTTACATGTATAGAATTACAGGTGATAATAAATGGAGAGATATGGGTCGAGAACTTTTTAAAACTACTGTTTCCACTGTTAAACAAATTAATCAAAGAGCCAAAGGTATCTGGGATATTAAAGAAATGGCCAAAATTGGCGATGGTAATAGTAATACGTCTAAAATTCCTAGTAGTTGGTATTCTCAGACATTAAAATACTACTATTTATTATTTATGGACAGAAATAAATTTAGTTTAGATGATTATATTTTAACCTCTGGAGGACATTTTATGAAGAAATATGTAAATTCATAATTAGATATTTATTTCAATCTTAGTTAACACAATAAATGGAAAAACATTGTATTAATATATTTATATATATAAATTGATTTATCTACCTTATAATATTTTTACTATAGAACATTAAAGAATAAAAAGATATAAGGACACCTAGTAGAATGGTAATAGAATGATAATATATATATATATATATATATTAAACAGGAAGTGGAAATGATCCTGCCCAATTGAAAATATCAATCTTCAATTCTTCCAAATTTCCAGCCAATCCATCGACTGCTATCTTAAAGTCCTTTAATTTATTATGATCTACTGGAAGTGAACTCTGAATTTCCTTTGCGAAGTTGACAGCTTGGTTAATATATTCAACGACACGCTTGAAATCAGCTTCGCCCATACCTCTTGTTGTCATTGCTGGGGCACCAACACGTATTCCACCAGGTACTATTGCAGATTTGTCGCCAGGAATCGAGTTTTTATTTAGGACTATATTGATCTTTTCACATACGTATTCAATTCGAGCGCCATCTAAACCTATCTCCTTTAATGAAACTAAAACCATATGTGAATCAGTCCCATCAGATACCAATTTGTAACCCAATTTTTTAAATTCTTCTTCCATTGATTTAGCATTTTTCAATACTTGTAATTGGTATTCTTTGAACTCTGGAGTAGTTGCTTGTTTCAATGTTGTAGCTAGAGCAGCTATCGTATGGTTGTGTGGACCACCTTGATGTCCTGGGAATACAGAAAAATTAATACGATTTTCTAAATCAAATGGTTGTTCTTTACCTGTTTTCTGATTTATTGACTTGATTCCCCTTCTGAAAAATATCATTGCACCACGGGGACCTCTTAAAGATTTATGAGTAGTTGTTGTGACAACGTCAGCATATTCGAATGGTGAAGGAATGACATCCGCAACAATTAAACCTGCAATGTGAGCAATATCTACCATTAAATAGGCGCCACATTTATCAGCAATTTCTTTCATTCTCTTGTAGTCTATTAAACGACAATAAGAAGATGTTCCAGCTATCAAAATTTTTGGTCTATATAAGATGGCATTTCGTTCTAAACTGTCATAATCAATTATTCCAGTGTTTGGATTAACTCTATATGGGAAAGATTCGAAATAGGTGGATACAGCAGATATAGACCTTGTCTCTGTTGCGTAACCATGAGATAGATGGCCACCGTCGGGTAAATACAATCCCATAAGTCTGTCATGTGGTTTCATTAGTGCTTGGTACACTTCCAAATTTGCAGGAGAACCAGATAATGGCTGAACATTGACTCCCCAATCTTTTTCATTTAATTTAAATGCTTCTAATGCTCTCTTTTGGCATAAGGATTCAACACGATCAATATGTTCATTACCACCGTAATAACGAGCACCAGGATATCCTTCAGAATACTTATTTGATAAAGGAGTGCCTAGAGCATCATAAACAGAAGTTGATGTAAAATTTTCAGATGCAATTAGATCAATTGAGTGTTTTTGTCTCTCTATTTCATCTTTAATAATACTTTCAAGCTCAGGATCAGTTTGACTTAAATGCGTCTGTAATAAAGTTCGATGTGACTCTGATAAGGTGTACGTCATTCCTTGATTATAAAATATTTCTAATACCTTTCAATAATAGTAACAAATAAATGTGAATATTTATTAGGAGCAATTTTCTAAATAGAATTCTTCTGTAATTATGTGAAGAGTCTGTATATACCTTTTTATATCCCAATATAATGTGATGTCTTTACAGCGACTTTTATTTATGGCATTCAATAAGCTAAAAAAGACAAAAAGTTAAAAATAAGGGTATAGAGAAAGCCACTCCTGATATGGATCAGATATCGTCAAATTATACTACCTAAATTCATTTAATGGAAAAAAAGTTAAGTGATTTAAGGTGAAGGTTTTGAGGTCACGGCGTTATTCTTGAGAGACATTGATTTTATTATCATTAACTTTTAGAGGTTACTTCAAAAAAAAAAGTGTAAAATGTAGACATATTTCTTGTAGAATAAAATTATAGAATACTAACTAACTACATGAGTAAATTTGATATATTTGTAATTAAATTATTCTTTGATTGCTTCTGTAATCAATTCGAGACATCTTTGTACATGATTCAATTTTGGATCACATGCTGATACACCCATGTGACCAATACGTATATATTTTGGACCAATATCTTTCAACAAGCCACCAGTTATTACAACACCATTATCTCTTAGATATTTAATGACTTTTTGAGGGTTATCGACAAAAACTGCTGTAACACCATGTGACTGGCAATTTTCATTTATCGACACCAGTTTTAATCCTAGTTTTTGTAGATTTGATTTAAATTCATCACTTGTTTTCTTAGTGGCCTCAATTCTACCTTGTAACCCATTTGGATAATTGAAAATGTCAGTTAGAGCAGCATCTAAAGCATTGACAGTTTCTACTGGAATTGTAGCAAAATAACTACTTGCACCTCCTTCATAAGATTTCATAATTGGTATCCATTTCTTCAAAGAAGTAAAATAACCAATATTTTTATGCGATTCTGCTAATTTCACAAATCTACCACTAGCAATTGAAACACTTAAACCAACTGGGGCACCTATAGCCTTTTGAGAAGCAGAAGCACAAAAATCTACCCCCCATTTATCGAACTCAAATGTTTCGCAAGCAATAGAACAAACACCGTCAACAAATATTAAAGATTCTGGGGAAACTTTTTTAATAATATTACAGATGCCTTCCACATCATTTAACACAGCTGTAGAAGTATCGACCTGTGTCACTGTAACAGCTTTATATTGCTTTTTACCAAGTTCAGCCTCGATATCTTTTAAAGGAACAATATCACCAACTTCTGCTTTTAAATATGTGACTTGAGCACCATAAGATTCCAAACACTCACCAAGATGTTCTGAAAAGAAACCAGTATCGATAACTAATACATTATCACCATTATCTATACTATTAGCAGCAAATAAATCCCAACCTAGAGTACCTGAACCTGAAATGACTAAAGGTTGTGAAGAAGGGTCTGTGGAATTAAATAATTTTCTTGTATTTTTCAATACTCTTTGGAAAATAGCAATAAATAATGGATCTGCAGGTACTAATGCTGGATCATTAAATGAAAGTTTAACGTTTTCACTCAATTCTACAGGACCTGGAATTAAAATCAAACTCATCTCGATTGCAATGCTTTATTTATTAATATTTTAGTTTTTAACGTAATTATCTAGGAATAATTAACAATACGTTCTTGTGAATATATCAGAAACAGATAAAACAGTTCAAAATAAAGTATTATAAAGACAAAACCCTTTATAAAATTACAGAACCATCCTTATGACTTTATTTATATACCCTTGGTTTTTAATCATCCTTATTCTTAAATCATTCTCTCACGTGACTTCGAGTTCTGTCACCATACTGAATGATTCAATAGCATCATCGCACCTATAAAGTGCCGTTTACGCACTATGTGAGTCACTACTGCCTTCTAACAAGCTCGAATATAGACCAATAGTAACCAATATACTTCTCTAATTCAACGAATTCCCCATAATTAATGAAACCTCCCTTGTAACTATCTAACCAGATCATTAAGTAGGTTCAATCGGTATTAGACGGTCATTCAAACCAGGCTAAAGCAAGCCCTCTAAGAGTAATAAAACGGGATGGGATTTCCAAGTAAACAGGACAGTTACACCTGCAAAATAATACAATTTGCAAGACAACAAATATTTGAATATCTGGGGGAATTAATTTCATACGATCTTATTGCTCTTGTTAAAACTATCCTTTTTTCAATGAAGGAGGTAGAGAAGGGACGATGACGTAGGAGAAACATATTTAATTTACAACAAGAAACTTAAGCCTGAGGTTACCAGGTTTTATAGTATATATGACCATCATGCTTTCAGCTCAAGCAAATTTTGTCAAGCATCATATGGCATCAACTAGATTATGCTAATTGCTACGTATTGTGTTCAGCTCTAGTAAGTGGACTAGTAACTATCATAAATACGGCTACTAACACTGCATTAACAAACAATACATTATGGAACTGTTGACAGAGAAGAAGAATAAAATAACGATCTCAATACAATACGTTTTTAACAAGATTCGATGTTTTATATAAAGTCTCCACCATTTTGTTATTTACCTTGCCTTTTGCAGGTTGTTGGCCCATCTGTAATTTATCCTCTTTATGTTAGATATCAAGACATTACTTCTACTTTTAATGTTAAAAGTTGCATAGAAGAAAAGCTTCCATGAGTAATAGTGATAACTTGTAGCCAAGATTTGTTTGTTATGTGGGGGTGGGGACGCTGAATTCAATTCAACGTTGAACTTGTGTAAATTTACAGGTAACTTAACAATTATTTGTGATGAGGGTGATCCAGTGATTGTAAAATTATTCTGCTTCATATACAATGCTTCCTCACCATATTCTCATTCCATGAACTTTGATGATCATGAAGATAATAGTATGTTTGTCTCTTAGGCTTGTTAAACCTTCTCTAATTGGTCAGGAGAAGTTATCATCTCCCACTTTTCCAAATAGATCCATCATAAATAAATGTTACATCAAAGAAAAGCAAGGTTGCTTCTGATGTTTTAAAGAAAACCGTTAACTGTAAATATTAGTAATATTTATATAATTGATGTGTGTTTTTTGCAATTTGAACTAGTTAGTGACTCTAGTCTAGTTCTGTTCCGCAAATTCTGTAATTAGTAGTAGTGCCTTTGCTCCTTTTCGGATTAAAGGTATCATCAAATACAGTTCTGCTATTTTAAGATTTTTTACATATTGCGGTTACCAATCCGTTCTCGAACAACTGACGACAGTGGACGTTATGAAGTGGACGTTTCTTTTAGCAATGCAGTCGGAGATTGGCATTTAAAATAACGATTTGTAGGTATGAATTTGATACCAACTAGTTGAACAGATTCTTTGTATTATTCTTATAGAGAAGCTAAAGAAGCACGGCTGTAATATTTAATAGGTCACGTGACTATCGCTACAATTGTAATGTGTCTGATTTGACAAAAGACAGCAAATTATGTATATGAACGTTGACAACTATCTAGTGGGTTTTGAAACACTTTTATATATGTTAGTTTGTATGGCTCTGTATTTTAACAGGTTCTTGTTCTAATTTCTCGAAATTTAGATATATTAACTATTTCTTCAATAGATTATTAGACACCTAAACATAAATTATAAAAATAGTTAAAATTAAATGACAGCTGGAGGGGAATGAGAACTTTCTAATATTTCAAATTGATCAATGGTGATTCATTTTAATCGATTCATTTTTCTTGACTGTAATTTATTTTATTATTAATTTTTAATAGTAAATTATTTTATACATATATACTTTATAAAATGTTCGTTGTAACTACTTAAATACAATTGGGTTCTACATATCTAGGGTAACAAATGTTGTAACCTAGAAAGTTAGTAAAGTTAGTTGTGAATCTTTCAAAGATTTCTTGATGCTAGGTAACTTAAAAATACTGGCATTAATAAGTTTGGAATGATTAGATAGAGAAGGAAAAAAAATATGAAATAGTTTGGAAAAGAATACATCGCCAATGACCTTAAATCAACTCTTGATCTCATTAATTATTATGTTGTTGGCAATTAGGAAATATTATATTTGTTGGAGGACTTGACGTAAAAAGATCAATCTATTTTTCGATGGATATGGCAAGTATGGGTTTAGAAATAATAAATTAGAATCATTACTATTGTTAAAACATACTTCCGTTATTATATCTCCTGGACTCATCAACATAAATAAATGAATAATCATCTGAGTTTGTTTTACCAGAAAAATAATGGTTACTGCCATTATTTCCATTACCATTACTGTTATTATTAAACTCATGGCTTTGATTGGAATTTGGAAATGTAGAATTTACATTGTTGTCTTCCCGACTATAACTGTTGTGTGAGTTATTATTGTAAAAATTTATATGTTGATTGCTATTGTCAAAGAACATAAATTCATTTTGGGAAGTACCTTGTGGTGCCAAATCAAATTGATTTGTCATTTCAAATTGTTCATGTGGTTCATCATCCTCGAATTTAATCATATTAGTAGTCATGTCTTTATTGAATTGGAGATCCCATGTATTCAAATTTGTATGATTTAATATAGCGACAGGATCATCTTCTTTCTTGACCTCAATATCAAAATTTTCAACAGAGCTTACTGGTGAGATGACAGACGATGGAGGTGAGTTGGAAGAAAAAGTACTGCTATTCAATGAAGTAGCCATGAAATTATCATCAGCATTTGCCTCTGCATAGCTCCTACTACTCTTATTTTTATTTGCAATTGGAATTCTTTTATGAGGATGGTTAGTACCATCATTCCTTAGTACATCATCTTTATGAAACTTGGTGATAGGGCTAATTATAGTATTTGTTGAAGAGTTTGGAGTTAGTAAAGTAATTGAAGATGTCTTGTTATTACCTTTTGATTGGACTAAAATTGAAGTGTTCGGAATTATTTCAGTTTTACCTTTATGATAATTTGATTTATCATGAGAATTAATTTGTTGGGAAAGCTTGTTATAAGTCTTGAGTAAAGATGTGTCACTTTGAAGAAATATGTCCAAGTTATCGACCTTGGATAGTATCTTTTCTAAGATGTTACATTTTTTTTCTAATAATTGCAGATGAATTCTTTTCTTTTCCCTACTTTGATGAGCAGCTTTTCTATTTCTTAATATTCTTTCAATTCTTCTTTGTTCTTTTTCTTCCTTTGTCTTCGCTCTCTTCCTTGGAGGTAAAGTTGATTTGAAGTTCAAAGGAATTTCATTAATACTCATCTTTGTTTTAATTATACCAATGTATTTTAATTCCTTCTTCTTTAATAGCTGTTCTTTTTGTTACGTTTTTATTTTAGAAAATTAGGATTCGCTGATATAATAATAGCTGACAGTCGAATGACAATACTCAAAACTGAACTTGCCTTGATAATAAATATACTAAAATTATTAAAATATTACCAGTTATCAATTTGATATAATTATAAATGGTAACCTAAAACTATTCTCAGAACAATTGAATTTATATCCAATTCGAATAGTAAAAATGACAGAAATAATTATTTTTATTTTTTTTGATTTAATTAAAATCTAAATAACTTGTAGGCTAAAAAAAGTGATTGAATCTGAAATTAATCTAGAACAGAAATAATATAGAAGTCTTAAATTGATTTGTTAATTTTATTAACAATGTTAACTTTCTTAAGGGCGATTTTAATTGACACTTTCACTTACAGCTTGCTTTATTATAGTTTAAACAAAAAATTTAAATACATAAAATAAAGGGACTATAAGTAAAATAAGAATATGAGGACAAATGAAATAATTCAAAATTGACAAAAAAAATCTAAATTTTAAATTAGGACATGTTTGATTAAAATTTCGAAACATGAATCTGGTTTAATGCAATGCATTCGATCTACTTTTATACATTTTTGAAATCTGGAATTTAAAAATTTTAGATAAAACATAATTATTGTATTGTCCCATTTCAATTTTAAATTTTAAAGAAGTATTTAAAATTTCCTGCAGGGCAACTCGAAATTAATTAAGAATTGTATAAGGAATTATCACTGCTTAGTACATCAATTTCTTAAGTCATTAGAAATATCATAACGACAACAACAACAACAATAATAAAAATAAAAATTACTTAATGTAAGCAAAGAGTTAATTAAAAAATATTCACTACAAGACCACAACAAAAAAGAAAGTAAGAAAAACCATGAAAAAAGCCAAAACAATTTGGGGTGAACAGGATTGATAAAGACCTGTAAAGAGGAAGTATACGAAAATTTGAATGCAATTGCAAACAAAATAATTCCATAAGAATGAGGTAAAGGAAATCATTCCAAATAACCTGTAATTGATGTTCTATACAGAACTAACCTAAGAAATATAAAAATTGTCCTTTTTTGAATATTGAGTGGTCTTTATGTAACAAAAAAAGTAGCCTAAATTTTACCATATACAATATACAACATTTCATCTTAACCTTTCGAATTAAAATAATAATAGAGATTACAATGAACATATACAGAAGAAGTAAGATATTAAAACTTTTTTATTTTAAACCTCATTATTCGAAACTTCAGTATAAACCCCATAGTAAATATCATAAAAAGTAAAAAAAAAAATAAGAGATACGATACATTACAATCCAACAAAAAGGAAAAAAAATAGAACCATTGGCAGTTAAACAGAATTGAATTAAATTAGATTTTAACAAACTATGCATCGTTATTGTAAAAATGAAGAGAAAGCAGAAATGTTCCCTAAAAGGATCTAATAAAAGGGAACCCACTTAAATAATACATAATATTCTTAAAGAGATATGAACAAGAATCTATTAGGTAGTGAATTGTACAGTAAGAAACTTCTATATCCCCTTTAATTTTTATTTTGACAGAAACTGTCCTTTGAGTAAAAATTGTAACGATACCTCAAATAATGTCAAAATTATGCAGATTTCAAGATATGGTGCCAACCAAGACAATTAATGTCCCTGCTTTTCTTTAACTAAGAATCCTGAAAAATTATATATGCACTCAGATTCAATCGAGACGAATTGAAGGATGTGTCTTCAGAATTGAAATTTAAAGCAAAATGTAATACCCTCAATTGGATAAACTTGAAAATATTCGTAATTCGCTGCCATTCCTTTTTCGAGCACTCGAACTGAACTTTGATAATAAAGTAATATGATAGTAATATTTCTATTCACTACCGACAGTAGAACTACATCTGTAGAAAAAAGAGGGAGAATCTGAGTATTGCAAATTTAAGAAAGTATCGTAAATGCGTATGTATCAGTAAAGGTCCAATACAAAAAAGGTAGACAATTAACTTCTCCTGTGTATCAATTAATATAAGTTTGAAGAAACTAAAATATATAACAAATATACCAGTGTAACAAAGTATTTGAGTCCCGTAAGATTTTCTTTATTGCTTTACCCTTTCCTGGTATTTTCTAGCGAGAAAATACAATGAAAGTGGGTAATTTACAATATATGCTATTCGATTATATATGTGATGCCATTACTTATCTTACTAAGTTACTAAAAAAAGCAATATAAAGAAGATGTATCAGTACAGGAATATTGTAAAGTCATCATTCATTCATTGATCAGTTTGCTTGTGTCAGATTGAATTGTTATTTTTACTTTCTTTCTTTAATAATAAAAGTCAAACGTACAGTATAGGCATCTCTGCATTAAAAGATATGGATGCTTTATGGAAAGAAGATGCATGGTCAATAAATCGTAGGAATTTCCCTGCTTTGATTGTTCACTTTCCTTTCTTTGATTGTGTTTTATAAAAAATTAATAACATTAAAGCTCTTGCTTTCTCCTTTAACAAAAATTAGAGGAATACCAATTCCCAAAAAAATAAACATTATGCTACTGCTAAAACAATTGATTATGAAAGATATTGATTATCTTGTAACATTTCTAAGTAAAAAATATTCTTCCATGTAGTAAGACCATATTATACATACATCTTCTGTGACAGTGCTTCTCAAGAATTTAAAAAAAAATTAGTGTATCAGAAAGAATTGAACAAAGTGAGGTAATTCAACAAAAGCCACATACAGACATGCATTTATACAGTCTTAGCGACTGAACGAGCGGTAAAGACCTGCAGTTAGATCAAATACCCACTTTATAGATATAATGTTTGTTAGAAATGCTAAGTATCTTTTTTCAATGAGGCAAGTGATGCAATTCTTTACATGAATGAAAAAAACCTCTTTCTCAAAGAGGGAGTAGGGAAAATATAGTTGTTTCTTTTTATGTTGTGTTAATTTTCGGAAGTAGAAGAATGTTGACAGAAACGAAGTGGGAGAAAAGATATTTCTTCATAAGATGACATGTTATTATTCTTCAAAAGATTGACCATCATCGTCTATAATGGGTTGTCGTCCTTTTTTGGGTTCTCCCCCATCCCCCTGAACCTGCAATATCGAGAAGCCAGCAGTTTAGCAAATATTTCCTTAATCGAATATGGCAGGTTTATACAGAACCTTTTTTGTAAGGAAATGATAGACCGAGAAGAAGATAGGGAGGGGGGGGGGGAATGGAGTGGAATGAAATGAAATAGAGAAGAGAATGAGATGGTGAAAGTATAATTCAGCAGGGTCTGTCAGCTTCTTGTTTTAAAGAAAGCAGACCAAGCAAATTATTAAAATAAAAAAAGTAAAGATAAAAAAATATAATAAAATAAAAAAGCAAAAAAAACAAAAATGAATTATTAATTCGTTGATTCACTAGCAATTGGAATTAATAATTGCGACTTTTGATTCTCTTGCATCGCTAATTTGAAAGTCAATTGAAGATAATTGCTGTCCATAATTATAGAGATGAGCAGAAGGTTTTTAGAACAGCATAGAATATGTTCACCTCATTTCAAGAAATGGGCCGACAGCTCTATGTGACAAAAGTGATATCCGTGGTACCCAAATTGGAATTGCTGTCGAAGCCAGACGATAGGGGCCAATTCCAATTTAGGCGATCTGCTGATTGAAAAAAAGAGAGATATAACAGAGAGCGGAATTGTGATTTGGAGCCGAATCTGTCGGGAATCTGTTCCGGGATTAGAGAAAAAATCCAGAGAAAATGAAGTAGACCGGGAAGCAGGGTATTTGCCATTCTATGATATCATTTTGTGCATTTGTGATTTTGCTTTATTTTTGTATTATTTTCCTTTTTCAAGCTTCCTTTTCTGGATTCAAGAATAGGATAATCTACTGATAAAGAAACTAGAGGTGATGAGAAAGCTGCGGGGATACGCCGTTTGTTCTTTTGTGGTGCTCGCATGGTAGTCTGTGGTGAACTCTAGGTATTAAAACCGAAAAAGAAACACAAATACATGAAAGGATTCGCAAAATAGGAAAAGCAAAAGGATAGCAAAAAAGAAAATATCATTTTTATTCTCATTGAGCTCAGACGGCTGCACACAAAAGAGAGATTTTCCAAAATAAGAAACGTCTCAAGAATTCAACAAATGAAACACAGGAATTTGAAAATTTCCTATTTTGGAGTGTTCCATGAATCATTGAAGAGAGAACTCTGTAGAACCAGTGTTCTCTCTTGCTTTTCTCTCTATATCCTTCCTATTTCGAAACGGGTCCATCTCTTGGTTCTGAGTTTAAGATGCTCATGGATCAGACTTGTACACATACACATATACACATACATATACATCTTCAGATACATATACATCTTCATATTCATATACATCTTCATATACATAATCATATACAAACAAATTAGCTATATCACTTTACTATGAAATGAATGGCGGGTACTGGAGAAGTCTTCGATCACAGCCATCTTGGTATTGACAGCTTGTATCCTTATTTGCTCTCGCTTGCTGATGTTGTGAGCTTGAATGGAAGAAAAAAAATCATACTAATATGCATCTCGACGGCAAAGACAGAGACACAAACTGGTAGAGTTCAGCCAAGTACATGTATGCAGATACATGCACGCGTATACATGCATAAAACGCACTACATAGAATCGAATTATTGACATCGTTTTTACTATACTAGATACATTTTACAAAAATCAAGAATAAGGGAGCTTTGAAAAATGCATACATTACTAGAATCGATATCTTTAATTTTTGTTCAATTGTACAGACACATCCACGCATATTTACAGAAACGATGTTCTAAACGATACACTCGGTTGTTTTCGGCAAAGAGAATAGTATAGCTCTTATACCTAGACCACCGATTTGCTCTTCTTGATTTCTTTCTGTTGTTATCTGCTTGGATGTTTGTCTTTACAACCTCACCTGTTTCACATTTAGTTCTTTTATCTTTCCAATTACGGTTTGGGTCCAAGTTTTCCTTCAATACTTTCACCGAGTCCCAGGGTTCTGGATCTATCTCACTCTTATTTTCTCTTTTGCGTTTTTTCTTTCAGGAAAGTACGTCAGCTACGAGCAAATGGCCAGCCAAAACCTCAAATGCTCCGTCTTCTCTCTTAAAATTCTCTTTCCAGCTATCGCGACCGCTGTCACAACTGCAACCATTGTCAGTAACACTGCCACTACTACTGCAATTGCTATTTCCATTTTTTTTTCTATCTGAGTTTTGTCAAAGCTGATTCCCCTCTCCTTCTCCTTCTGCTTCTCCTTCTCCTTCTCCTTCTCCCTATCAATATCCTTATCCCTTTCCATTTCCATTTCCCTTCCAGCAACATCTCCCTCTTACTCGCTACCATTCTCCAAATTTTCCAAAATAAGATGAAAATGAAAATAAAAATAAAAATAAATAGCGAAGAAATGAACCTTTCAACCCAACCTTCGTTCAATCACCCCAACTTTGAATATTACAATGCCTTCCTCCATAACATAATCACATCTTTCTACAACGACACTCTCTTCCATCTCTATAAACTCACAAGAACAAAAATTGAAATCCGAAACAGCTCAATCGACCCGATGAAACAGGAAAGTAAAGAGAGCAGACCTTCCTAGCAATAAACTTTCCATCGTAACTGAGGTTACTTCTCCCCATTTATGCTTTCTTTTAAATTCTGTTCCAGACAGTACAATAATGAGCGACTGCATGAACTACCTAAAGTACGTGAACTACATCTTTTGTAGGTTTCCACTCTCGATTAGGAAAAGAACACAGTGACGTGTTAATGAGTTTTTTGAACATTTTCCTTTTTCATTGATTCATAATTATTACAACAGCAAGACAAGAAAATAATAGCATCTGCTACTGTTTACTGACATGGAGATGGAAACTTGAATATTCTAATAAAACGTTGTAAGAAAATGAGTGTCCGTTATGCATCACCTTGCTTCTTAAATCTATGTAAGGCAAACGTAAGACGACTGCCTTGAAACAATGGTTTACGATACCTATTCGGATCGTATGTTCCGTTTCTGTAAGATCTCTGAAAGAATTGTTCCGTCTTCAGGCTTCGTAACCTATTAAGGGTATTAAACTGAATTTACCTGGAAAACCATTCAGAACTTGAACAATTGAAGATTCCAAATCAAGAACTAAGTTAAAGAGGAGTATCTTGTTTATTCTATGCTTAATTCAAGAGAGTAGAGACATATGGGAAATATCAGGAACTACTAGGAAGAAGAAATTCAATTCATGAAAGAACACGCATCTATGCATTGATTTCTGGTAGAAATCAAAATTGGAACAAGGCTGTTTAGTTTAGTTTAGTTTAGTTTAATTCCTTTAATGTTTTTTTATTTGATTTTATCTTTATTTTGCTTACTTATTCCAGGAGAGTTCTTGTTCTATTGGGATGGGAAACTATACATTTGAGACACCTGTCGTTGAAGGAAGCTCTCCTAATGTGGCTAATTTATTCCTCAGCATTTAACCTTTTTTCCTTCTTCACTGATTTTATTATTATATTACTTAATAAATATCTAATGTATGCTTCAAATAATGATGGAAATTCCATTTATTTCTTCCTTTTCTACCTACTCGATACTTTGTTTATTCATGGTGCCTTTTACATTTTGTTTCTGACAGCTAACTCATTTTGAAACTAATTTTGTTATAATAATGATGGTTCTACTAACAATTATTATCTAATTTATTAGATTTCTAACAAATTGTTGCTGTTTTGTATAAAGTTGTCCTCTTAGTTTAATAAATTAAGAGTTATTTCGGCTTTGACCAAGGATGACGAGATTGTGCGGGATTGGTACGAGCTTCAATACCAAGACCTTGGTTTTACGTTTTGTTTTATCTTATTTTGTTCTAATTTGTTCTAATTTGTTCTAATTTGTTCTAATTTGTTCTAATTTGTTCCAATTTATTTTATTTTGTTCTATTTTGTTCTGTGTTCTCCAAGGTTATCAAACGACGCACTGCAAAAATATTACTCAATTGTCAATACTTTTTTTTTTACATCTTCTTTAAGAATGTAATATACTGACCTGCCTCTTGATTATTGCCTATAACTACCGAATCAGAAATATCATAGTACTTTGAATTGATACTATATGCATCCTGAGGGATTTATTCTTATCTTTTAATGCAAAGCATCTACGTTTTGCATTAGAGAAAAGATAATTCCAAATGTCACCATCCTTACATCTAATGATATAGCTTATTTTTTCTTTTCTTGCAATGCATTATTCATCACGACAACCTATTGATTCCTTTCGAATACCCTGTTTAGGATTATGTGTCCTCACATGAATTACTGAAGAAATAGTAACATTTTTGAAAATACTAATCAATGATGGCTTACTCAATCTTCCTTACTACTGTTCCTATTGCGACCAAAAGAAACATAGTTTCGATATATTCTTGCTGTAAAAAGGACACCGTCTCCTCTTTGTACATGGAAATTAAATAAGCATGATCGTAAAAGGTAAATTTCATTTAACTTTAGATAACTGTTTCTTCTATCGTTTAAAAATTGCGATTTATGAAAACCTTTCACCATTGACTTCGCAATATTGAAACTACTAATTGTTTGGCTTATTTTAGTTTCTGATTAATTCAGTACAGTAGAACTGTTTCTTATTTTATTTTGGATGGCTGGAGAAAATTACTAGCCTCAATGAAAAAAACTTCAAAAGTAATTGAACTTATCGAAAACTTTTTCTTCAAATTTTCAATTTGAAACTTGATGTCTTTCTTTATAAGAAGCTATTTCTCATGAAATTTTGATTAAAATGGTTTTATTTCTAATATTTAGGATTCCAACTGTTCTTGAATCGGTAAATAGTTAAGTTATCCCATCGTTTAGTACATTCAGAAAAAATATGGTACGTTCTTTTTCGTAAAGTTAATAATATACATTACTTGGCATGCTTCAGTAATAACATCATGTTTGAGAAATAAAACTCATCTCTTTGGATGCTATCCATTACGAAATTCATTACACTTTAATTAGAACTGTTAGAGTGGTGAGATTTCCAGAATGCAATTCTGAAACAAATTAAGCATCTGTGGAAGCCATCTTTTAAAAGCTTAATCCAAAGGAAATCCGAGTTGGTAGATGGACGGCTGTAAATAAAATGATAAAGCTTAATTATCCAACCAAAAAACAACCAACATCAAAAAGAGAGTTAGAGAGGAGAAAGTGAGTGAAACCGCATGTCATTATAAATACTTTGTTTAAGTAAGAAACCAAAAAAACATGATGTTTCAGAGTTATTTTTAGAATTACAATTACCAATAAATCCAACATTTTGTAATTACATTTGAATGAATTGCATTTTATTTTATTCAACAGCATTTATTGGGTTTAAAAAGCTTGTTGTATGACAACTGTAAAGATAAATGTTACCTAGTTTATTTCAATAGCGTAATCCGTTACCACAAGCGAATTTTATCTCGAGAATGTTATTTCAAACAATTGAAACCGTTGGATGTTCCTTCTGGCTAAGAGAGGAAAAAAAGAGGAATAGCATTGCTCTAAAGTGAATTACCAGTTACTATTGTTACTACTTCTCTAGTTCAGAAACTTATCGAAATAAATGCATGGCAATATTTTGACACTGAAAGTATAGCATTTGCTTACGTCAACAAAAAAGACGAAACATTACCCAAACTGGTTCAACCTATGATTCATGAAACATAAGATATTCGAGACATGATAGCTTAACAAAGTCTAGCCCATCGCAACTTTGGGTGATAGTTTAAAGAGTTGAATATTGAAAATATAGAAAAATGAAAATTTATCATCAATGATGTCATTAACCTAGAAAGAAAAAAAAGTTGTTACCTAAGTACAAGTGTAGAAAAAGAGTTCTGGAGAGATCAAAAGCTTATTTATTCAGCTTTTTCTGTATTAGCAGTTTCTGCTAACTCTTTTGATTTTAAGTCTTGTTTCTCTAATTTGGCTATATTATCTTCTTGTTCTTTAACGAAATCTTTTGTCTCTTCGGTACTTTTGAAATAATGTTTCATGTACCACTTAAGTTGTTTAATACTTTCAATTATATCGCTTTTTGCAGTATGGCTTGATATTTTTTTAGGGACCACAGAATTCAAAGGATTGTTATGTCTTCTGCAAACCTCCATGATGCTGCTAACATCGATAATTCTATAAAAAAGATGGTCGATCAAGCTTGGGAACTCATTAATCAAGAATAACCTATCCATGTGAACCGAATTACCAGCTAGGACACCCTTGTTTGGCTCAGGGATATATTTCTTAACATGTCTAATAAGTTCTTGTTGAACCCTACTTAAAGATTTATTAGACTTTAAAACCTTCTCGGTTAACCCGCTTTTGCCATGCTGATCAATACACCATTCATTCATCTTGGACATCACTTCCTCATCGTAATGAATAACACTTTCATAAACATTATCCTCGCCAGTCCCAGGGTCTTTAACAACGTTCATATCGCCATCAGTAACAATACAACAAATCTCGATTATATGATCATTCACATGGTTCAAACCAGTCATTTCACAATCAATCCAAACAACAGGATTCTTAACTTCAACCATATTAGCCTTCTTAAATACAAATTTTCCAGCACTTTTACCAATATTAACCTTGTTCAAATAATTATTTTTCCTCTGAATACCATAAAACCTTCGAAAAAAAAACATCAACCAAACAACAACCAGATATAATCCAAAAACCGTTAATAAATTAACCTCTATCAACAAAACTTAACCCTTTAGACCCATAAATTTAACATCTCATCTCTCTATAAAATTTCAATATAATATAACATATGTATATTTTTTTCATCGTCATTAAATAAAGCCTTTTTTTTTTTAGAAAGTTGGATACTTGGCTACCTTCCCCATATTAAATAATTTTTGGGTTAAAATTTATAATCAGTTTATTTTAAATACATAAACCCTATTGATGTTTAAGTTTGGGATAGAAAAGTAGTCATCAAGGAAGGTACCGACAGTATTTGATACTTTTTATTTGGTATTCCTGTTTCGATTGTTGGGTGTGTGTCTGTGTTTGTGTGTGTTTGTGTATTTTAGATTATTTTCGGTTTTGTCTCATCAGGTTTCTTTTAGTGCTACAAGAAAGGATCTGGCTTCTTTATTAATATTATTTTTTTGGGTATAGGTGATGCAATTGTGAAATAATTTGGATTTCAGATTAATCGTTTTGGAATTTGGGATTAGATATTGTGTCCGTGACTATTTTATTGATAAGGAGTCTATTTCTAGGGCAGTTTAATTTAATTTCTGTTAGTTGGTGTGAATTTGATTAGAGAGAGTGATAAGTGTTGGAGATAGGAAAAAACGTATTTTGGAGTCGAGAAAGAAAGAAAATAAGTAAGCAAACAAACAAAAAGTGAACACTTTACAAGGAAATACAAATTCCGTTTATTTTTGTGTTTCTAAGAAGTTCTGGGTTGACATTTAAGTTATAAGTTATAAGTATTAAGTTTTAAGTTTTAAAAATTGAGGAACTTCTTCGAATATAAGTAGAAATGGGAGATATTATTCAAAATTGTTCGCCATCTTCTTCTACTTCTTCAAACACTTCTTCAAATACTTCCTCTTCGAATTATGAGAGGTATTTGAATCAAGCCACGGAGTCAAACCCATCTATGATATTGGAATTGGACTTAAATGGCAATATAAGATATATATCTCCGATTTGGAAAAATATTATAGGCACAGAGCCACCAAAACCTGATTCTTCAATATCTGATATAATTGTTGGTTCGGAAAAGGATAAATCAGTATTCATCGAGGTATTGAAGTTATGGACAGAAAATGATACAATTTCTTACACAATTACATTCGACGTTAATGATAGTAATAATATTCCTGTAACTTTAGAGGCATGTGGTATTTTAATTCATAATACTATTACTCAACTTCCTACACATTCAATGTGGATAATTAAACCTTATGATATTACGTTGCAAGAAAATGATAAATTGACAAATAGATTGCCAGAAGATTTTATTAAGATGTTAGGTTTCGGAAGCTTTATATTTATGGAATATTTAAATTATTTGGAAACACAACTGTGTACCGATGAGTCAAATCTTCCAGATCCAAACCTAGAGTTATGTAGGGTTTGTGAAAATTTCTTACCTGATTGGTGGTTAGAGAGCCATTCCAAAAGTTGTGTTTGTGAACATAGAATCCAATCGGCAATACAAATAATAAATGATTCCATTATTGAACATATTAACTTCTTAACGAACATACTGGAAGGAAGCGAACAAGAGATGAAGGAAAATAGAATAATACATACAGATTATAAAGATTTGCCTGTCCAGCTATCATATTCAGTGCTAAAAAATCTAATAGAATTATCAGAAATGGCAGCAGATATAAATTCAAGTAAAATTGGAGCTGAGACAGATCAGTCTATGTTGCTAAAAATTTCTCTTAGTGGTAATAATAACCCCCAATATTGCTTACGATATCAATTTTCTCCGAAGTCCACATCATATATTCAGGATATCACGGAC